TAGTTTTGAATATACTGAATATTCATGCCGGTTATGTTTTGACCGTAATAAACAAACGACAAACGACATACACACACACACACATCGAATCGATAGATCGATTTTCGAATGTATTTTTCATCGCATCGATGGGTAAAATAGCGAACAAGGAAAAAAATCATATTTTGTTATTCGGTTTAGCAATAAGCAAAAACTAAACACCAGCCCCATTAATCCGATGGTTAATGGTAATCACAGCTTTTCTTGAAAAAAAACTTATTATTATCATCTTAAGGCACAGAAGGTTTGAACCATATCTAACAAACAAAGACATTATCATGTCGACAACATGTTAAGCTAGCCATTGAATGATAATTTAACACACAAATGATGATCAAACAAAAAAAAAAAAACAAAACAAAAATTATATTCAAAAAGAATAAGAAAAAAAAAAAAAATGACCGAATATATTTTTATTCGAACGATCGAACCGAGACCGAATGATGATCACAATAATAATAATAATGATTATGACCAAAAGGAAAAAAATCGTACCAACTAGCTGCCTAAGACGAAGACGAAGACGAAGACCATGTGGCTAATGATCACGAAGAAAAAGAATATCATCATCATCATCATCATCATCATGGCGGAACTGAAAAGTTTTACGTTTAGTTTCAAGAAATTCATATAACTAATATATAACTGATCAAATCACGAATTATGATGATGATGGTTGTGTTTGTTCCAAACGATCGACGCTACGGTCTATCGAATTGACATCGTTGTCAATCATCATACATGCATACATATAAAACAAGCATCTTTTCCATTTTTTCTGGTCGAAAACAAGACAATTCAATCAATGAAAAAATTTTTTCTGGACAAACAAATACATGATCCATGAAGAGGGCGAGAGAGAGAAAAAATGGCAGGATAAGATATCCGAATAAGAAAACAGATCAATCACAATTAATGTCATAATTTTCGCCATATCCAAATTGTAAATTCAGTGTTGTTGTTGAGTGTTGCTTTTTTTCTTAGGATAATTATGAAAAGCAAACAGCAACAAATAACTAGACAAAGGCGAATTATTTTGACACCATTTTTTTCGTTGTTCATCTATTACTGGGTCACAAACAAACACATGTATAATGTATAATGTTTTGTGTATTTCAAAGGAATCGATCTATAGTCAATAAACTTGTTACCTATCTTGTTGCCACAACATTATTCAATCTTTTCTATTCCTTCCTCATTCATCTCGATGTGATGTGCAACACACACACACACACACACACGCGTTACAAATTGACATTGACCGACATTTTGTGACACACACACATACACAGTGAAAATGATGGAAAAAATATTAACAACAATAACCACCATTCATCGCCACTATCATTACTACCGACATTATTATTCAATTCACAATCGATCCCTCATCTATTCAATTTTCATTGCAAATTCGCCATTTGAAAAGAATACTGCATGGATATTGGAAAAAAGTCATCCAATTCAATTCAATTCAATTCAATTGAATGACAACAATTGATGATTCAAACAATGACAATCAACAACAAACCAATCAAAGTGTTTGTTAAATTGAGTGATGAAATTGAACTATTAAATAGGTGATAAAGAAGGCATTCGATTTTTCTTTTAAATCTAAATTGTAACAACTTTTTTCGTTGGAAGAAAAAAAAAAAAGAAAACAAATTATCATCACTAACTTTTGGCAAATTTTTTTTATTTTCAAATTAATTTTACCTAACCACCATATATATCTAATATATCTAATGATAGACGATGAAACAAAGCTACATTCTTTGATTATTTTATTGATGAAAAACGTTGTTTATGTGTGATGAGACGCGTGAAAAACAAAAATTTAATCCCTGACCTTGATAAATGTATGATGATGATCATAATATATTAATTAATTATCATCGTTGTAATCTCATCATGGATTATATGATGATGATTGTAATAATAAAAATGCTAACCACTAAAACGGTTATTACAATAATTACAGACAATACAACAACCAAGTATATTTTATTGTTATTATTATTAAGACTAAATGCATCTATAATCAATCCAATGGATATAGGATATGCATCTGAAATCAAAATCTTCGAGATTATACATGACATATTCGAAATTCAATGTTTATTATAATGGCCAAGCAATGTATTCACACACACATACAGCAACGGCAAAGAAAAACGATAACTTCAAACACACAAATGTAAATTGTAAACGGTCAACAAATATCATGAGAAGCAATTTTTTTTCGAACAGATACAACAACACATTAAACATAGATTTACATAATATTTGGCCAATGAAACAAAAAATGGAATCAACTTGGCAATCATTATGATCATCATGATTTTCATGAAACCAATTGAATCTAGAATGAATTACCAGACTGCTCGATCATCATCATCATCAAATATCTGATGACCAGAGTGTATAGGATATCTTATGTAGAGTAATCAAAAAACAAAAAATATGAATATAAAACAGAGAAGAAAAAAAAAAATTCATAGATTTGCAGTTGGGTGCAGCCAAACATGAACTATTTGCTATTTATAATTTTGATAAAATTGTTTAGAGAATAATTAAATTAAATTAAATTAGATTTAATCCTAATGATGATTATCATTATCATCATCAAATTCGATACATCAAGAGAAAATGATTGATTGAATGATGATCAATCAAATAATTTGTTTGATTCATTGCATATATTATGATACAATTGGTTGGCAACCATCATCATCAGATCATATTATATCCATTATGGAAATATTATGGCAATACAATAAATACATACATACTAACAAGCAAAAAGATCTACAAAGAAATAAAACAATCTACTTTAAATAAAAAATCGACTAGGCACGTATTTGTAATTATAGTTCACTTCTCTCTCTCTCTCTTTCAACATCCACTCGACAAGAAATAAAACAAAATAAAAGATCTAAATCTAAATAATTATTTATTGGATTCATATACGAGAAATAGTAAAAGATTGTTGTCAATACATACAATTTCAATAATTGTTGAATTTCAAAACAAACAAACGAATGGGCAGATTGCATGGGTGACAAATTCATTAGAATAAAAAAGAGGCTAACATCATAAAATGGAAATGGTTTTTAATTTTAAATTTTTCATCCAGTTTTTCATCACATAAAATTAAAAATTCTATTCACGAATGATGATGGCTAATCAAATACACATTGTATTTGGTATAAACATCTGATTCGATTATTATTATTGTCATATACATCCATGGTTAATAATCTTGGAAAATTTCAAGTTGGAAAAAACTAAGAATAAACCCCTACAAACATTAAATCGCCATCATAAAACAATCATATCATTGGATAAGAAAAAACTATGGATGCAAACAATACGTATGTGGATACGCACGAAATATATTTAAAGTGGAAATTAAATCTTCACCTGCGGCTTCTGGTGTTTCCATAGTCTTGACAAACAATGCTAGTTTTATGTGTGTGTGTGTGAATCAAGGTAGAATCAATTCGTTTAGCATTCAAACACCTACACAAAACAACAACAGGATAGATGAAAATCCAATTACGAAAGGTAGCGATTCTCATCATCATAATAATAATAATAATAATAATGATCATGGATGAATCATTCCTTTTGGCCATTTTGAAAAATGGAATATTCATCAAAAAGACATTCATTCACTCATTCACTAACTCTAAATCAATCAAGTAACCAGGAAGACAATTTAATTCTTTCAAAGTTATGGCTAATTTAAATCTAATTAAATTGACAAGAAAAACACTTAACACAACGTGACAGCGGAAGTATCATCACCATAGATGATGGTGGTGATGAGAAAAAACGATGCTAATCTTAATATCTGATTGTTAAGTGTTTATGAAGATATGATTCTATTGTTAGATGAATACAAATGTCAAAATACATAGACACACGATGATAGAGAGAAAATGGATTGTTTTGTTCTTTTCTCTTAGTTATATTACAAATTCGTGATGTGATAACGTATCATCATCATTATTCGATCGTTCATTCCTCCGAAATTAGTTAGATAATACAAAAAGCCTTTTGACACATTCTGCATTTGTTGGATGGACGATGATACATTGTCTGTGATTCGTTCATTTGAATACGGTAGCCATATATTTTGCAGCTGTGAGATTCAATTTGATTTCTCGAAACGTTCGAATATTGAACATGCCATGAATGCCATGCAGGAAAAACAAACATTGTTTCAAGAAAATCGAATCAATCAAATGCAAACACATAGACGTTGTTGTTGATGATGTGGAGAATAATGATTTCATCTTTATCTTGATAATAATAATAATGATCATTATTGTGATTCGTGTGTATGATGGGATCGAATCGAATGAATCATTTATGATTCATACACGAAAATTCATGGTGATCAATATTTTTTTTTGTTTTATTCATTTTTGCAATAAGCCAATTATAATATTATTATTATTATTATTGCGTTTCGAAAAACTATTATTTTGTCATGTCAAACACCAATCTTTGCAGTTCACCATCGTCATATGAGGAAGCAAAGAATCGATTTTAAATTTCAAGAAAAAAAAATACTTACAACATACTGTTGCCAAATAAAAATTCGACATTTCATGTTATGTTGTCTAGTCTGGTTTTGACACCAAAATCATCATCAAATTATCCGTAAATCTGTACAAACAGAACAAAAAAAATGTAATTTCAATGTTTTTTTTTGATCAATACAAAAATACCCTAACATACATGAATATCATATCATTTTAGATTTTAGTTGATTTTTAATTGATTTTAGTTTCTGTTGAAATGAAATCATTAATCAATTCTTCAATTTGATTCAATTAAATCTTAGATGAAAATTCACACAAATAACACGGTGTTATATAAACATAACATTCTATATGAATAGAACGATTTTGAGTCAAAAAACAATCGATTGTGAATCAAATCACTCTTTTCCTTTTTTTCATACAAAATTCGATTTACACTTCCCCATCATTCTCACACTGCAGTGTTGTTTTAGTTTTGAATTTCGAATTCATTTGAAAATTCTTTCATCTTTCATTTCATTTAATGTGATTTCTCCTTATAAAATTTTGGTGTTTAATACTTGAAACAAGATACGATCAACTTGGAAATATGGATCCATCATTCCAGAATGCACTTGTTGAAGTTAATCTGTCGACAGATGGTCGAAATAATGTTTGGCTTGATGCTTATTTTTTGGATGTACAGCCATCATGTTCAAAAGATGAAACAGAAGTCACTGACAATCAAGGTGATGGTGATGAGAATAGTGGCAATAATCAAAGTTTAATGGCAACAATTGTAATGGCCGTGAAAGATGAGCCTGCATCCTTTACAATTACACAGCAAAAGCATTGTCATCAATTACCAATGAGTCAAATTCGTTTGAAACCAAAATTAACTGAACCAGTTTCGTTTAACGGTAAGTTCAAAGAGTTGTTTTTCATTTTATTACAATTTTCATCATATGATTTTTATTTTTATTCCCATTCTCATAACGATATTGATGCCAAAAACAAAAGAAAATAACATAATCGAAGTAATAACTGTGGATGGAAATGAAAAGTTTATCGCTTGGAAAATGGCCAAAATTAAAAAATTCAAAGATACTAATGCTGTTATCGAATATTTGGATAACAATGGCCAGATAATTGAATCAAAATCAGTTGAAGAATTGAATGTGATTAGTCGGGAAGATAGTCGAACACCGAATCCATTCAAACCATTGAATGATGTGACAGTTGCTTCAAATCCATTTGCCCGTGCGGAATTGCCTGTACCATTTTTTCTTCAATATGATGATTCAACATGGCTTTGTAATATTGATTTTCATGAACGTTTCAAGAAGAATGTTGAAAATCTAATCAACATACGTTATGATGGTGAAAAAAAATCATTGATTTGTATTGGCTATACTCCTGATCTTACGGAATATTCAAAGAAAAAATTCATCAATCAATGTCATCTTTTGTCGGATTTCCATTTTCGTGCTTTGAAAGAAACATATTCACTCAGTAAACATATGTTGCCACCGATTACCAGTCAAAATCCGAATGAATCGGTATTGCGTCTTTCTGTTGCTAAATCTTTGATTGGTTTATCCATTGGTAAACAAGGTGCTAATATTCGAAAAGCACGTGAATTGGATGGTATTCACTCGGTTGAATTGTGGGATGAGATGAACACCTTTATCATTAAAGGTAATTCAAAAATTCTTTTTCTCTCATTTCAATATTTTTGATCCACAATCTCTAGGTAACAATATGGAAGTCTGTCAACAGGCAGCTAATTTATTGAATTTTGTACAAGAATGTATCGAAATTGATAACGAACATAGCGATTTTTTCGATGATGAACTAATCGTACAAGAGCTTTTGGATAAAACTGGTGTCATAAAATTTGATTTGGTCAGTGAAAATCAGTCCAATAATGGTTCGTTTACAAATGAGCACGATCATCATCATCATCATCATGATAATTCAAGCAATCGTACGTTCAATAATAACAATCTGCTCATTCTACGTATTCTTGGTAATTGTGAAAGTGTGGATAATTTCAAAATATTATTCAACTATCAATTCGCTGAATATGGTGAGATGAAAAAATTACGTGAACAATTCAAAGATCTTGTTGGTGGTACTGTACGTTCGTCATACAATCAACGACGACGTCCTGGTGGCAGAAAATTTTCTGATGTACTGAAAAATCGAAACTAATTTATTTTGTAATGATGAGTCTAATTTCATACATTTGTAATAATTTAATAAACAGATTATCGTTGACAAAAAAAAATTCAAAAGAAAGTGTCGTATAAATATCATAAAATTCGATGTTAAAAATATCGTATCGTACTTTATTATTTTTTCATTAGCTTTTCAGTTTTCTTTCCACATTCGGATGTTCAAAGGGGTTACATTACCATTTGGTAATGTATCATTTGTTGTGTTCATTATATATAGGAATTGTTATGATTTTAAAATAGACAAAACAATTCCCGGACATATAAGTTGTATTCTGTATTTATTGATTTTTTCAATGTTAAAAAAAAAAATAAATAAATAAATGAGTGTCTTTGATTCTAATAATAATAATATCTTAATATTTATGAAGAGAATTGATAATAAATGAATAAACAAATTGCAGACTAGAATATAATAAGTTACAAGTTATATTAATATTAATTAATTAATTAAATTAATCTTATCTTATTATTATCGTTGATTGTCATTTTCAATCTCGTTGTGATTGTTGCCATTGTTGTATTAGGTTGTAATAGGTGTGTTTGTTGGTTTCATTTCATTTCATTCACCTCATGCAGCATTTTTCAATTCAATATATGGTATACCATATTCTTTATCTTGTGGCCAAAATTTCATCACCGGTAACAAATCTTCATAATTATGAATAGCATCAAAATAGGCAAATAATACACAAACAGTATATGATGCAATGGCAATCATTATATGCCAAACACCATGTAAATATGGTAGATTATATGCTGACCATATATCACAAAAGATACGATCCAATATCCAACTAACAGCAGCAGCAGTGTAACAAATACAACAACGCCATCCTAATCGACGAATCCTTTGTATACGACATCTACGTATCTCTTTTGTTAAAAGGAAAAATGTTGGTATTCCTAATGTCATCAATGCAAAACTATTGATCCATGGATAGATGAATGCAGCGAACGATGCAACCACACTAATAAGCATCATAACTTTTTTGAATTTTTTCCTTTGCGAAAAGCCAAAAATGTTAATATGCAGTGATTCGATAATGAATACTTACCTATCATTATTGATCCATTTCGGATAATATTGTCGCGGTAACCACATTCCAAATGCAAATGCTAATAACCAAAGTATAGCTAATTCATCCAATAATTGTCCAAGAAGACTAAGTGTTGCATGAAAATATGCTGAACAAATACCGACAACGGCAAATAATGTCCAAATAATATAGATTCCACGATCAATATTATTGGCATATTGTTTGAATAATTGACATAGGATTGGCGGAAATATTAAAAATAATATGTTGGAAGTCTAATATTGATTCATTTCAATTAGAGATAGTCAACTAATCATTCAACATTACGAACCGTATTGATCAATTCGGCAATGAATGGTGAATGCGTATAATTAAATTCACACCAATCGATTGGTGATGTACCACGTTCCATTACATAAAGGAATGAATGGGACATCTTTATAGATCGTGATGCTCCAAGCCAAACGGTTGGTGAATTCTATTTAAGGTTGTTTTCAATATAAAAAAAGAACAAAAAAAAACGATTAAATCTTGAGTTTAAAAAAACAGTGAACAACAACAGCACAATGAACTCTTTTGACAATTGTGTATATCGACAAATACAAATACAATTTGAATTAAATACCAACAACAACACACATCAGGATGAAATGATATGCATTCCATTCATTAAGCTTGATCATGATGATGTTGGCGAAACGATAAAATAAAACATTTAATGGCTTCCCAAATACGATGAAATACGATATATTCATCTACCACGCAATTCGATACACATGATGATTATCGGACATTTTTTTCTTCTTGAATTTACAAAAAAAATTGCCAAATCATTTCTAAAGAAAAATACATGTTTCGGGTATTTTTTTACAATTTATGATTAAGTTATTATAATATAAACGATGGAAAGATATGTGTTTGACCTCCCATGGTCATAAAATATTGACGAGTTTAATTTAATCGATAAAATTGATAACGTTTCATCTTCTAATTAGTGTCGACAGCTTGTTTATTTGTCATTGAATATCAATCCATTGATTAGATCGATTTGATGAATAGATCGTATAGCATCGACCAACCCATTTTTATTGATGATTTTGTTGTTCACATGCGGGCACACCCGATTAAATTTTGTTTTAATTTATCTGGTTATTTCGTTCATATCCATTGACATTTTCATCACTCATCACTCATCACTGTCAATGTTTGAACATATTGGTCCGTGTTATCTGGATATCATGGACCATTAACCTTTGAAAGAAAAAATTGAATTCAAAAATATTCATTCGAAAAATTACCATTTGATATTTGGGGGACATCTTTTGAGCTCCGTACGAACTAGACTAGCGAGAAAAAAATTCAATCGACAATCTTTATTCGTCGAATTTTGCGTTGTAAATTAATTTTGCCGTTGAAAATTGTCGTTTATATACGGTATATTCCAGAGAGAAAGAGGGATGTCTTTCTTCTCATAAACGATTGATTTATAGTGTAAGGTTTATGATAATAAAATACGATTGATAAGATCGATTAATTTATTGATTGATTTGGAAATGACAAAATTCATTTCATTTTCACACAATAATTCCATAGAAAGAGTTTGATTGTCGTTGAAAATGATGATGATGATGATGAAAATGAAAATGAAAATGTCGAATTGATTCAATCGATATGATCGATTTTTTCAGAATAATTTCGTTTTTCCTTCGTTACAAAAACACATACACTCAGATAAAGAAAAATTCTTGACGATAGAAACACCATTCACAAAACGTTATGATGATGATGATGACCTTTATCGACAAAACGGAATTTCGGAACACAAATGACCAGATTGGAGAAATAAATCCAAAAATTTTGGCACAAAATTTATAATTTCAGAAAATTATACCACGTATTCATCGACTTGGCATACGCGTAAATTTTGTTTTGTTTCAGAGCAAGCCATCCATTCAAATAACTGTCATGACTCATGTTGTTGTTGTTGTTGTGATGTTTTATCGATTGTAAATGTTGAATTCACTATTTTTTTCTGGTTGACAGGATACAAATCTTTGGTTTTCTTTTTATAATGATCAAGATACTTTGTTATTGTTGTTTCCTTGTAGCTGTTGTTCCATAATAAATGTCAAAGTTATATTTCTTCAATTTTCACATTTTCAGTTCAGATAATGAGATGTTTGACGGATGGATGATGAATAAATATTGGCCAAGGTTGAATTGGCCAATTTTTCCAGTTTTTTGTCAATTTATAACTAGATGCTAAATACGCAAATCAAATTCATGGAGTCTATGAATGAAATTTTTAATGTTGTCGTCACTATAGCAAATTATGGACCACAAACAACACAAACACCAAGAAATATTGACATATTGACAATTTCAATTTTGAATTTGAAAATTAAATTCCATCATCATGATGATGATGGTGATTTATATTATTGTTTGACAAATATATTTCGATATTATTCCGTTGTTGTTTATGTTTATGTTTATGTTGTTGGTTAAGAAAGTTTCATGTTTATTCTTCTTCATTCAGAAAAATACAACTATCGGGTAATTCATTTATTGCTGCTGCTGCTGCTTCTATTTAGCGTTGGCTATATAAGTGAATTAATAAAACATGATTTCTTCTTTTCATTATATAGCTTAAAACATTGATTACGACCACCACCACCACCACAACAACAACAACGACGAATATACATTATAAGAGGCCGTATGGCCGGTGCTAACCACCACTATCCAGATATTTTGTTGTTTTTGTTGTTGTTATTACATCCTTGTTTCTAACTTTATACCAAACATACACACATCTTCAATCGATGATGTTCGCATGGTTGTGTGTGTGTGTGTGTGTGTCAAATGTTTGGCAATCATTAATTGAATATTTCTAAATATCGCCATGTGATGATGATGCGTCGTGGTACTCGTGATTTCAATTTTGAAAAAGAAAACGAATAAATAAATTTTATATTTATGATATCAATACCATTCAGGCGTAAATTAATATTATAAAACTTGCTTGGTTATGATGATGATGGTGGTATACAATACACAAACCAAGAGAAAAAAAGAAACATGAAAATTTTGAAAAAAAAATTAAAAGTTAGTTACGCAGGTGATGTAATGTTTTTTCCAGTTTTATCGATGGTATCTGTAAGTATATATGAGTATATGAGTGCCAAAAATATGCCAGCCATAGGTTATTTTTCAATTTTTAAAAATCAATAAATCAATCAGGAAATCATCAGGAATAGCATCATTTCTATCTATTTTCTATGCTATCACTATCATGAAATTGGAATCATTATTAAAGAAGTTTTTCTGAGTTGATATGAAATGAAATTGAATAGAAAATCAACAACAACAACGGCACGAATCGGTGATTTGATTGATAATGATTATCACTAACAACATCATTATCATTACCATTATCGTCACATCAGGAGAAACGAATTTATTTTCAAATCAAATCTTTAAAATTGTGATTTTTGCTAAAAAACTTGCATTTTTAAGTGGTCATGATGTTAAAATGGTAAAAATTATTATGAATAGACTGGTTATTCATGCCATTTCTAATCAATTTTTAGTGTATGATGATGTTGCCAATCTATCAATTTGACGATTGTTGTTATTAATTGATAATTATAAAAACATCCAACGGATGTTGAAATTTGACAAAACCAAACATAATGGCATCTAACATCGAATGCAAATAACAGTGGTATATCAGACTTTTTTCAAACACCACTTTACAAGCAATTTAGATTCGTGAAAAAATATAAATGTTAACCTGTAACATGCGAAACATAAAGAAAAAAATTTCTTTTATTTAATTGGAAAAATTCTCCTGGATTCACGTACCAACGGTTGGAGATGACAGATATATCATACACGAGTATTGATGATGATGATGATGATGCAACGAAAAAAATTGATATCATGCTTATCTCATCTTAATTATTATATGATGTTTTTCTTGTTGACCAGATAAAAGTATAGTACACAACAACGAAACCGACTAACCGATCGTCAATAATGGTCATGTGATACACAAATACATTTCCAATGTGACAAATAAATTATTATAACAGCATTTTGAATTCATAAAATTGAATCGCACACATCTAGAATGATAAAAAAAATGATAATTAATCTAAGAAAATAAATTTCGATAACAACCAAATGATCATGATGAAGCACGATTATTAAATCAAGGATATTTGAGATAAACAACATGATACTGATTATGACCTCCGGTTTGTTTTACGATTTACGATAAATGATTCATTTATTTTTCACTGTCATTATCATTGTCACTGGGTAATAAATTCTTTTTCTTTTTTGAATGAATGAATAGAAAGAAAATCATTGCCCAAGTCATTTGTGTAAAAAACAATGATGATGATGATTATATTACGGTTACATTGTCATGACAAAAACAAAAAAACAAAAAAACTTGGAATAATTATCGGATTTTTTTTTTATTACCTTTCCCGGTGACCGCTGCCGTCATCAATGTTTTACAATTATCATTAATATATTCTAGTTGGTCGCAATTAATAATCGTTTTATTGATGATGGATTATTATTACCTCACCTTTTTTATAGCAACCATCTTGTATGACATGATTTTCATCATCATCATCGAATCCAGGTTTTTAAGGTTAAATTTCAATCCAGTTGATCATTTTATGTTTATCCACTGCATTACTATGATGTGCATCTACGGAAAAATAAAATGAAATAATTTTGTTTTTCGGACTTGATCACGTTCACAAAATATTAATGTTTGCATATTTTCATAGCATCCATCAATCATACCTACCTGTGTGTGTGTGCTGTTTCTGTTACTGCTTGCTTCTGCTGCAAATTCTCATTGTTTGATATTTTGGAATTTCTAGAATAAAAAATTTCATTAATTTCTTCGCTGTCCATGTTCGTTGGGTTCCGTTGTTATCATTCAACTTTGTTGAGATTTTCTTCAACTTTAAGTTTTAAAAAAAAATTCTCCACCCATTTCGAATTAACATAGCATTGAGATTTGTTTACTTGTTTTTTCGATTCCGATTTTCCGTTATTGATCATCATCATTATCACTGACGCCCCATCAACAATGTTGAGAAAATTAAAAGAAACAAAGGAAGAAATATTGACCATGGCTTATTTGCGTCATATTCTGTGGCTTATTTTGATTTTGACATTCGTATATTTAACATTGGTTGCATTCTTCAATGAACAAGCATTACCACCTGATGGACATTTATTCCACATGTTTTCTCTATTTATATTGGCGCATATTTTTGGCCGAATTGCACATATCGTCAATCTGCCAACATTGCTTGGAATGTTGGCTGCTGGTAAGATTTCGAAATTGTTTTAAATAACATGAATTTTTTCACAAACTAATTGAATATATTCGAAAGGAATAATTTATGGAAATCTTGTAGAATTTGAGCTTGACAAAAAGCTTGTTTCTACCATCCGATCATTGGCATTGTTAATCATCCTGTTACGTGCTGGTCTACATTTGGTGCCAGAATATTTACGATATCTATCATTTTCTTCTATTAGAGTGATCGGTATACCGTTTTTTGTCGAAACATTAACCGTTGGCGCTGGTTCCATCGTGTTTTTTAAATTTAATTTCATGTGGTCATTATTAATTGGTTTTGTTTTAGCTGCTGTATCACCAGCCGTTGTTGTTCCATGTATGATTCGTATACAACAATCAGGTTTGAGTGAAGGAAAAGGAATACCTACATTGAATATTGCTGCCGCCAGTATTGATGATGTATTATCGGTGACTGGTTTCAATATATTTTTGGGTTTTGCCATTGATACTGGTGAACATTCAGAAATGTCCACCACTATGAAGTTATTACAAGGACCATTACAAATAATTCTGGGCATTGCATTTGGACTAATCATGGGTTTCATACTTTGGTATATACCCGAACATTATGATAACTGCGATGATGATAGTAAAAAGCATCATGTTCCTCGATTTTTATTACTTCTTATGGCTGGCATGTTTGCATTATTTGGTAGTAACTATGTAGAGATGGAAGCTGCCGGACCATTAGCGGTTCTGGTCATGGCATTCATGGCTACAATAAAATGGAGCCAAAATTGCTGGGAAGAAGATAATGAACATAGTTTGAAAGTCATATGGCTTATATTGAAACGATTTCTATTCTGCTTGATTGGCTGTGAATTGAAATTTAACGTACTTGATGCTGATGTTGTTGGTAAAGCTGTCGCATGTCTTATGATTGGTATTGTACTGAAGGTTATTGTTTCGTATCTGGTTACATATAACATTGGGCTCAATCATAAGGAACGATTATTTGTCGCATTTTCTTGGGTACCAAAAGCCACTGTTCAGGCTGCAATTGGTCCCGCAGCATTGGCAATCGCTGTAACAGAAGAAGATAAAATTAATGGTAAAATCATATTGACTGCAGCTGCATTGTCAATTCTGATCACAGCACCATTGGGTGCAATTTTTATGGATTTCTTGTGTACTCGATTGTTAACAAAACCAGACATTAACGATAACATCAACAACAATAATAACATGCCTATCATCATGAATAACACTCATACAAGCATCATTAATATTCGTAATTCAAAAAATTTGGATTCACCCGCATTAAGTGTTAAAAGATTCACAGTTGATCTTGATTTATGATCCATAATCCATAAAATATATTGATTAGATATTGATTGAATGAATTTATTCCCGAAAAAACCATTGTAATAAAATTATGAACAAACATTTTACAAACAAACATTTATTGATAATCTTATATCTCGATCGTTATCACCAAATTGATAAAAAATTAATTGTTATCTGTTGCTAACGCGAGTACCTCAAACAAAACAAAAAAAGAAGAAGAATCATTCAATTAATAACAGTAGTTGTTTTTGTGCACAGCGTAATGGCAAATTGATTGACGACCTGAAAAAATGAATTTAAACTTTTTTGTACTTTACACCATTCTCACCGTATTTTCAGCGTCTACGGCTCTAGAATATGCTCCAATTGTCAATACTAAACATGGTCAAATTCGTGGCCTAATCAATACAGTCGGTCTTTGGACTAAATCATATTTCTACCAAGGAATTCGTTATGGTTGGATTGAACTTGATTTAGATTTGCAAATAATAATAAATTATTTTAAATTTTTCTTGTATTGTAGCAACGGCTGAAAGATTTTCAAAACCCGTACGCGTCGAATCATTCGATGAGGAAATCTATGATGCAACAAAAGAAAGAAATTCATGCCCACAATTTCTGAATGGACTTGGAAATACGGATGTTCATCATATGACGAATAAAAGTGAAGATTGCCTTTTTTTGAATATATTCAAACCGATACCAAATATCGAAGATGATGATGCCAAATTATTACCCGTAATGGTATGGTTTTATGGTGGCGGTTTTCAATGCGGCACAATATTTTTTCCACTTTATGATGGAACATATCTAGCCAATTATGGTAATGTAATTGTTGTTTCCATTAATTATCGCGTCGGTCCATTTGGTTTTCTTTATGCCGGTACTGAAGATGTACCCGGTAATCAAGCTTTTTATGATCAAATTATGGGACTTGAATGGGTTCGTGATAATATCAAAAGTTTCGGTGGTGATCCTGATCAGGTGACCATTTTTGGTGAATCAGCCGGATCATTTTCGGTATCGACGTTAGTGATATCACCATTGGCCAAAGGTTTATTCAGACGAGCCATAATGCAATCTGGTTCAATGGTTCCAACGATTCGATTTTCCAACAAACAGGGTGCAATAGACAAAACATTGAAATTGGCTAAGGATTTAAATTGTGAGCAACAAGAAATGTCCAAGATTATCAAATGTCTTCGAAGTAAATCTATGGAAGAAATTAAAAATGTAGCAACCGATAGTATTGAGAAAATGATCTCCAATCAAATGATTGGACCAATTATTGGTGATGCCGTTTTACCAAAAGACGTATCTAGATTTCAGCATGGATCAAATGGACCGGTGGACATATTGTTTGGTGTGACACGTGATGAAGGCAGTTTTTTTGTTGTACATTTCCTTCCTGAACTAAAAGATAACAACATCCAGATGAGCGAGGACAAAATTCGAGAAAATATCCGAAAAATTTTATCATTTTATCATATTCAAGATCATGAAGAAATCGAAAATTACTATATCAAACGAATCGACACGACCGATTATAATCAAGTCAGGTGAGAAAATAGTTACCTTTCCATGATGATTTTGTTATTAATTATTGGATTCAGGAAAATGTTTTCCGACTTATTCGGTGATTTACGATTCAACTGTCCAGTAATGTTATACGGTAAACAAATGGCCCGTGCAAATCCAAAGAATCGTTTTTATGCATATCGTTTTGATCGCCGGACAATATTGGCAGATCGAATGCATTGTGATGAATGGATGAATGGATGCCAGAATGGATGGGTGTTTGTCATGCCAGTGCTTAAAATTTGGTTCCAGATGTATGTCTTTCTTATGATGTGCTACGTACAGTTTATCTTCAAACGCTGTTGAACCGATGATACTTTACGCTTTCTTGTCCTGTGTGGAAGTGTTTTATGCAATGTTACAAAGCGGAACCGATTACTGAGTTTACAGCGTCGCTTTGCCACATTCGGTATGATTCGAGCGTATCGAACTGTATCGTTGGAAGCATCTTTGAGTGATTGCTAATATTGTTCCGATCGATTTGAAAATTCAGTTTTGGTGTGAAGTTTTGATGCTAAAAATTATCCTTCTTTGATGTTTGGTTCTTATCAATTACCATTAAAATATGCTGATACAATTCATCCGGCTTTGATCACCTCCTTTGATGTCCACGGAATTAATGATGGCAATATGGAATTTTATTGTGCTAAATTTGATTTTAACGCAATTCGTTTCGAATCGCTTGAAATTTTTAGCGAATACCTATCCCGTTTGGCCTGAATAATTCTGATTGTTCATTTTGCTCTCATCGATGCAGTCCTTGTTGCATTTGTTGCTCGAGTGCCCTGCTTTTCCATTTGGAGGATTCCGTTCTATGATTGATGCCAATTTTGATTCTACTAATGTTGATATGTCTGCTTGCCTCCAAGGCCAGTAGTATTACTATGCCTTTTATTTTTGGTTTTCGTTAATTCTATTTATTCCAAATTAATTGTTCAATGATTGTTTTCTTTTTGTCTTATAATTTATTTTGTAATTTTTCTTATTACCCTTATATTTATAACGGAATAAGGGTTTTCGTTTTGTTAATAAATAAATAAATGATCTTAAATTCAATTATAACTATCGCTGTATGATTGTTGCAGCTAATAACACATTGCAATTAGTATCTGTAAACAAAACGAATTTATAATATTTCCTGTAACAAGAATAAATTTGGTTGGTGGAATGTGATCTGAAATTTTATCCATTCGTGATCATTTTCCTGTCCAGTATATAAAGAATACGGTTTTTCTATGTATTCAGCCATTCAATGATGACAATATATCCACGTGATTCACAATTAAGTATTGATGTTATGAATTCATGGACAAGATTTGCTAACACTGGTGATCCAAGTCCAATCGGCTCGATGGAATGGCCTGAAGCTTTCGATGATAATGAATTACAATCATCAATGCGTTGGATGATTATTGACATTGATTATAAAATTGAAAATGATATCTACAAAGATGTTTGCGAAACAATTTGGACCAAACAATATGATGATTGGTTTGAAAGAAATTTCAGTAGTCAAAAAGAGGAATTGTAAATATATGCTTTATGTAAGTTCATGCTTTTCGCACAGGATGATCGACCGTTAGAATAGAAATTAAACAAAAAAAAAATACAAATTCAGCAAAAAAAATCATAATCATTATCAATAGCAGACAGCTATCGAATAGATAAAAATGTCTATGCAAATAATAATAAATAATAAATAAATGAATTTAAATTCCACGTTGTCGACATTTGCTGTGTTTGTTTTTGTGTTTGAAATTGAATTAAAAAATGTTTTTAAAAATTTTAAAATTCCACTTACTTTTTGTTGGCATATTCTTTTCTGTATCATCAGCACTACATAACGAAGAGGATCAACATGCTCCGATTGTAAACACGAAACATGGCCGTATTCGTGGCCATGTACATCATGTTGGCCAATGGAATCAAGTGCATCTTTACAAAGGAATTCGTTATGGTTTGCTATGAGCATTAATAGTTTGGTTAATTAATGTAGAAATTGATTTTAAAATTTTTCCCAACTTACATTCACAGCTAAAGCAGAAAGATTTGGACGACCTGTCCGTATTGAACATTTTGAAGAAGAAATTTATGATGCTACACATGATCGTGATTCATGTGTACAATTTCTAACCTCTAGCATCATAATGAGGAAAAATCAGACAAACAATGTTGAGGATTGTCTGTATCTAAATGTGTTCAAACCGATTGTGAAATCAAATGAAATCGATGACAATAAAGCACTGCCAATCATGGTATTTTACTATGGTAGTGGATTTCAATCTGGCACAATATTTGATCCAGTTTATGATGCAACTTTTCTGGCTGATTTAGGCAAGGTCATTGTTGTCACTGTAAATTACCGACTTGGTCCTTTGGGTTTTCTTTATGCTGGAACGGATAATGCATCCGGTAATCAAGGATTATATGATCAGATCACAAGTCTAGAATGGATTCGTGATAATATTAATAGTTTCGGTGGTAATCCAAACCAAGTGACTATATTTGGACAATCAGCAGGATCTACTTCGGTTTCGGCTTTAATACTTTCACCGGTGGCTAAAGGTTTATTCCAACGAGCCATAATGCAATCTGGAGTAATAGTTCCAACGGCTGTTAAATATATGAACAAAGAGGAAGCCTTAGCCAAAACAATAAAATTGTCCAGAGAACTTGACTGTACCGACAATGACATGACTCAAATAATTTATTGTTTATTGGGTAAAACCATCGAAGAAATTAAAAACGTATACGACAATGGCACAGTGAAAGATTTGATTTCCAATAAATTATTTGGACCAATATTTGATGATGAAATTCTACCTGAAGATTCGGTCAAATTTGAACATGGATTCTTCAATAACAAGGTTGACATATTGTTTGGATTAGTAAGCGACGAAGGCAGCATGTTCATTCCACATTATTTACCCGAATTAATGGATTATCGTACTCAGATGACAATGGAAAAAATAAAGCAAAATTTCCGAAAAGTTTTATCCGAATTCAATGTGAATAATGTGGATAAAATAATTGATTTTTATGCACAAAGAATTGATCCAGCAAATTTCTATCAAGTCCGGTAAGAATCTATTGTAACATAACATTAAATCTGTATCTTCTGTATTTTAAATTTGTACTTAACAGAAAAATGTTTGCCGATTTTTTCGCTGATCTTCGATTCAATTGTCCAGTCGTGTTGTTTGCAAAGGAAATTGCAAAAGTAAATCCTGAAAATCGTTTTTATGCATATCGTTTTGATCGACTATCAATTGTTTCGGATAAAATGCATTGCTACGATTGGATGGGTGTATGTCATGGTAGCGATATATTGTATACATTCAGTCATCCATTCATGAATTATTATCCACCGGATGCTCGTTTAAGTCACGATATGATAAAATCATGGACAAAATTTGCCCGTACCGGACAACCAGGACCGATTGGTCCGTTTGAGTGGCCAAAAGCATTTGACAGTAATAATAATTCATCAATACAATGGATGTTGTTAGATGTTGGATATCGAACAGTTATTGATATTTATGAGAATTCATGTGAACATTTATGGCGCAAACAATATGTGGATTGGTTTGCGAAAAAATCTTCCATAAAAGATGAATTGTGATTATGATTAGGATAGTTCGATACTTTTTTTAAATAAAAATAAAATTATATCGCTAGATGGCAATAGCTATGATGACAAATAATCAAAAACGTGCTCTCTTCGAATGTGAATTTGTTTTTGCTTGCAATAATCATCATCATCATATAATATAATCATCAATCAAAATCAATCAAAATGGATAAAAAATTGGTAAATAATCAGGTAAATTTTAATTCGGAAATTTTTTTGAAAAATTCTCAGTTAATTTAATAAAATTTCTTAGATTGTTACTATGAGAAAGCATGTCAAAATTGCTAGAAATCGAATTTCCCAAAAGATTTATCGGTCAATCAATCAGATAAAACAGAAAATTGTTAAATGGGAAAATATCGAAAATGTTGATAATGATACCAAACAAAAGTAAGTGAGATCTACGATTTTGAATTGGTATAAAATAACAATAAATATTTAATTAGACATTTATGCGAATTGAATCAAAAATTACAATCACGACAAATTGATGCAAAAGAATTGAAATCCATCACACCTGATACTATTTCAAAGAAGGCTCTAGTCCATGATGATAATTTTCTTGATTCATTGTTGAAAAAGGTAGATGAATGTGATGAAAAAAAAGATAATATTTTTTCAAACGAAAAACATTTTTTGTATTCAAGGCCAACACTCCAGTTACGGAACGATTAATTGCACGTGTATGTCAAAATCCACAAATTCAATCTTGTGTTAAAAAATTTCGTCTCGAAAATCCTGGATATGAACAATGGTTACCAGTTCAAATTGAACTTTGGTACGAAAAACGTAAAATTCAAAAAGACAAATTGAAAAATGTGGATAAAACTGGTGCTGTACATCGACAAAATAACGATATCCAAAAAGAGAAAAATTCCCAGCCCAAAAAAGCTTCAGTAGCTATGAATGATCAAAAAGAAAAGAAACAAAAACAAGAATCATTTCCAACCGAAAAAATACGCCATTCTTTGCCTAAATTAGCAATAAAGAAATCACCATCAAATCCGAGGCTGTCTTTGTCGAAAAAACGCAAATCTTTTGCATCGACATTTCAGGTTACACAATTGAATGAAAATTCTTCCAATAATGATATTCAGATTGATGCCGTAAAAACAAAATCAGCCGTGATCAAACGAATCAATTTGAATTCAATGTCAGATAAAATACTGGATGATGATGAAAGTGATACGAATAATCTGGTAAAAGTTGAAAGTTCACCGAAGAAAATGCCCGTGAAAGATGGATTTTTTCTTGGTAAACAAAACGATAACGACAAAGATCCGATTACAAATATCGAAGAAGATTTCATCCAAATGCATTATGCATCCGATGATGATCAATATTTAAATGCAAAACCGAATAATCATAATAATAAGAATAAGACATCTAATGACTATAAAAAGAAATTTCATAAATCATTTAATGGTAAAAAATTCGATTCCTCAAAACAAAATAAATCATTCACACCAAATGTTAAACGTCGATATTTTGATGTTGATGATCGTTCGAAATCTGAACGGATTGAATCGAATCGAAAAATTCATCCCTCATGGCAGGCAAAAATGCAATCGAAAGAAAGGCAAAAAAATTTAATCAATTCTTCAACGAAAAAACTGAATAAACATACCAAATTTTCATGAATTTTTCCTCATTTATTATCGACTATCACTGACAATAAATAACATGTTTCTTTTCGTTTTCCCGATAATGTAACTAATTAATTGTTCAAAATCATATCGATACAATAGGTAGTCAGATGAATGATTGATGCTTGTACGGTATATTGTAATATTAAAGCACCAAAACCTTTGAATAGGCCACTAGTTCCTTCTTGCTGTATAATCGATTGATAACAATCTGTTGCTGAATCATAATTAGTTATCAATGGTATAACTGCCGTACGTCCATCCACGTTGTCGATTAATGTTCGTGTTCCTTGCAGAAATAATCGGTAGAGAATATTTTGAAATGGATACATTATAATGTCTGTCAATATATGAGCATAGAATGAGCTTTTCAATTCATTCATTAAAGTGTTATCAGATATTTTTTTCAATTGAATCGTATCGGTCATCACCAAATGGCTTGGGTATGATTCATCATATATTTGGGATTGTTGTAATTGATATTCGCTTGGAACGGTTTTCAATTTCAATTTCTTTTGAATATCGATATCACCATCACCATCAAAATAGTATCGAAGTATAGCCTGACGGATTAATGAATGTAGAACATAGTAACAAAGATGGTATAGAATGCTGGGGCCAACCAATCGATAGATGGGTAATTTTCTGTCCTTACGAAAATGTACGATCCGTAATAAACCTTCTTTGATGTGTTCCAATGGATATGGCGATTCACCAACGATCCATGATTGTACCATTTCAATACTACTTGAACAGTAGAATGGTGTTACAATCAGTATGGCAAGACTTTTCAATGCTAGATGTTTAACAAAACGTAACGATAACAGGCTGGCCATCGAGCCAAAATCAAATTCACTAATAAATAAATTGATGAAATAAAACAGAAAAAAAATTAATAACACACCAAGCCACAAACAAAATGTCTTACATTGGAAATTGCAACAGGTTATAAATGAATGATTCGGATCCAACAAGAAGAACATGATTGATTAGTATAGTAGGTAATCCTTTGAAAAATGTAGAGATGCCTTGTTTATTCTGTAATCGCAACATGAATGGTATCACAGTGAACGGTGTCAAATGGTAGGCTTGACTTCGGTTGTTTACCTATTTACATGAATCGAGGATGATTACATAAAAATAAAATCAATAATAAATACCGAACCTGAGCTTGTCTACGAACAACCATAAATGGATGACTAATAACATATTCGTTCAACAAAGAAATTATTGATAATATATTTGAGCGAGAATTTTCAATCAATGCTTCATCTTTCGATGCTGATGTAGGTCTCGATGGATTGACGATACCAACCTGTTTGTTTCCTATTGGATAATCTAAATCATGAACTTTATAGATTGATTGATCATCCAATGTTGCGATTGGTGATGGTGGTTCATTATAAGATCTATCATCATCATTGGGCCGGAAGAAATCAGAAAGATTTGGATTATTCGTCGCTTGTTGAGTTGATTGTATGAATCCTTGTGATTCATCCGAAAACAAGTAAGGATTCGTTCTGCTCTGGTTTTTTGAAATATAATCTGACATTGCTAGAAATATCTAAAAAATACAATCGAATGAATCAATCAATTAAGCAAAACATTTGAACTTGGAATTGAATGATCCAACCTTATGATTTTTATGTTGAATGGCGATGGGCGAATTCAATAAATTTTATTCGATACTATTCATTTAAACTCATTTTTGCAACACACAAACGACACGTTTCAAACAATCACTTTTTATTGGATTTCCTCAAATCAATTCAATATTTTCATTATAACAAGATGGAAGAAATTCCTAATCAAGAAATATCAACAGATAATCAGGATAAAGAGAATAATGTTCTCACACTTGAAGGTTTGTTTTAATTAATTGTTTCAATCTCTTAAATGATAATTTTTTTTTTGTTTACATTCAGTGTTGTGCATAATCAAACAAAGTCAACTTCAACATGGTCTAAAACATGGTGATTATCAACGTTATCGACAATATTGTGCCAAACGTTTACGAAGAATTCGTAAAGCTTTAGGCTTTGTTCAAAGTGTTGGATCGAAAAATCGTACCACTTATCAACCGAAACCGGTGACACCACAAATAGCATTTGAGGAGAAAAATCAAAGTTCTAAAAATGCCATCAAATATCTTTACATTCCATTGATTTGTGCGGAACGTAGCTGGGCATATGCTATGCAATGTAAACAGGAAGCAAGCACTGAAACTCGGCGTAAATTTCATATGATTCGTCGCTTACGGAAAGCCGTTTATTGGTCGACTAAATTACGTGATCTTTGTAATGATGAGAATAGTCGTTGTGATGCACGGACTAAATTGGAAACCTGTGCATATGCTGATTATCTAAAAGGTCTTTATTATTTTGAATTGGACCAATGGCAACAGGCATCCGATTTGTTGAATTCGGCACAAAACATCTATGAACAATTGTATAAAGTGTTGAAAGATGAAGAAATAATGAGCTGGTACAAACAACGAATAGATGAAATCAAACCAACATTACGATATTGTGCATTCAATATTGGTGAACAAAAAATTGGCGCCAAAGAACTGATCAAAGAGATTAAAAATGATCAAACACTTTCGAATAAAATTGATGTGAGTCAATTTGAGATTACAGATTTTAAAACTGAATCAAATTAAAAAAAATATTTTTTCCCGTTCACAGCAATTAATCAGTCAGACAACTGAAAAACAACCAGATGCGTTTGATGTCGAATGGTTGGGCAAAACAATGTTTATCAAACATGATAAAATTCTACGATTTTTGGATCAGATCAAAGATACGAATAATGATTGGAGTCAGCTTAGTTTTTTCGAACAAATGATTTTCGATTGTCGTGATTGTCTACAATTGTTACGTGATAATAATGCGGATAAATCATCACAATATTTTTATCTTACCTATCTTCGTTTGGATTTGATTATCAAACGAAATCGTTTGTTAATTACAACCCTACAAAATCCATCCGATCTACTACGACAATACGAAGCCATTATTGGATGTTATAATGAGATAAAATTAATGAATCTATCACAATCATTTCCGGATAGTTTTTTGGTGGAAAAATTTATGGCCGAAATCGATGCACAGACCGTTGCATATAGAGCATATCGATGTTATTATATTGCACATGTGGGCAAAGAAAATTGGAAAGAATCGATTGCAATGTTGAATCGTTCAGCACATTATTGTCAAGAATCGCTGCAAAGTGAATATGTTTCAAAGGTACATTATTATATATTCGTCACGAAAAACGGAATTAATTCAACTTGTTTTTGAAATCAAACAGGAAACCAAACAAGAGATTCAAAAACTTTTGAGCAAAGCCAATACTGAAACATTTCAAATTTATGGTGAAAACATTTCCAAGGATACGACAGAACCAGAATCATCATCATCATCAATACTTGATGATAAGGTAAAACAATCACAACAATTATTCATTTTTAAAAATTATTTGTCTTTGTTTTCTTTCATTAGCCATTGATTGAACGTCTTGATACGTTTATTGATGACCCTGAATTATTGAGTGGCAATTCATCATTTGTTCAATTACCATCAGAATATCGTGCTATACCTGCTAAGCCTTTGTTCTTTGATTTAGCCTTGAATCATATACGATTTCCTAATCTAGATGAAGAAATCAATGCCAATAAAACGCAAGGAGGTCAATCCGGTCTAACCGGAATGGTTAAAGGATGGCTTGGTGGTTGGCGAAAATGAAATTTCTTGTAATAATAAAATATTATTATGAATTAATAAAGCACATTAGTATGATTTTTTTGATTTTAATTTTAAAATTTTTTTATTATTGTGAAATTTTTCCCACTAAACCCATTCACGTGGATTTTTTAAAACTTCCATTAATGCCGATTCTTTGGAATTTTCAGCCAAGCAATGTTGATATTCCCAACGTGCAACCAATGGTAGTGACATTAGAATACTTTCATAACGAGCTCCAGGTGTCATTAGGCCAAATTTTGTACCACGATCATAGATAAGATTAAATTCAACATAACGACCGCGACGAATTAATTGCCATTGTCGATCACTGAGTGAATATGGTTTAGTTGCATTACGATCAATAATTGGAATATATGATGGTACTAATGAATGTGCACAATCCCTGATAAATGCAAACGCACGTTTCTGATCCGGATAATCAATGTCATCGAAAAATAATCCACCAATACCACTATGTGAGCGATAGATGAAAAAAATTAACTTTTAAAACTCAAATTCTGAATACAAAAATCAAAACACAAACATACCGTCTTTCATCACGATGTTTAATGTAGAAATAATCATCACACCATTTTTTAAATCGTTCATAATAATTACGATCATGTTTATCACATGCTTGTTTTAGATGACGATGAAAATGTCTGGCATCTTGTTCATCAAGGATATATGGCGTCATGTCGGTTCCACCACCAAACCACCAATGATTTGATTTTTGATCTTCATTTGATTCGATTTCAAAATAACGAAAATTGAAATGTAATGTTGGTACATTCGGATTCCTTGGATGAATCACAGAACTAACACCTGTGGCAAAAAATTTCAATGGTTCCGTTGTTGAAAGATGTTTACCACGGGAACGCATCTGTGCCGCTGCTTGTGGGGGTAATTGTCCATGTACTACGGATATATTGACCCCGGCTTTTTCAAAAACGGTACTATCCTGTAGAATACATGTGATGCCTCCACCACCTTCTTGTCGTAGCCAACGATCTGAATGAAATCGTTTTACTTTTGTTTCATCAATTTCATCCGTGTATTTTGTTTCCATTGATTCAAGTGCTTGACAAAATTCCCGTTGTACTTGCATGACAAACAATTCGAATTGATGTCTCATAGAACCGTTTTGTGCCTGTGATAATAACTCATCTTTAGGTGTTATAGATTCTGCCATAAATTCATAATAAGAATTATATTGATCATTTGAAGAGCCCGAAAATCCAAAAAGGCTTCCGAAACTGAATGCCAACATTGCCGTACCAGTTTTCCGGTGCATCTGTGCTAAAGGCTGATGCTTTCGATAAATCTGATGACATTTTCGAGTGAATTGACAAAATGCAACTGCAAAACATCGAACATTCGAATAATTATAAAACATTTTTCAAACAGAAAAAAATTATTGACTCATGATATGAAAAGGATAAACAACGAGATATATTCTAGTTCAATAAAAAGAAAAAATCAGCTGATTGCTAATTTTTTCAAATCTTGCCCATTGTTATGTGCATTGATCATTATCGATGTGTGTGTGTGTGTGGTGGCTTCTATGAGAGCACTAAAAATCAGCACTCACACACACACACACACGACGAAGGGCGAGCACGTAAACATACAAACACAATACACGCATGATAAGAGATTACAATTGACGATATCATCAATTTTTTAATGAAACAAAAAAAATGCTTCTTTTCTTTCTAATTTCATTCTGGCCTACTTATGGCATTTACCTATCAACAAATTATACCTCATTCTAAATGTATTTCCTTTCTTGTATGTGCTACTCCCATTATAATCATCGATATGTATCGCTCAAATGTATTACCGATCATCATCATCCTGAAATGATATTTAATAATAATTAGAATAATGGTTGGATCCCTACCGGATTTGATGGATCATTTCATCGATAATGATAATCTCAATCCATTCACATCAATGACGAATGGTTATATTTCCAACAACAATCATCATCATCGAACAGTATCCAATCATGTTGCACAAAATTATAATAGTAATGATAATAATTTTAAAAAAACCAATGGTTCCTTTAATTTTAATATGGCCAAGTCAAATGGCTATAATTCTTCGATCAAAGAATCAATATCATCATCATCTAGTCCTGAAAGGAATGACCAAGAATGGCAAAAAGTTCTTTACAAACGTCAAGGTGTTCCAGATAATTATGTTCCAACAACATTTCTTAAAGATCTACGAAAAAATGGTTTGAAATGATAGTTTTTATTTCATTCAAATTCATTCAATTGTTTATTATCTTCACACAGTAAATTTACGTCGTTTTCATTTGATGGAAATAATTGTTGCCGCAAGTATTGTAACGCAACAAATAGTATTGATTGTGATTCTGATCATGATGTTTATCTATTTTGATTCATATGACAATCATTATGATCATATTCTCTTCACCATTGTGGCTTTGGTCACCATTTTCCTGTATACATTCATATTTATTTCTTCCAAATTTCAAGGTATTTGCTAGTATTTTCTTACTATCTTACTAAAAATCATCTTTTTCATTGAAAATGTTTACACTTTCTAGAAATAATACAGATAAAAAGTTGTCTGATATTTTTGATCGCATGTTTTACAATGAGTCCAGTATTGAAAACATTAACAGAAACAATTAGTACGGATACTATTTATGCTCAATGTACAATCATGGCATTTGTTCATCTTGCCTTTCATGATTATGGTTTAGATGCAGCAATGGTTAGTCAACCAATATCATTGAATGCAATATTTTTTGCATCAGTTTGTCTGGCATCACGTTTATCCACTAATTATCATGCATTCGCCTTTCTCATATTCTCCACTGATCTTTTCGTATTGATCAGTTCAATGTATCAATCATTCGAACGACAAACAAAACTATTCACGACAATAATGTTTACCATTATCACATTAATTATAATTGAATTGACATTCGGTTTGGTCGGTTTTTTCGCCTCAATTATATTCGTTCTATTCATCAATCTCATATGTCCATATATTTTTCTTCGTATGCAAATATTGAAAGAGTAAGTGTATTTTGTGTTTGTTTCAATCATCATTCAAATTAATAATGAAAACTAAATTTACGATTCACACACACACAGCAATATATACGGTCCTTGGGACGAAGCAATCATCGATGGAAATGCATTGAAATTTTCTTCAAAAAATTTTAAAAAGAAATTCATTATTAATGGCTTTCATCATCATCATAATCATGAACTTTCGTTAAATTTTCAATATTCAAATAAATCATCGGAATCATCAAATCCATCATCACCGTTGAGCCCAATGAATGTTTCAAATATCTTTACAAATTCATAATTGATGCCAGTTTATTTTTTGCTTTCGGAATGCAACTTTTTTTCGTGGTTATATATACAGTTTTGTTGTTTTTGAAAAATTGATTTTACCTGTTGATATTATTATGAATTATTTATATGTAAAAATTACGTTGATACGTACAAAACTTTAATAAAATAAGAAATAATTAAATAATAATAATAATAATTCAGAAAAAAATACAACATCGAGCAATATTAACAATCAAATTCATGCATTTTTTTCACCAATAATTTATCACAGCATCATGAATGGTTGGATATAACTTACAGTTGTGTTTTGAATGTTGAGTTTTTATGAAAAAATTTGCATTTTTCAACGTTCTAATTATATGATGTGGACAATTGGCTAGGCATGTATAAATATGTTTTGTTTGTAATGATTTAATCACTTCGATTAGTACATCGATGCCAGTTTTATCGATAAATGGCATACCACTAAAATCCAAAATCAAAGCTTTATATTCATTATTGTCAACATCACTGGAAATGATAAATGAATCGATGATTTTCTCTTTGAATGAATCAACATTCAGATAAAATAATGGTGAACAGAAACGATAGATTTTTACTCCAGGATATTCCAATAAGTTATTGTAGCTATCTTTTTCCAGATAAATTTCGGTGGATACTAAATGTGCAAGTATTGATATTCTAGGACTAAAAATGGAATTAATTAAAATGGAAAAAATCAACCAAGCACAACTTACAATGCCAATTTGATTAGAATAACCAATATTGCAGAAATGATTCCAATGATTAGACCATAATCAATGTCAAGAATAATGACGGATAAAAATGTAATCATCCAGGCCGCCTATAATAAATAAATAAGAATTTGTATTGAAATAAAATTATTTACATTTCATCAACGAATCATAATTACACCATCTAATCGGGAAATGAGCCAGAAAATTTTCACATCAGTTATCTGTAGAAACATTGATTTCAATGCAACTAAAACGATGCATGATAGTGTAAACTGTAAATTCGTGGAAAAAATTTTTGAATAAATTAATAATCAAACTTATTTAAATCAAATTTAAATCCATTACTTTAGGCAAATGATAAAGGAATGGTGATAGGAAGAGCAACACTGTTAATATGATCGTTGATGATACAAGACCGGCAATCTGTGTTTTGCCACCAATTTTCTCTTGTAATGTTGAACGCGATAAAGCAGCTGAACATGGATAGGCCATAAAAAATGATGAGAATATATTGGCTGTACCAAGTGCAAATAATTCTTGGTTCGGTCGAATTTGATGGCCATGTTTTTTGGCGAATATCTTGGCCAATGATAATGAAACGGCAAAACAAATTATGCTTAGTACGAGTGAATCGAAAAATATGTTGGGCATTATATCGAATCGTGGTACGGTTGGTTTTGGCAGACTAAATTATTATGTCAATATTGAATGTGAAAAAAATCAATAAAAAATAAAATGAAAATTATACATTTTGAATATCGGACAAATTGACATTTGTAAATTCAATGATTCAACTAAATACTACTAACCCAGTAGGCACTTTTTTCACCACTTGTATATCAAATTGATGGTTAAACTTGAACAACCATGACAACACAATTGATGTAATCACTAAAATAAGGTCAATTGGCAATGGAAACGAGGTGAAATTTTTCAACTTTGGTTCCAACAACTCTTTCGATACGATTAATATTGCAATGGATATGATTGAAAATATCAAACAGTGTATGTTGATCGCATCATAATGTTTTGCCAATATTATCCAGGTCTGTCGGTCAGATATATCCAAGTAAAAAAAGATTCAACAAAAATAGAATTAACGACATTAATTTGGTTAGCGGTATGAAATTAAAAATGTCTTGCAATCCAAAAAAACAACTTGAAATTAAAATTATTTCATCAATAAAATTGGTTATGGGATATAAATCACCGATTTTCAAATATAATCGATGGTAAAAGTGTGAATCATTTTTATGGATTTTTCGTCCAAAAAAACAACCATAATTGATTAATCGATAAAATTATATTTAAAAAAACAATTTATAACTGATGTTTGGAAAGAAGAAAAAATCCAATAAAATGGATAAATAAGAGCATCATCGATATAAAAGTTAATTATAGTCATAATATTTGTCGTGAAACTATCATCTCACTAACAAAAACAATTAAAAATAATCGAATGTTACAATCTCTCTTTCTATAAATTCAATTTTTTAAAGGCGGAAATTTACACACACAATCTCATAATTTTCAAATTTGTTTCTCATAATATGATCACCCATAAAAACTGAGAGGGAGAAATTTCTTATTCGTGCATCATTAAATTTGCGTTCATTTGATTGATGATCACCATCGATGAACCTGATCGATCAGATTCGATTCAATCAGTAATGTGAAATGGAGATGAACCACCACCCATGAAAGATTATTCTAAACTCGTAATATCAATATCTTGGTGGGATGTTTTCACACACATACATATACACAAATCTCCCTATTAGCCTGTTGATTACGATCAACAGGTTCTTCTTCTATTGCTATTGCTATTTATTAAAGAAAATTTTCATGTTGTTGTTCACCATGATTATAAATTCTTCTTAATAAAAACAATTTTAAAATTGTTTTTCTCGTTAAAAACAACAACAATAAACTCATCTAATAGTCTCTGAGTTTCAGAAAAAAATTTTCAAAAATATATGCACATACCTTGATCAATTTTAATGGTCCACTCTTAGCCAATGTTACATTGGTGAAGCCAAAAATGGGACTTAATTGTGATGTAGCCACATGAAATGCAACTGCAGTGGAAAAAGCCGATACAAGCTGTTCAGATAGAATTAATGAAAGTGATCCTAAACGCATTAATCCCATGATGATCTGAATGATACCACAAAGTATACAGACACTGGTCAATACTTCAAGTGTGGTTGGTGTGTTCATCATCATTATCGTTGATGAATTGTCAGTAACTAAACTCGAATGGTCGGTCACTGTGATTGAATCGTTCATTGGTGAAGAACTTATATTTTTGAGATGATTCCCATTAATAGTTCCCATTTTCATTGCAATATTATTCAACATAATACTAGCGATAGCGAAAGTACCCACCGATATATGTGGTGATGTTCCCAATAATGCGTAGATTAAAACAGGAAAAAATGATACATACAATCCATGAACAGGATCAAGACCGGCCAACATTGAGTAGGCAATACCTTGTGGTATATGTAATATAGAAACGGTAATACCAGCAATTATATCCGGACCTAACCATGATCGCCATGAATATTTAGGTAACCAATCTAGTATAGGAACATGTGAACGTATCAAATCCAATGGTGAACAATTACATGATGAGCCATTATTTATCGGAATGATTTTCTTCATTCTCATCAACATGGATGAATCGTGTTGTTTTTTTTCAGAGGCGGTAAATTTTTTCTTCTCTTTTTCATCGACCAATGAATGCATTTGTAATACATTTCTAGTTATTTCAATATATCTGCTTTGTTTGATTTGATCGATACTATTATTTTTTGAATGATTGAAAAAATTATTATTATCATACATGTTGTGTACAAAAATTTCAAAATTTTCATTCATTTCTTGTGATGATGATGATGATGATAATGGTTGAAGAATTTTTTTAGACGGTTCTGAACGTCTAGTCGATGATGATGAAGACCATGAAGATCGAGATCCATTATTTGGAAGATTTGAAGTGGATAAAATTTTATCCGGAAGTGATAGTGATGAACACGAGATAAGTTTTCGATCTTGCCGATTATCATTGAAATTATTATTATCGTTTTGATCAGACATTTCATCACTTCAATATTAACCGTTCCTTAGTAAATTGATGAATGATAAATCTATGGGTTAAAAAATGGCAAAATAATTATATAATGATCAAATGATTAAGATTTGAATATTTACATGCTTTTATTTTCGTTCAATGTCAATATTTAAACATTTTAATGATAAAATTGAATTAGAAATAATCACAAAACACACACACACACACACAAACATAAACATAAACAAATTAACACTTTTTCATACATATAAAACTGATGGTCAAGTGATAATGAATGAAATTTAAATTAGAATTTATACACTAAGAATTATCGTGATTCGAATATACGATATGATCATTTCGAATGGCAATAAAGAATTGACTAAATGAGAGTTGATTCAGTTTCTTTATGTAATAATGGTTAAACACATTTGGGGATTTTTTCTGTATTTCTTTCTTCGCTTTCAATGGTCATACATAAAAAATGAAAAATGAAGAGACTGACTGACTGACTGATTGACTGAATGTATGAATGAATGAAATTCTCTCCCTTTCGTTCTTTTCTTTTCTGTTCTTTTCTCTTCAATCAATAACATCATCTTATTTGAAACATCTAAACTAGTTTGTTATAGCAAAACTATTAAATCATTTTGATATATCTGACTATGTGTGTATAGACAATATATACATTTTGGTTAATGATGATGGCAATGAACAAATAGATAAAAAGAGAAAAAAGAATGAAAGAAATGAAATGACTGATTAAGTGAAGAATAGATTGGTTAATCGTTATCGTTTTTATACAAAGCGGATTACTAAACGAATAATCGATCAATCAACCAATATTTCTATATCTCAATATTATATATTTACTTTAAAATGGATATCATTTATGATAAAGATCGTTAAAAAATGATTAGTAATCTTGGTTGTTGTTGTTCCCCTATATCATTTTATCATAGATAAAAACTGAAAATTGCGAAAAAAATTTGTGATGCGATAATTTTCCCATTAAAAAAGAATTTTGGTCATTTGGTCATTTGATTTAAATCGATTGAATTACAGTGTCGACAGGTCATTCAAACCAACCACATCAATCGACATACATTCTATATGAATCATATATCTTGGGAAAATTTAAAGAATTCAGGATATTTATTTATCCGAAATGAGTGTTCAATTGACCTTTTTTTCTCAAGCTTAAAAAAAATTTTGTTGTTGTTAATATTAGTTAGATAATTGACAAAAAATGGTACTTAAATAATAGTTAAACAAGTCATTATGATGATGATCATTATCATCATTCAACGACATTATCATCACGAGTGTAACGATATTTAAACTCAGAGGGTACCACCACAATAATAATGATGATGATGATGATTAGTTCAATTATGAACGATTGAGTTGTTTACTATAAAAAAGGTCAATTGAAATATTGTAATTTAAAAAAAAATTCAAGTTTTAAAAAAAGATAAGACAGGAAAAAATTCGACCAATACAAATTCACAAGGACAACAACAACCAAGCGAAAAAAATTCTTTTGTTACCAATCATCATCTTGATGATGATGATGATCGGAGAAATAGACAACAATAATAATAAAAACCGTAAACAAAACAAATTCATTCGCATTCAATTATGAACAATATTTGTTTGTCTGAATGGAATGTTTTTGAAATGATAACAATAATGATTCGAGTACCCTTTTTTGAAAATCATATTTCAATTTACAATATAACAATACTTCATATCATTAATTATCCGTTTTTATTCAACCGGAAACAAATGTTTGAATAACATAGAAAGAAGACAAGATCCAAACAAGGAAGAAAAAAATTCTTTATCGTTCTGAGTACAGAATAAAGTTTTTTTTGTGAATGATGTGGTGCATATATTTCTCACAAATCGAGATTATTGATAAAACAAACAAACACATCAAACACCCGCAGAGGATACAAGTACACTATTGATAAATGACATGACAAGATAAATTAAGTCAAATTTTAAAAAAAATTTCAAATTTGTTTCGGTCATCTATTTTCTTTTATTTTTTGAAAAAAACCCTTTAGCCAGGTACAATTGATCATAGTAAATGACCCATTCGACATATCGATGATCATCATTATAAATATAAATTTAATGTTGTTATAAAACAAATAGAAAGAAGGAATGAAGAAAACAACTACTTACCCATATTTTTCATTCCATTATCGATGATTGGAAAAATTTGCAAATGTTTCCTATACACAAACACATACAATTAAAATAAAATATCAGGAAATAATAATCATCACCTTATTCGTTTTGATGGCCATTGATGGTCAACCACAATAATACACAATGATTAAGGCCGATAATGATATGGAAAGAGCGAGATTACAATCACACAAACATTAATATTATCGATTTTTATATTTATATGAATCAAAAAAGGGGTAATTTAAAAGATTCCACTACATTAACCTTTGGTGGTGGTCTTGATCGTCGCCGATGTTAAAACTGGATGATCAGAAAACCACCAGGACATTATAAGATCAAAAACCTTTTTAAAAAATATCGATAAATAAACAGCTGTGCAGGGTGCAACCAACCTACATGAATCGAAGAAAGGTGAACCACTAAGAATGTGTGTGTGTGTGTGTGATTCCTTTGATCGAATATTCATCATGCGCTGATTCTCAAATTCGAATTCTGAATAAAGACAGAAAAAATTTCATCTTGCTAAAGTGTCGCCATCTTGACGTACTCGTAATCAACTTCTTGACGCTTTGTTTTATAGTGGAACACGTGGATCTACAATCAGAAATTATCATTTTTTTTATTTCAAAGAAAGAAAGAAATGGATTCAATTTTTAAACTAAATAAACAAATTGAAAATCGAATACAACAACTGGAAGAATTATCATCCAATCATATTGTTGAGAATTATGTCGATAATCAAACAATAACCGGAGATTCTTCAAATGTTGAAAGAGACGGTAATTGTAATTGTTTGTTTGAACTAAATTTAAATATTTTTGTTATTATTATGCTCAGTGCAAAATCTTCGTACGGAAAATTTGAAGTTACGTTATCAATTAGACATTCTTAAAGCTGCTATTGAAAAGTTGCAATCCGATCATCCAGGTAAGCATTTGTTCCACACACACAAAAATCATATTACAGATTAAAGAAACAGTGGTACAGCGCTAAAGTGCTAACAACAACGAAAACGTGGTATGATTTTCGTACGTGCACTTGGCGCTGTTGGGTTTTACATACGAAATTCGTGTACATTTTTCTTCGTGAAAAGAAACTGGAGGTGTAGAAAATCAGTAAGGAGCATTACACTTTTGCTTTCTCTTCGCCTTTGCCGTTACTTGAAAAAACGATTTTTTTCTGTTTGCACTGTTTCTGGTTGTTTCATTGCCGTACACGTGAATTTTTTTAATGAATATCTCAATGATTAATTGATAATTGATTTTTTTTAAATTTCATCTTTTCAGATTTACCCGTGGTCAAACGTGTATCATCGAATCGAGCAACTATGATTAGTATTCTGAAAGAGCTGGAACGTATTTTTTCGAATGCATTTCAAAAAGCTTTTCCCACATTGACGAATGTTGGTGTAGAATTTACACGAAGTGAATATGCTGATTTTCAATGTAACAATGCATTGAAATTGACAAAATTATTACCAAAAAGAAAAGTCCAATTGAAATAGCCAAGATGATAATTGTTTCGTTGGAACCGAATGATATCATTGAAAATGTTACCGTTTCTGGGCCTGGTTTCATCAATATAACCATTAGTGGAAAATTTCTTTGCAGTGAAATTTTAAACATTATCACCAATGACGTTCACATTAACCTTTCCGATAACAATGACAAAAGGCCGATTATCGTTGATTATAGCTCCCCAAATATTGCCAAAGAGATGCATGTTGGTCATCTTCGTTCAACAATCATTGGCGATAGTGTTGCTCGCCTGCTGGAATTTGTCGGTTTCAATGTTTTACGAATAAATCATATCGGTGATTGGGGAACCCAATTCGGCATGTTGCTGACACATTTGATGGATACATTTCCAGATTTCGAGACTAAACCACCACCAATCGAAGATTTACAAACTTTTTATAAACAATCGAAAAAACGTTTTGACGAAGAGGAAGAATTTAAAAAGCGAGCACTAGAGACGACTGTTCGATTACAATCAAAAGATCCGCTACTCATTCAGACATGGAATTTGATTTGTGATATTTCACGTAAAGAATTCGCTGAAATTTATCAAATATTGAATATAAGTAAAGAATTGATGGAACGTGGTGAATCATTTTATCAAGAGCGAATGATCGATGTCGTACAAGATCTGACTGAACGTGGATTCCTGGTGGAAGAAGATGGACGTAAAGTTTTCTATCCGAAAAATAGTAACGTACCTCCATTGACCATAGTTAAATCGGATGGTGGTTTCACCTACGATACATCCGATATGGCTGCCATTCGACAACGTACAAAGGAAGAGAATGCCTCTCGTATTATCTATACGACCGATTCCGGACAAGCTGTGCATTTTAAATCATTTTTTGATTGTGCTCAAATATGTGGCTATTACGATACGAAAAAAACTCGTCTCGATCATCTTACGTTTGGTGTGGTGCTTGGTGAAGATCGAAAACGATTTAAAACACGTTCTGGTGAAACGGTTAAACTTAAAGATCTTATCAATGAAGGTTTAGAACGCTCGATGCAGAAATTATTGGAAAAAGAACGTGATAAAGTTTTGACGAAAGAAGAACTGGCCATCGCTCAGAAAGCCGTTGCAATTGGCTGCATTAAATATGCTGATCTTTCTCATGATCGTAATAATGATTACATCTTTAGTTTTGATCGTATGTTAGACGACAAAGGTAATACGGCCGTTTACCTTCTCTATACAATCACACGAATCCGTTCGATCATAAGGAATTGTAATCTGGATCGACAAATCAAAGATATTGGCAATGAATTCCGACACAATTCCTTGTTTCAGTTGGATCACCAGAAAGAGATCAAATTGGCTAAATTTATTCTCAATTTCCCGGATATTATCATTCAAATTGTTGATAATTTATATCTACATCTTTTATGTCGTTATCTATTCGATTTATCGGTCATTTTTACTGAATTCTATGATCAATGTTATGTTATCGAAAAAATTGGCAGTACGACAAAGATTAATCTGAATCGTGTAATTCTATGTGAAGCTACTGTAAAAATTATGGAAACTGGTCTAGACATTTTGGGTATAGAAACTGTAGAAAAGATGTAATTTTTTATGAAAAAAAAATTTAAATAAAAATTATTTTGTCATCTTCACCCAATCGGTTCATTGATGTAAAAATAGACTTGTCCATGTGATGAGTTTTGTTGGAATTTTGAAAAGAATTCATCATCGTCTATAATTTGTAAATATTCACAAAATTATTGATATTACCATCATGTTATCTCGTAATTCAATCAAAATTCTTAATTCACATTATACCAAAAGATTATTTCCCACACATGCATTATTACAACACCGAAATCGACATGATGCATCTGATTCATTGAAAACGACGCCATTATCTCAACAACCAGAAAGTATGATGAATTACTGCTTTATTTGATTGTTAACATTATTATTATTATTATTATTTTTTGTATAGATTTTTCAACACCAATCTATAGGAAAACTGAAAAAGATGAATTGGAAACAAAAATTACCACACTCAACAATGGTTTAAGGGTGGCATCACAGAATAAATTTGGTCAATTCTGTACAGTTGGTGCTGTCATTGATTCAGGTTCTCGATATGAAAGAAATCATGTGAATGGAATATCACATTTTATCGAAAAATTGGCGTTCAATTCGACCATCGATTTTGATAGCAAAGATTCAATAATGAAAGTGTTGGAAAAATATGGTGGCATTTGTGATTGTCAAGGTTCACGTGATACATTAATCTATGCTGCCAGTGTACATTCGAAAGGATTAGAATCGGTTATGCATCTAATATCTGAAGCTGTATTGCGGCCACGATTTACCGATATGGAAATGGAATTCGCTCGTCGAATGATTCAATTTGAATTGCAAGATTTAGATATGAGACCGGATCTGGAGCCAATATTACATGAAATGATTCATACTGCTGCTTATAGAGGAAATACTTTGGGTCTCAATCGGTTATGTAGCCAAGAAAATGTCAACATTATCCAGAGAGATGATCTATTTAATTATATTAATCTTTATCATCGCCCCGAAAGAATGGTGGTTGCCGGTGTTGGTGTTGACCATGAACGTTTGGTTGAATTGGCAGAAAAATTTTTTGTCGAACGTAAACCTATATGGGAATCTGAACAGATGATTTCGTCACAATTGAATCGTAGCCTTGAAATTGATGATTCTATATCACAATATACGGGTGGTGTTAATGCTGTCACTAAAGATCTTTCCGATATTAGTCTTGGTCCAACATCGATGCCTGAATTGGCACATTTCGTCATTGGATTAGAATCGGTTTCACATCAAGATCTGGATAATTTTGTTCCAATTTGTGTGCTAAATCTACTAATGGGTGGCGGTGGTTCATTTTCAGCCGGTGGCCCTGGTAAAGGAATGTATACTCGTCTTTATACTCGTGTGTTGAATCTTTATCATTGGATGTTCAGTGCAACCGCATTGAATCATTCATATCAGGATAGTGGTCTATTCTGCATTCATGCTTCGGCACATCCTAATCAACTACGTGAATTGGTAAATGTAATTCTGTCAGAAATTGTTGCAATTACCAATGGCATTACCCGTGATGAATTGAAACGAGCAAAAAATCAGCTGAAATCAATGTTGTTAATGAATTTAGAAGCACGGCCAGTAATGTTTGAAGATATTGGCCGACAAGTTTTATCCAGTGGTGAAAGGCGACAACCACAATTCTATATTGATCGTATCGATAGAGTCACCGAAGATGATCTGGTTCGTGTAGCTAGAGATATGTTAAAAACTCGTGCTTCGATCGCTGCACTGGGAAATCTAAATCAATTGCCAACAATTGAAGAAATTGAATCCGCACTTCAAAGTAAAAATGGACAAATTTCGAAAAGATTTACATTGTTTCGATGAAATCTAATCAATCAATCATTTTTTATTTTTTATTTGTAATTTGTAATAAATCAATTGAATTTAACAATTAACAATTTGAAAATATTTAACATTTACCATACCATTTGGTTTATGTACTTTATAAAAAGAGAAAATTATAATTATAAAAAGTTTAAATAAAATATATAAATATATATTGTAATTGATGAGTTCATTTCCAAATCGAACGTCATTTGCAAAGACGAATCGAATTAATAATCACAGTAATAGGAATTTCAAGAATAAAGCCATTATCATATTGAACAATCAATTACGGCAATTGTTGAAAAAACCAAATGATCATTTTAGTGTTGGTTTGGTAGATGAATCGAATGTATTTCTATGGGAAGTAATAATCGTTGGACCACGTGATACATTATATGAAGGTGGTTTATTTAAAGCACGGCTACAGTTTCCATCAAATTATCCGGATTCACCACCAAAGATGCGTTTTCTATCCGAAATGTGGCATCCAAATATATCGAAATCAGGGGATGTTTGTATATCGATTCTACAGAATCCAAATACACAAACATATGGTTATGAAGAACATCTGCAACGATGGGCACCAGTACATTCTGTCGAAACAATCGTCATGTCGGTCATTTCAATGCTAAGTGACCCGAATGTCGATTCACCGGCCAATGTTGATGCGGCTATACAGATGCGTAATAATCGTGATGAATATGAAAAACAAGTTCGTCTTTACACACAGAAAACGTTGGAATGAGCTTATGTGTTGGGTTGTTTGTGTGATTTCAACTTTTTCGAATGAATAAAAGTTGGATGACAACAACAAACATCATTGTTTCTTTTCTTTTCTTTTTTTTTATTTAACAATTGTTTTGAATGCCTTGTGTTTTCATTGTCCACTCACATAATTTTTTCCATTTCATCATCAATAATTCAACAATGATTATTGTTATTTTGTTATTGATGTCTGTTCAATTGATGAATAATTGAGGTAGATGTGAACATTCGAAACTTTTCCATTTTGTTGCCGACATTTTTTTACGTCAATCAAAATTGATAATAAAATATTTTTTTGCTTCAAAAAGTTACAGGAAAAAATTTTACATTACAACCACAACAGCAGTCGATCATCAATCGATTATTCGATGAAATGTTGAAGAAAATAGGCATTTTCACTGGATTAATACCATGGATTTTAATGATAATCACGGCAATCATACCTGATACAGAAATTTTATTTGGTTTTGATATTCTGGCTAAAACTTATGAGTAAGTTTGGTTTTTTTTTGAGGTCACATTAATTGAGATAATTTAACCAAAAAAACAGCGTTGAATTGCCCGATTCATTTAGCGGTCCATTAATTGTTAATCGATGGCTATCATTAGCCGATCATCTTTATGAACGAGAAATTCGTGGCCCAGAATCATTTGCCACATGGAATGGAAATGTTTATGCAAGTTTAGCAGATGGACGAATAATTCAATTATTAACAGACAATTATCGAACAGTAACATTTTTGAATCCAGAAAATCGTAGCCAAGAAGAATGCCGAAAAAATTTTCAATCTTCAATGGGTCATTGTGCACGCCCATTGGGCTTGAGATTTTCATCGAAAGGCCAACTGTATGCTATTGATCCATATCATGGTATATTCGAAATCAATATCGATAGTGGCCATTATCGGTTATTGGTGGACATTGACAAACATCGATTACCTGATGGTGAAAGTCCAAAATTTTTAGATGATTTAGTTTTGATTGAAAATCCAGATGATGATGATACGATGTTAATTTATATGACTGATGCTAGTCAAAAATGGTTACTTCATGATGTTTACTATACTGTCGGAGAAATGGATGAAACGGGTCGTTTATTATCATTTAATACTAAAACTCAACAATTGCGAATTGAATTGGATAATCTGGCGTTTCCGAATGGACTAGTACTTAACGAAAATAAAACAACAATCCTTTTGAATGAATTCAACAAAAGACGTATACTTCGATATCGTTTGGATAGACCGGGCCATTATGATATACTTGTTGATGGTCTTCCAGGTGAACCAGATAATATCAAACGATCGTTGAATAAAAACCAAGAAACCTATTGGATAGGTTTGTTTACCGGCAGAAATCATCATAAACCATCATTTTATCTGGACACAATGGCAAAACATCCATATTTGAAACGAACATATTTTCGAATGATACGTATGATTGGATTTCTATTTGAAAATATTGGCAGATTATTATTATGTTGGGATCGTTTAACTCAATTTGGATATGATATTCGTGTGGCAAATTTTATGTATCCAATAGTTGCTGAATATGGTATGGCTGTAGAAATTGATTCGAATGGTCGAATAATAAATTCATTGCATTCACCAGATGGCTATACAAGTCAATTATCTGAAGTTTATGAATTTCGTAATAACGGAAAAGAAAGGCATTTTTATCTTGGTTCATATTCAAATCAATATATAGGTCGAATTATTGTTCCAACCAATGACGATGACAAAAAGTATGAATCATTTACAGACGAATTACAAAAGTTTAAAATTAAAAATCAAGAATTTTGTACAATTGAAAATTGTAAAGAAATTGCTTAATGACAACACTTTGCCATCATAATATCTCTAATGCGCAAACCTCAAATAAAACTACAACAACAACAACAACAAAAATAAAATTTAACATCAATGAAAATTACATTTCATTTTTCTTCTCTTATGTGTTGCCAAAATCAATTTTTTTGACTAATTTTTTTTCAATGCATGAATTTTCCTTTCCATTATATCCATTATATAATGAATAAATTGTATTCAAAATGAGCTGAGCGAGGAGTGCATGAAAAATCTGGTTTTTCTTCCCAAATATTCATATTGTATACAAAGTCTGTCTTTTTGCTCCACTGCTTTAACACAGACACACACACACATGATGATCAACAGGTCTCAGTCATCATAATTCATCGGCGAAGAAGTTGCAAAAAACCAACGACATATTTTTTTCCTTTTCTTATATCTGTTATTTGTTATATCATCAGCATTTAGTTTTCTTCGTTTCAATTATTTTTAACCTAATATTTTCATGCTGTTTGCGTATCGATTAGTGACGACGACAATAGCAACAGAAATTTTGAAGAAAAAATTTCCTTGTCAAATAAAAAAATAGGAAAAAATTTCGACTCATATTTCGTTTATAGCGAAACTCAAACTTTTATAGTGATTATCATTTTAATGAAAATTCAGTCCTGGTGACCGGAATCAGCAAAAAACATGGCATTCCAAATCAAAGATTTATTCTCATTACTTTACAAGACTACATTCGATATTCTATTCTATACGACTGTCATATCAATAATATTCGGTCTATTACCGGATCAATTTTTCAATGATTTTCCCATCATTCCAATGAAATATGATAATGAACATTTTTATAAAGGACTTTATGGTTTCGAATGGAATGATCATCTAGTCAGTAAAGCGAAAATGATTGCCATTAACCAGGTTCATGGTCCCGAATCTTTGGCCGATATTGGCGATTATATTTACACCGGTATTCTTGGTGGTCGTATCGTTCGAATTCATAAACAAACTGAACAAATAGATGAAATTGTTCGCTATAATAATTCGAAAGAATGTCGTAAGTTGTTTTAGTTAAACATTTATCAAATATAGTTTTATTGGCATTTTTCTCACTGATTTAGAACACGAAAAATTAAAAGCTGGAAATTGTGGACGATTTCTTGGACTACGTGAACAAGGCGACAATCTTTATGTTCTTGAAGCAAGTACTGGAATCTACCGGGTTGATCTGAGGAAAGGAGAATTAATTCATTTAAGTAAACATTTGATCCCCGAAAATGAATCGGCAATCATTAATGATCTAGTGTTTGATCCAAAACACTCGGAAATTGTTTACATTACCGTTTCAAGTAGTAAATGGTCATTAGATCGTATTGCATGGTCCATTGTTGATCACGATAAATCGGGTTATGTTCTGGCACTAAATCTTAGCACAGGACAATCCCATAGAATAGCTGATGGATTTGCATTGGCTAATGGTATTGAAATAACAGCTGATCAAAAATATCTACTCATTTGTCAAACAACAGATTTTTCAATTTTGAAAGTTGATTTGGATAATGTTCGAAAAATATTTCTTTCGAAACAATCGGCACTGAAAGCCGATCAATTAGAAATATTTGGACAACGTTTGCCCGGTGAAGTGGATAATATTCGTTTGGATAAATCGACCGGTGATCTATTGATTGGTATGTTCACGGTTCGACCATATAGCAAAGTTTTACGCGATTATCTGGCACAATGGCCCTTTATACGTAAATCATTTGCACGTACTGCCTATGCGCTTTATCTCCTATTGGATTATATCGATGCCAAAGTCATTTCGAACGCTGCAATTGAACAATTAAGAGATGATCTTTATACTGGTCATATTGTTTATAAAGCATTACCACAAAGAGATGGTGCCGTTATCCGTTTAGATTCAAAAACTGGTCATATTAAACAGATATTTGGATCATCCAAATTTTTCGGTATATCCGAAGCAATCATCGATACTCAAGGTGACTTATATTATGGTTCATTTCGTAATTCATTCATTGGTCGAATATCCAAAAATGATCATCAAAGCTAATGATTGATTTGTTTCAATAAATTTTTCTATTACCAAAATAAAAGCTCAATTTGTTTAACTCTTTTTTCGCAAAATTAGAAAAAAAAAATTTAAACCCAATCAAAAGAATCGAGTAATCTTTGGATCGAAATAGTCGTTTTTGATGTCAAAATTTTTGCGTTTCTTGATAAATTCTGAAATCATATGAAACAAAAATGTCCGACGATGATAATGATGAAGGCGGAAAAAAGTTTCATCCATTCACGGCGACCGATGTACAGAAAATCAGATTGGAAAAATTGATGGCCAATATTGTGAGTGTTTCACGTTTGTAAAATGTTGTTATGTTGCTAATAATTTCCAAATTCGAAAGGACAAACCAATTGAGATTCCTACCGGGCTTAAAACAAAAAATTTCGCTACACCGCCGGAATTTGTTCGAAATGTTATGGGTATTTTAATCTACTTTAATCTCAAATGATCAATTGATTTTTGTTTGTTTCAGGATCAAGTGCTGGAGCAGGTAGCGGTGAATTTCATGTTTATCGTCATCTTCGACGTAAAGAATATGCCAGACTTAATTTCATCGAAACACAGGCAAAAAATGTTGGTTTCATTCACAGAATTTCATTTGCAAAACAATAAAATTATTGAATTTAATACAAATAGGAACAATTGGATGAATCGTATCGGCAAAAAATCGAAGAAAATCGTCGTAAAGCCGAAGAAGCGACTGCTAAAAAACGAGCCAAACGTTTGAAGAAAAAGGAAAAATTAAAAGCAAAGAAAAAGATGCGAAAAAATGAAGACAATGATAAACCAAATTCGGAGGATGATAATCAAGATGATAATGGGAATAATACGGATAGTAATGATTAAATCATCATTCATCACATTTAATTTTGTTTATATTTCATTCATTAAATAAAAATTCATTCAATCAGCTTAAATTGTCTTCCCACATTAACAAATGCATCGATAAGGTGTTTAACATCCTCGGTTGAATGAGCAGCTGACATTTGCACACGAATTCTGGCCATATTTTTCGGTACGACTGGAAAACTAAATCCAACCACATAGATGCCGTATTGATTAAAAATAGCATCGGCAATCGATGCGCCGAGACGTGCTTCACCCACATATACTGGACAAATTGGATGATCATCGCCCTGTGATGATTTACGACAAAGAAAATCATTCAATAAACAACTAATAATTTACCATTCATTTACCAGAATATTGAAACCATATTCTTTCATCGATTCTCGGAATAGTTTGGTATTTTCATGAACTTTTTCGACCAAAGATGAATCAGCAGTCAATAAGTCAAATACTTTAATAGCTTGTGCAACAATTGGTGGCGGTAAAGAATTCGAGAATAGGTATGGTCGAGATTTTTGTCGTAACAGATCGATTAATTCTTTTGGTCCGGTAGTGTATCCACCAGCAGCTCCACCTAATGCTTTTCCTAATGTTGAATTGATTATCTGGACACTTTCTTCGGGTAAACCGAAAAATTCGGCTGTTCCACGGCCACTTTTGCCGAAAAATCCTGTTGCATGACATTCATCAACAAAAACGACCGAATCATATTTTTGGGCTAATTTAACGATTTCCGGCAAATTGGCAACATTTCCATCCATACTGAATACACCATCTGTAACGATCATACGAATTCTAGCTGTAGAATGAGTTTTCAACAAAATCGATTCCAATTCTTCCATGTTTCGATGTGAGAATCGAAATTTTTGCGCTTTGCACAATCGAATTCCATCGATAATGGAAGCATGATTCAATTGATCGGAAATGACTGCATCATCTGGAGTTAGAAAAGCTTCGAATATACCGGCATTAGCATCAAAACAGCTTGCATAAAGAATGGCATCATCTCGACTATGAAATTTGGCAATTTTTGCCTCCAATTCTTTATGAATATCTTGAGTTCCACAAATGAATCGTACCGAACTCAATCCAGCTCCATATTCTTTTAGTGCTTTTAGGCCGGCTTCAATTACTTCTGGATGACTCTATGCTCAATGAAATCATAATTAAGATTTTTCATGAATTGAAAAAAAATCATCTTACGGAAAGTCCAAGATAATTGTTTGCACAAAAATTGATTATTCTTTTGTTGTCGTGATTCACTTGAATATGTGCACCTTGTGCTGTTGTTATGATTCGTTCATTTTTCCATGTACCTTCCTGTTGAATTATTTTAAGATTTTCATTAATTGCTTTACTTGCTATATTCCATGCTGCTCTATTCATTTGTCGAAATGATAATCGATAAATTCCCAAAGAATGGATCGAAAATGTTTTTTTCATCAGTGAAAACATATTGACCAATCATAAGATGTTCATACGACGACACGTAATCAATCGATGGGATATAATTAATGCTATAACCTCGAAAAGTTTGCTAGTAATCATCATTATCATAATCATCGCTAATGGCTATAGCAATGACTAGCCCAACAACTTGTTGGCATATCTATTTTTTTGCTTTCAAAATCGAATGATCAATCAATCGATCAACTATTGATTAAATTCTATATTGAATTACATCACGATCAAAAAGATCCGATGATGACGATGATGGTGGTGCTATCTATCTAATATTTTGATTCGAATCCAAATCAACAATAACAACGCCGTTTCCTTTTGAATTACCCTAAAATCACACAACTGTCGTAACGCAGATATTTTTTTCCACAATGTAACTATTTTGAATGAGACTTTTTATCAACATTTTTTTTGTACAAGACGCTTCTTATTGTCGCGATTTTAGGATATTTGGAACTGAAAGAATTGAAAAGTATCGTTTTTCTTGTGCAAATCATTGATTATGTCGGTCAAAATATTATCATAAGATAATGAAAAAAAAATCTGTATTTTTTGCTGAAATAAGAAATGCAACGATCCAAAAAGCAACAGGCCAATCGTTCGACTGGTTTATGATGATGATGATCATTATTTGATCAATCAAAGGATGAAAAAGAAAGAAAACTCGTTAATAACTTGCTTCCTTTTTCCTTCCCCACATTCATATACAATAGAATCGGACATTGACTTCGGCAAATAATTTCTTCATACAAAAACTGCTCCATGCCACTGAATGCTACTACCTCGATATGTTATGTTTATTTCACAATCATCATCATCATCATCATCATCATCATCATCATTCGTGTTATTTTAACCATTCGGGGGTTGATTGTCGTATGTTTGGCATCATTTCAGCCAACCGAGAAAAAAGAAAAATCAAGTAAATACAATATTGAGTTGTCTGTCAAAAAGTAGGCGATGGCCAAAATCAAAATATAAAGTGGCATTATTTTCGTTTCGATTCAATATTCATTGCCATTCATTGTTGGACATAATTTGTTTACACCCGAATTATATGATCGTACATTGTTGTCTATTATACAACAAAAAATCTCCTGATAGGCCAGATGGTGTTTATGCAATTTCACTTTGTTCGTGACCACCACCACCACCATCATCATCAGTTTTCAACATCCGCACCTGTTCTGATGGCTAGTTTGAAGAGCTGACAACACCTGTGTGTGTTTGTGTCTTTGTGAATGTTCGAATATACGATACCATAACAAATATGAATGTCCAAACATTTCAACATTTTGAACATTTGAAATGAAAAAAAATAGATAGACGATCATTGTTGACACGTGTTGAATTGGTTATCGTTGTTCCATAATCATCAACATATCAGTTATTCCAAACATTTTGTTCATTCGACCCGAAATCAATCAATCAATACACAACAATGCCATACATAATGTCACATTCAAAACACTATTTTACATCACAAAATTTTATCAACTGTGCATTTTATTCCGGTAATAATTTTTCAATTTCAACTTGATGTTTATCATATTTTCACATTTACTTTTTAAATTTAATTTATTGATTTAAGCACTCGCATCTTTATTGCCATTTTTAAATGTTCATCTGAGTGAATTAGGCCTATCATGGTCACAATGTTCATGGATCAATTGTATGTCAGCATTGTTAAGTATGCTTGGTCCACTTTGTCTTGGTCCATTAGCACATAAATTATCCGGTTATAAACAGACGCTAGTATTGACCATGATACTTGCATTCCTATCTGTAACGGCATTACTTTTCATACCAAAAGTGGTATCGAATGAACATAGACCAAAAATGTATTACGATTGTAATGAAGGTGTATTGCGTATTGAACAATGTCCAAATTGGAATGGCCAATGTCATACATATCCACAACGTCCAGCAACAAATTTTTCTAGCTTCGAAATCGTCACCTGTTCATACATCTGTAATAATGATAAGATTACAATCAACTCGTCTTGGTATCCGGTGAACGTATGTTTTCATGATAGCAATGATCCAGTAAGCCTATGCTTAGGTAAGTAATTTGTTATAGAAAAAGCAATATTCGCATTTTAAAAATCAAATTATCCATTCATTCAATTTAAAAGATGTTCAAAAAGAGAAAATAATCCGCACCGATTTATCATTAAGTCAAGAAGCCAGTATACAATTTGATTCGCGGTTTGATCGATGGCCAGTGATTGAAGGCCATCAAGATGATGAAACCGTTGACCGTATGTTTGATGGACTTCGAACATGTACATTCAAACCATCGCCACCTTTATTAATGTTGCAAAAAGTATACAGCAGTATTCAATGTCGTCCATATGTTGCAAGCTGTAATATTTATTGTTCAATAAATTTACGTCATCGTACAATGGGTGTATCCGGATCAGGTACGACACGTATACGACCACCAACACCATGTCAAATGATCAAAGGCAATCCACAACAAACATTCTATCTATATCTATTGTTTCGATGTTTAGTCGATCTAACCCTGTTGACATCCAATTCATTGATCGAAGCAATACGTGTAGCTAATACTAATAATTATGATTCCATTTATGCCGGATTTGAATGTTTCTGGACAATCATTCTGCCGTTCATTGTATGGCCACCGATTTGTGGCTTGTTATCAGATTATTTCATTCAAAAAGATGCACACAATTATGCACCACCAGTCATCATATTCGATGGTTTCATTGCAATCACGATGTTTTTAATCATCATGTTACCATTGAATTCTACTCAAACGAAAGAATCATCTAAAATAAATCCGAAAAAGATTGTATTACAACCGACAAAATTTCGTTATCCACGTCGCCATAGCAATCAATATTTATTGTATCGATTAGCAATACTCATGCCGATGGTACTAATTCTCGGATGTTTCTGGGGCTTATCGAATGCAATGACTGGACCATTTTATCGTCATTCATTACATTCATCAAATTTTCTCATTGGCTTTGCCACAAGCGGTGCATTCATAGTGACAGCTTTGTTTGCCTATATGGCCAAATCAGTGATTTCAGGCGTTGGCCGTATGAATCTTATTCTATTGGCGTTCATATTTTATTCATTAAGATTTGCTGGTATCTCATTTTTAGTGGATAAATATCCGCATAAAAATTGGTTAATATTTCCTTTCGAAATGATGTCATCATTTTGCTTGCCATTAGCATGGATCGGTGTCACTGCATATGGTCAACATCTGATTAAACGCAGTCCAAACGGATTAAGTTATGCAACCGGAACAACCATATTCCAGACATATTCACCACAAGTAATCATGCAATATACACTTGGTTTAATCCATTTTGGTGGTGGCCGTGCACTCGGAGCTGCAATGGCCAATATATGGTTGAATTTATGGCCCGATGTTTATAATCATTGGCTATGGCTTACCGATTTAGAAATGAAAACAATCATTAGCTATACACCGGAATCGATCGCCAATGATGATAATGCAGCAAGGGTTTTATTTCGTTTTGCATCCATATTATCATTAATATTTGGTTTAATGTTTACTCTTCTGTATCATTCATGTTGTTTAAATTTTCTAATTACCAGAAATGATCATTCATCATCCACATCTATATTCGGTGATTCATATCGAGATGAAAATCTTCATTATCTTAAATTAAAATGTAAATCCGAGAATGAAGTTTATCCACTACGTAATCAACGAAATCGAAGTAATTCTAAAACAAGTGAACCGATCACACGATCAATGGTGACACTACGAGAAAATCTGGAAAGTTCAGTCGATGATGATGATGATGATCTGAATCCGGATTCCATTTAAAATTATTATTTTTTTTTTTTTGCCTCCGTCTGATTTACTGTTATATTTATTTATAACATAAGCAGTATTTTTCATTCAATGAATCATTTGTGTTCATGTCACATAAAACACTTTTCATCAAATTCGAACAACGACTATCAGAAAGTTTTTTTTTATTACCTTTTTTATATACTCATGTATAACTAAACTATTCATTTTTTTTTGTTTTATAAATTAACTGTGATTTCTTTTCAATGAATTACACTTTATCACATATTGGATAATTGAATCAATTCGAATTCGAATTGGAATAACCATTGAATAAAACATCATTATTATATTTTAAAATTGTTCAAACATTTCATTTCATTTTCAAAGAAAATGGCAGCCCAAACAATCATGATAAATAATGATAAAAATCAAATTGATCAAAATGATCTTGAACGTATATTTCGGAAACGATTATGTCGTATTTGTCGTGGCAGTAATGTGGATGTCGATAAATTTATAACCGCTTGCAAATGCCTCGGTCCATTTGCCTATGTACACCAGAAATGTTTCGAATGTTGGCTAGAGATAACTCGACAACAGAAATGTGATATTTGCCGTTATGATTTTCAAGTTACATTACATAATCGAAGTTTTTTCGAATGGATACATTATCAAACAACGGTAAAAAATTTGTTCATTATATGAATCAATTATAGTTGAAATAATCGATTGTTTTAATAGACTGCAAATGATAGTGAATACCTTCGATCATTCATTCAATTATTTACACGTTTACATAATGTCATTTTCATATCATTGATTGGCATCGTTATAATCGTTTGTTATAATAATAATGATGATGATGAATGTCTAAATCCACAACAATCTCCACAACAATCGGCAACAAATATTTTAAATGATGTTGATACACGTCAAACGATTTGGTATTCATTGTTGGTTGTTTTCATACCAAACATTCGTATATCGGTAATATCCTTATCAATGATATGGTTTGCAGCACGGATATGGAATGAATTTCGTCAATGGCAACAACGAAATCAACGTGTTCAGATTTCACCATTTATCAATTCGACCATGAATGTTGGTAGCCAGAATCCGCGTGATTATGGCATACTCAATTCATTTGTACGTGTTTCAGGTCTGAAACATGTTGGAAAATATCTGCGGTTAACATCGAATATTTCGTCGAACAATTTATCCGACAATAATAATGATAACAAAAAAGACAATTGATTGAATTTTTCGCTCTTTATTGACTATTAATTACTCTATTCAAATTTAGAATGAAGAAATTTTAATTTCTATGCATGTGTCTGAGAATTTTGTGTCTTGTTAATTTGGATGATTTATTTTTCCAAAGGTGTGCAATAAAATATGTGTGTGTTTATTTTAATGTTAATGTTAATTTTAATTTATTTTATAGTTGGACTATTGTTTTTGCGAAATTTTATTCCAACACCGGGTTTCCATCTATTTAATTTTATGAAAAATAAATAGGCAATAAATGCAACAAGGATAACCAAAATCCAAGGCCTCATCTTTTTCGCTTATTTATGGCGTCGTTATTACCCAATAAATTGAGACTTGTATTTTTTTCTATAGAAGTTCAATCGAGTTGGTGATTCATTAAAATCAAATCGTCTTGTTCAATATGAAACATATAACCTTATTATTATTACATGCTTTAATCTAATGAAATTCAAAATCAAAATTGTCCAAGCGAAACAAAAATGTCATCTATATAATCATTTTGTTTGTTGAATTTGTTTGGCGACAAATATCTTGATGATGATGATGATGATGATGATCACTAAGAGAAATCCAAAGATTTAGCCGGTGCCGTCGTTAGTGTTAAGATGATGATTTTTTTCCATCCAAAAAAAAAACAAAACAACGAAAGAATCTCATATAGAAAGAGAAATGAATAATGATTGTTCGTTGACTTATTAATGAGATATAACACTGACGAATCACTTATGCGTATAATTAACGGCAACGAAATCCTTTTTTGTTTTGTTTTCTTTTCTTTAAGACGGCAAATATATTTTTGACGAACAGATTCAAGTGATGATTATGAAGAAATTAAGAACCGAAGCTAAACAGAAAAAATCATCGAGCGAAAGTTATCGTTATCATCATTATTTTTAGTCAAAATGAATTTAATTTTGATAGGTAACTTTTGTACTTTTAGACTTTTATTGATCATTTTTTTTGCAAATTTTTATGGGTTATGACAAACAAACAAACGAAAAAAATACTTGACTCGGTAGTCAAGGAGATTTTATTTTTTTAAATTTAAAATTCTTCTTTTTTTCAGAAAAAAACAATTGCTTAATAGTGATCGATAATGAAGTAATGGCACCCTGGTTATATGATAGGTATGCAGTTCAAAACAATGTTGATTGATCGATAAATTTTGAATTTTTCAAGTTTTTGATAATAATCATTATCAACATGAAAACAAAAATCTAAGAAAAAAACAAAATTTAGTAGATAAGGAAAAATAACTGAATCAATTGCAGGTCGGTTCTGACATGATTGTCATTCAAATGGCTTCCAATATGAAATGGAGAAAATTTTCCCATCCTTAAAATCTGGCCAGTAGAAACAAAAAAAGTCAAAATTTATTTTTTCTCATTGAAAACCTAGCAAAGAAAATGCTAAATAATTCCAGGTAGCCTATGGATTTGGTGATCAAATAATATTTATACAGCGACTGGACTATCCAATAACAACAAAAAAAATTCACATAACCATTGAATCGAATTGAAAAAAAAGAAAACAGAAGAGTCGAATGAAGAAATAAGGCGCCGCAAATTTTCCTTTAGCTTCCAGAAAGAAAAAACTCTGTTTACCATAAATATAGAATGTTGCTATCGTTATTGGATCGTTGTCATAATTATCCAACAACAAAAACGATAACAAGAAGCGTTAAACTGAAAATTGCCCGAAAAAAATATCCAGATCTAAAAAATAGTGGTGAGTGGCACCAAAATAAACAAGAAAAATGGTAATTATCATCATCATCATACCATGTAAAGCTAATCGACCGCCCCCTTTATTTTTCTTCGAAATAAAAATCCAGATCCTCCCTCTATCCCTATCATCGAAAGATCTCTTCGATTGAAATGGTAGAAGAAAATTCCTAGTTGAAAACAATGACCAGAACAAAAACTGGACACCAAATGTAACTCCAATCTGGTGAAAGGAAGAGTTTTATGAATAAATGATGATCACATCTCTATATTGATTATCTGACTACTATTTCTAATGAAAACATGATGATGAGATGGACATAATTAATTTCGATAATAATAATGGCGAAAACAACAAAAAAAATGTCTATCGATGATCAGAAAAAACCCAACAAAAGAATGAAAATTATATCTGGATTTGTATTGAGAGAAACTGGATATACCTTAATGTTAGGCGATTTTTTTGTTTTGTTTTTCAGAACAAAACGGAAACACCAAAAGTCAAAACAACAACAACAACATAGTTATAAAAACGAAGGTATCAGACGTCCAAAGTTTTTTTTGTTGCTGAAAAAATTCTCAGCTAATATCGTTTTCATCGTTGTTTGTGTGTTGTGAGTGGGTGAGATAAATCCCGGATAAGAAAAATTTATTGTTTTCCATAATTCATAATTTGTTGATTTGTTCCACCATGCGTTTATTCTAATTATCTAAAACAAGAAAGAAAATATCTTTACAAAGTTTTCAAAAGAAACAAGAAAATTTCTTGTCACAATTGATTTGTCGTCGTCTGACGTTTAGTGCCGCCGGGTTTTCATTTTGTATTCGTCATCCGTTCATACGGATCCGTAATGATTGTTCAATTTGTTTTGTCTCCTTAGTTGAACACGAACAACTATTCATCTTTTGATTGATTTGATAACTTTATTGTTGCCATTTGTTTCATCAACATCAGGCCAAGAACATGAAAAGATTCAACATGTCCGCTGTACAGACAATTTATTCTTTATTGTTTTTACTATTATTATCGTCAGAGCAATTAATTGCTCAAATATCGAACACAAATATTGATAAAATATTAATGTTGAATAAAATCATTGCAGCTAACAATAAAACTATATCATCGGCAGCTGAACGACGAAAAGCAGTTACGATCGGCCTAAATCGTTGGATTCGTCCATTGACCATACAGGTTCCGGATGTTATTAGCAATTTATTGCCCAGTTCATCGAATATAATCAAAGTTCATGATACTACAACACGTTCGACAAATAAAACGCAAACGGAAAAAACAACATCTTCCACCAAAGAAATGATGAATACGAATAATAACAATCCATTCATGAATTATGATCCGATGAAATTATTGAATGATTTTGATCAACAGCCGAATATTTTCACTAAACAACCATATACGGGTACTACTGGACAAAGCATGTTAAAATATATGCCAAATTCATCGTCATTTCTGGATGAAGGCACAATCGGTGATATGAATGGTGCAATGATACCATTGAATATAATGCCAACACAAATGATGAATATGATGTCATTACAACAACAACAACAACAACCACAACATTATATGGATTATGGCCATCACCATCAACAAACATTATGGACAAGACCAATTAATCCATCGTCATTATCATCGAGTAGAAAACCAAATATGGCAAACTTTCAATCAATTGAATCAAATGGAGGCAGAAATCGTTATGTTGATAATTTTAGTCAAAGTAATAACGATGATGATTCAAAAGTTCAACAATCACCAATAAAAATTGAGTCATCTAAAAATTATATGTCATCACCAACTTCGTCATCACCATGGAATGATGATGATATGAAAACAACTGGAAATTTCGGAACAACATCTTCCATAGGAAGACATATGGATCAATCTGATAAATCAAATGAAAAATCGCCAAGGCCCGATGATTCAGTTGAAAAAATGAATTATTATAAAAAATTATTCGATTCATTTGATGATGATACAAACTCATTCGGAGATTTATTTTCTTCACCAACAAAACAACCTCAATATCACCGTAATCATAATCACAACAATCAACAGTCTCATTCACAAGATGATTATCCACAGACACAGAATCATCCGGAATCATCACATAATGAACAAGCAGATTTTTTTCATGAGTCGACAATGACAAAAGGACTTAATCAATTGGAGTCGAATGATGAACATCGAACCCATTCCGATTCATTGATGCAGCAATCACATTATAGTCCGAATTATTTTGGCAATAATGAAAATAAAAAATATCTTTCAGCGGCGGCCAGTTCAATCGAACCGATTATTGTACCAGGACCAAAAGGATTTTCAAAGGAAATAAAATCGAACGAACAACAGAAACCACCTGGGTTATCATTGAATTCGATACCATCAATGATATTACCAATGATGATTCGTGATACATTGCCAGATCATCATATAAAAACTAATCATCCACGACCTGTAGCTAGTCGATTTAAGGAATTTTTCAAAAATTTGATCAATACCAAATTGTGAAATTTTTTCTAAAATCAAAAGATTGAATTTTTTTTTCTGCTTTAAAAAGGATTAATTAAAATGATGATTCTTTCATTTGTTATTTTCAATTTGAACTTTCTGATAGAGTGATTGTCGGTCAATATACCCGTAATTATTTTAAAAAAATATCATATTATTCAAAATGCAATATACAATTGGCCAAAAAGTTCAATTAATTTTCAATTAAATAACGCATTCGATAAACATCGGATACAAAATCAGATTTTACGGCATCACCATCGTTTAGATTATCAAAGATTGGCTGATTATTGGTCGATTCCATTTGTCCGGTTCGGGTGGATGAAAAACATAGTGATGATTTATCAAAATATAATGGTACAACGCCTAAACTACCATAGTAACGATTTTTCGTAATCTGTATATATTTGTTACAACGATATCGGGCATTAAATTTGTTCATTATAATCATAACATTATCCGCTTCTTGGCTAGCTTTAATTCCACCATACAATGAATTATTTGACAATGTAATCTCTTCCTTTTCTTTGCGTGGATGAGCAACTAATGTAATATGACAATTATAATCAGTAGAAAATTGTCGTAAAGAACTGATAAGGAAATCTTGTTTCAAAAATCGATCATAATTTGATTCAACATTCATTCCTGGAACAAAAGTAAAAAAAAATTAAATTTATCGCATAAGAATTGAGATTGCCATACCCAACATGAATTGTAAATTATCGATGACAATATGTTTAATTTCCAATGCAAGTACGGCATGTTCGGCAGCTTTCATAATGAGATCGATTTCAGTTTGACCATGAAATTTCATGAAATACAAAGGTAATTTGGAAAATGTTTCCGCTTCACAATTAAATTCTTGTTTATTAGTGAACGAAAGGGCTTTCTTTGAATATTGTGTCATCATCATTTTTAGAAGCCGTATGTTTTTAATTTCAAAACTTCCCCATAATGTTGGCACACCTTGCATGCAAAGATCTAGGGAATATTCAGAAACGAATGTCGTCTTTCCGCAACCAGTAGGACCGGTAATAATGGTCAATTCACCTGCACGATGACCTTTTAGATGTTCATTCAGTTTAGGAAATCTTGACCATTGAACACCACTAATTGTCGGATCACTGAATTCATTATAGACGTCGTCTTTTAAATCTTGAAAATTCAATATGAAAGGATGTTTAAGTGGAGTGGCATCCTGTACTAGGGAATCGAATTTCATTTTAGAATCCTCGCAAAGCAATTGTGATGCTGTAGATTTTGAGTTTATGAAATGGATTTTTGCATCATCAAAATTTTCAAGACACTTTTTTCGAATAGTTTCAAATTTCGTATCATTCTTTGACCATAGAATTACCTATTGAAAATTGAATTGAAAAGTCAAGCTTAAAAATTCATAACAATACAAATCAAATTTACCTTTCTGTAATGATCATTTAGCTTATGGCAAAAATTTTTAAAATCAACATTTTTGTCACTAAACAATTTAATCACAATTGTTGGCAACCTTGTTTGTTGATAAAATGCTAAAGCATCGAATATATCGTCGAATAAGACCAATAATTTGTTCGCGGTTGATTCAAGAAAATCAAAATTCTGTATTGTAGATCTTTCAAATGAATAGAATAAAAATTCTGGAATATTTTGATGACATTCAGGTGTTTCATTGATGACACCGTTTCGTGATTGTATATCACTTAGGAAATTTTGATTAAGATTGTTAAAATATAGTGGAAACAATTCAAAATCGTGGCCATTTTCATGAACATGGCAAAAATTGAACATAAGTTTATGAAAATCATTCGAAATCATGGCATCCGTTTCACTAAGAAATGCCGATTTTAGTCCAAGATATTTAGCAATCATTTTTTTGTTTTGAGCACTAATAATCATCATTTCATAAAGAATTGGAAAAAAATTAAAATATAATTCTGAACTTAATATTATCTTCTATTTACCTGATTGATCGAAAATTATGAAGCTCATCAGGTTTAGAGGTGATCATTGTAGTAGAAAAATATCTAATCATATCGCGTTCCAATACCATTCTTCTTGGAATTTCAAGAAATAATTTTATTGGTGTTTGTGCATGATTTTCAATCTGACAAAATCTAAATGACGAGGTTGATGATAAATTCTTGTTGTTATTCACTGTAGTGTTATCACGAACTAGACAATAATCATTGATTATGACCTGACGAAGAAGATTATGGCGACAATAAGAACGTAACAACATTGTCTTGAATCAAATTATTTATGTAGATAATGTTAGGGAAAATTGTAAATAATAAACTTTAAAGAATTTTAATCAATCAATAATCATCGAATCACATGTGGATTGGCGGTTTATTTTGCGTTTCATTCTTGTGTCTCACAAAGAAATGTATCCATTTCGACTATGGATTGTTCCAAGAATCGAAATAGACATTTATTGACACTCCAATTCATATCATTATTTCAATTGGGTGCGATCATCCAATTGTGTTTGTTTGGGAATTCATTTTATTTCTGATTGATTTTGAATAATAATTGATCAAGATGAGATCAATAACAATATCTCATCATAAATTAGCGGAAAAGCTAACGATTCTAAACGATCGTGGAATCGGAATGCTTACTCGAATCTATAATATTAAAAAGGTAACTTTAATGGTGACAATTTTTAAACTTTTTCATCATCTTGCCATCATTTTTTTTTCAATCACAGACATGTAGCGATCCTAAATTAAAACCACAATTTTTACTTGATAAATCAATGGAATCGATCATTAAACATGCCGTGCGAAAATTTCCCGTTATTTCCGATTATAAAAGCAATGTGAGTCACAGATTTATTCAAGTTTCCTATCCTAATCTATTTATGAATGACAGAGTCAATTCGCCGTTTTAAGTCAAATCAAAGAGAATATAACAAAATCATTACAATTATATTATTTGACATTTGTCGATCTATTGGATTTTAAAGATCATGTTTGTGAATTGTTGACTACAATGGATGCTTGCCAGGTCTCCCTAGATATTGTAAGATTTTTTTTTCTGCCGAGTGTTTTACATTCACTCATGATATAATATTTTTAATTATACAGAGATGTAATTTTGATTTAACCAAAGCATATTTGGATTTGATTGTCACCTATGTATCGTTGATGATATTGCTTTCACGTGTCGAAGATCGAAAAGCAGTATTGGGTCTTTATAATATTGCATTTGATATGATCAATGGACATACCGATTCACATTTTCCACGATTAGGCCAAATGATTGTTGATTATGAACAGCCAATCAAAAAACTATCAGAAGAATTTGTACCACATTCAAAATTATTACAACAAGCTTTAATATCATTATCTGAACAATTTTTGGCTCGAAATATAACCGCTGTCGATTGGCGAAATGAACAATTATTCAGTTTGACTGCTAAACCTGAACAAATGTTGAATCCGGCGCTTACTTCAACTACCCAATGCCTTTATATGTCTATGGATGCTATGGAACGTTATATTATTTGTAAGTTATTTTTTTTTTGCTGTGTGTACTAATCGATAAATTAATTCTTTTTATGGGTTTAGTTGGCTTTCTTTTGATTCATCAATTTTTAAATCAACAAGAAACACAACGACTTTTCATGAGTGCTTTGAAATATGGCTGGGTGATTGTATTATTCAGAGATGAAATATTACATACCCACCAATTTGTTCAACAATATTTCGAAACACATAAAGGCTATAATAAACGAATTTCTGAAGTTAAAGATACATTCAACCACGTCATCAGTAAAGGGTATGTTCTGTATTTTTACCATTGGTTTTTATCAACTAGTTATTTCGAATTAGGCCACATTTTCACCGAGAAAGACGTAAATATCTTCGAACAGCATTGAAAGAATTAAGTTTGCTTTTATCCGATCAACCTGGTTTGCTTGGACCTAAAGCATTATTCGTATTCATGGCACTTTCATTCGCTCGTGATGAAGTCTATTGGCTTTTGAGACATTATGAAAATCCTCCAAGTCGTCAATCGGGAAAGTCTAAAGTTTCACCGGAAGATCTTATTGATCGTCAATTACCCGAACTTTTGTTCTATATCGAAGAATTACGTGGCTTAGTTCGTAAATATAGCCAGGTCATACAACGTTATCACATTCAATATCTTTACAATTATGATGCACATCTTCTTAATGAAATACTAAAAAATAGCCCAACATTACCTGAAGATGATTGTATCATATTAGACAGTATTCATGCCACTATCTCAAATTTAAATGAAAGTCAATTAGAGAGTCAAATATTCGATTTTCGTCCTTTGCGTTTAGATTGGTTTCGGTTACAAACTTATACTAGTATCAGTCGTTATCCATTTTTAATCACAGAAAATCATAATCTTGCTCAATGTATGAATACGATAGTTTACCATACTAAAATGATTGATTATCTTGATCAAATGTTAACGGAAACCAGTGACCTATCTATTTTTTGGTAAGTTTAAATCAAGTTCCTATTCCTATTGTGTCTGATTAATTTTCTCCCCTCAGCTTTTGTAATCGCTCATTTGAAGATCAATTCAGAATGTGTTTGGAATTTCCAGCACAAACTCGTTATATAATTGCATTTCCATTGATATGTAGCCATTTTTTGAATTGTGTTCATGAATTGTGTCCTGAAGAACGATACCATATAGGAGATCGATCCATCAATTTGGTTAACCTTTTTCTCGAAGAAATGTCTAAAGAGGCCAAAAATATTATAACAACAATTTGCGATGAACATTGTATCATGAGCGATATGGTAATTATGCTTTTGCAATTAATCATTCTAGCTTTGATGACTTGCGATTACCTTTTTTCATGCAGTTGATGCCTAAACATGCAAAGATGTTTGCTGAACAGAAAAAACTTAAACAGAAAGGTGCTCGAGGAAATGCTGCAAATGGACCCCAAGATCCAAGATTAGTTGCGAATGGTTTGGGCCCAAACAATATGTATGTTATAAAGCCTGGAACGGAATCATATCGTCGCAGTCGTGAAGAATTGACAACGATGGATAAATTACATATGGCTTTGACTGAACTTTGCTATGCCATTAATCATACTTCAAGTATACATGTTTGGGATCATACATTTTCACCGCGTGAATATTTGACACAGAATCTTGAAAATCGTTTCAATAAATCATTGGTCAATATGACCATGTATAATGAACAAACCAAAGAAATTGCCAAACCATCAGAATTATTAATCAGCGTCCGAGCCTATATGAATGTTTTGCAAAGCATCGAAAGTCATGGTTTGTTTTAATAGAATTAGTTTCGATTTTTCATTCATTTTTGTTCCATTGCAGTTCACATCGATATGACCCGTGTGTTCAACAATATAATGTTACAACAAACGCAAACTCAGGATTCTCATGGAGACAAAACAATCACATTTTTATATACAAATTGGTATCTCGAAGTTTTGCTACGTAAAGTTTCCACAGATCATATTGTCTATTCTCCACGCCAAAAAGCTTTTGTTTCATTGGTCATTGATCCACAAATGCCATTCTCAGCGGAAGAATATTCTGATATTAATGGTAGTAACCTTGAATGTCAATGTTCTGTTTATTCATTTTGTTCTGTTTATTCCATAGAACTACGAGCCCTAGTTGAATTGATTGGCTCTTACGGAATCGATAGTTTGACGGAGAAAATAATGTGGCATATTGCCAGTCAAGTTACCGAGCTAAAGGTTTGTTTGATTAGTGCTTCAATTTTTTCGCAAAGTTTATGTTTTTTTTCAGCGTATTGTCAACAGAAATGTCGAAACATTGATTGAATTGCGATCACACTATGATCAACCAGAACAGATGCGGGAATTGGTAAAAAAATTGACCGATGTCGATTCTGTCCTTAAACGAATGACTATTATTGGTGAAATGATGTGTTTCCGTTCATTGTTGCAAGAAGCATTGAATGATGTTCTGGAAGAACGTATACCATTTTTACTCGGTTCGATTAAAGATTTTCATCATTCGGCCAATAGTTCAATGATCGAATTAATGCATCTGGATAATAATAATGTCATAAAGGCTGTGGATGAAATGGCCAGTTCGGCTGGTATTGAATGTAAAGTTGATTCATCATTGGTAAATGCTTTACGTAATCAAAAAAATGATATCAAACCAGAAGAAAAATATCAATATGCATGTCTATTAATGGTTTTTATTGCCGTTTCTCTACCGAAATTGGCTCGTATGGAGAATTCAATCTATCGTCCAGAATTAGAAGCTCACGCTAACAATATACATTGTTTAGCTAAAGCAATCAATGGAATAGCCGGTGCTTTGTTCACCATAACCGATACGAATGATATTGAAGAGAGACTTAAAGAATTTTTAGCATTAGCATCATCATCATTGTTACGCTTAGGACAGGAAACTGGCGATAAAGAAGCGATTAGAAATCGTGAATCTGTCTATATTCTATTGGATTTGATTGTACAGGAATCACCATTTCTAACCATGGATCTATTGGAATCATGTTTTCCATATGCATTAATTCGTAATGCTTATCACGAAGTTTATAAACACATTTCAGTCAATAATCATCAATAATCAATAATAATTATGTATTTTATTTTCAAATCAAATCTTTTAACGATGGTTGTATCGGATAAAATGATAAACTTTTACGGAAATCATCAATATTCACAATGAATTGATCATCCTTGCATTTTGATTGTAATAATCGTATGACTTGCGATTCATCATTTTTACAAATGTATTCACTACAGACGGGCTGACAATCCAATGTCAAACATTCGTTCATAGCTTTGCAACCATTTCCAACAACCTAAATGATAATTAAAAGTAATAAAATAATATAATTAGTCACAATGATTTTCATCTAATTTTTTCATTCATTTAAAAAAATTTACCTCAACACTGAGCATTTTTCTTTGATTCCAGGGCAAAAATATAAATTCATCGGTCCAATTACGAAAATCCTGCAATTTAGCCGTTTGTAATTGAGCGGCTTCTTTTTTTGCTCTATCAAAACAATAGTCATAGATAATAATCTCGGTCAAATGTTTTGTTGTTTCATCATCAAGATTAAGATATGGTGCCAATTTTTCGGTTATTGCAGCCGTAACATATTCATGAAATTTTTCTTCATTTAATGTTTCATGAATAAATTTTTTGCAATAATTTTCAAGAAATTCACGGATACGTTTATCAAGAAATGAGCAATCGAATTTATCGGCATCGGATGCTACGTAAACACTGAAACCAAGTATGCCGAACATATTCTGGCTACAACAACCCACCATATAGCCTAAGCCTTCGCATGTTCTGTCGAAAACAGAATAAAAATTTAACAGAATAAAACCCACATTGAATGAATTTACCTTAGAACATGGAAACATTGTTCATTTATCATTTCAACAAAAAGTGATTGATAACATTTTGATCGAATATCAAATGGTCCTAATTGTTGATATAATTCCAGATAAGACATACAACTTGAATCGGCCAATGTAAGTAATCGAATGCGATTATTTCCAGAAGGTATTTGTATAACACGTTGCTTTATTCGTTCTAATGGTGGATCAATCTGTTTATTATTGTTCAGAAACATTGATTCAAGTCGTTTGGCGAGCTCGATCGTTTCCTTGATGCTTATATTGCCTATAAACAAAAATTAATTGTTATGAAATAGCAAATTGACAATTAATTACCTTGAACAAGAATTTCGAATGAGATATTTGACAAAAACTTTTCATTATAATCCCTTAAATTTTCAATGGTTACAGTTTGAATTTTTTGTATAAGATTTAGATAAGAAAAATGTCGTTCCATCAAAATGGAAGAGAAAATTTCCTGATTGAATGTTTGTGATTCTCGATTTTTGTTTCGATATTCTTTGATTATATCATTTTTGATTGAGTTCAACAGGTTTTCAGAAAAGTCAACGGATAAAAAACGTTCCATAACAATAAGGACAAGTTCGGTTAATTTTTCATTGAAACCTTTTGCACCTAAAGTCAACCCATAACATGTACGAGCTAGTTCCCATTTCATATGAGCTTCATATGCATCATAAGTATCCTCTTGTAGAATGATGGTTAGATATTCTTGTAGAACAACATTGAATGCAACATTTTCTAAACAATTTTCATTGAATGGACTAAGAATATGAATATTAAACGAAGCATTTGGTAGACGATAATTAAAATCACATTTATGCCAAACAGTCATTCGTTTCTCATCAATAATCTTCATCGGATAATCACCTTGTTTTCTTTCCGCACAATCTTGTGGCAGTGTATCGGCTAAAAGGTCAAAATTTTTGGCTAAAAATCGATTTGGTTTTGGATAGTAAAAATAATTTGATTTGCCACTGCAATTCTTGGCATTACTTTTCCATTTTTTGGGAATTTCACTACTTTGATATTTGATATTCATCCATGGTTCAACTTGTGTTTCAAAATTTTCTTCAAGTTTTTTATTCAAAACTATAAAATTTGCCTTATCGATTGTCAGTTGGCTGCCGAAATTATTGATAATCTCATCATCATAATGATAGAATAAAGATGTACCAGTTAAAACATGCTCTAGCGGTAAGTAAAGAAGATTTTTGGCTAATTCAATCGAATTCGATAGTGAATCTTTTTCTGATTTCTTATTGAATGAATACAATGCAATCGCCTGTTTCTCATTATAATAATATTCTTGAGCACCGGATCGTTGAAGAACGGTCAAAAATTCGAATAATAACTGCACGATTGTATCAAGATTAGATGCACCCATATCAGTCAGATGTAAATCAATGTTGAATATGATGAAAAAATTATTATTAGATTGACAAAAAATTTCACTATCGGTAAAAATTTCCATGGCAAGATTTCTTTCACGTAGCAAGGATATCAAACTTCCTTTTCCTTCATAACCGATCAATGATGCCCAATAATCATTAGGACTTATTAGATATTGATCAATGACCGGTTGCAGACACCAATTTATCAACAAACGTGTTCCATCATCGATTGATTCAACACGATACAAACGATTAAATCGTGATTCCAGTCCAAATTTGAAGGGCAATTTTCCTTGAAATTTCTCAATCGTCATCAAATTATCGGGCATCATGGGTTTGACAACATTCGAAAAAACTGATGTCGTCCATAGTTGCAGATTTTCCAATGATTCTTGTGCCTGCACTACAACGACAATATTTTCAGGCTGATAGAATGTTCGATAAAAATTCAATAACATTTTGTGTACGTCTATATTGTTGGCTTTTGGATCATCGATAAGTGATTTTTTATTGCCCCACATAAATTTATTCACTGGATGATCAGTATCAGCTAGATGACTTAACAAAACATCCACACGTAAATCATCATCATCTTTTGCCTGTACGAATTCAGTATCAATCGGTTTGATTTCTTTCTCAATCGATTCTTGACGTAATAATGGTTTAATGAAAGCATTGCCAATCAAGTCGATTACTGATAATTTAAATCATAAAACAAAAAAAAAATGAATGAAAAGAATCAAATTAAACTAGACTAACCTTGAGAAACATGTTTAGGATGAACTTTGATTTCATAAATTGTATGTTCAATCTCTGTATGTGCATTTTGATATCCACCATGTGATGAAAGAAATTCATCGATAGCGTTTTCGGCCGGATATTTTTCCGATCCCATGGTTAGAAGATGTTCTAACATATGAGCCATACCTTGAATTTCCTTAGGATCTTGGATAGAACCAACTTTGACGCCGATAACGATTGCAGCATTTTTTACATTACCATTCATAATCGATTCATCCGACATTGTCGACATTTTTTCCTCATCATCATCACCTTCATTTTCATCATTAGATTCATCGATATCTTCACTTGCAGATTGAGACAATTGTTTATATGTTGGATCGGATATTAAAACAATTCGAATGTCATTTGCAAGTCTGAGAATTTTATAGTCAAATTTATCACTTTCAGAACGAATCAGGAAACCCTTTTCTTGTTTTTGCTGCAAGAAATTTGGAATTTTGAGCAACTTTTCGGTATAATCTTTGACTACTTTTTCGGTGGCAATAACAGTTTGACCATTGTTTGAATCACTCACAACACTTTCTGCCAATATTTCATACATTCTTCTTGACAAACGATTATAATTTGGAGTAGCAAATTTGCTACTTTCTCGAAAAAACTTGGTTATAGAAAAAACACGTGTCGGAATTGAAAAACGGCACATCAAATCTGAATATCAAGGTAGAAATAGAATCGAATCGACCCTCAAAACAGCTGATTTTGTTTAGAGCTATTGAATTTTTTTTCAATCCATGCAGAATTATGATGGTCTGATTCTTCGGAAACAACGAAATCCTATTAATATATTATCATTAGCAAATTATTGGGTCCAATTTATCTGTAAATTTTTGGATTCAAAATTTTGACGCACGCGCACTAGAAAGGAACTTGTAACACGTTACCCGCAATTATATTCATCAATTTGATTAAATTCGAAAGATCTATATAAAAAACTTGGAATGTCGGAAAAATAGTCATAGATGTCAATCCTGTTTTATTGTTGTATTTTGCTGCATTATTCTATCCACCAACATGGCTTATCTATGGACAATGACTATACACAATAATCATGCAGGTCGGCTTAGTAGTAGGTGCAACAGGTATTATTCCCGATAGCAAATCCATCAATTGTCCAAACATTTTTGTTGCTCTCAGAATGAAATAGAGAAAACACCATATCATTGCATTTTTGAATGAATATTCGTTTCACTTCAATCAGGACTTGACTACATCATTCAACATTTTTCTTTCAATCATTCATTGTGGTGTGTTTTTGGGAGCGACAAATAATTGTTCTACAAAATTTATTATTTTATCAAATCGAACCAGAAAAAACCATAATGCAATGATAATGCAGAAATCAAAATCCTGAATTTTTGATTTTGAAAGCTACTGAAAAAAAAACTACAAAACTTCAAGGAAAAAAACAACAACGAAGAAAAAACTCGAATGTGACAGACACACACACACACACACTGGTTGCTTGGTTGATTCAATTCGATAGTAAATAACATTGGATTGTGGATTGGAATGGCGCCCAAACTCTTTGTATGTATGTATGTGTGCGTGTGTGTGCCAATAATATAGGATTGTTTCTGGCAAATGACCTTGTCAAAATATCTCAAGAACACCGAATGTACACAAGCACAAATCGAATCGAATCATTATTATATAGTGAAAAAAAGTAGATCTTTGCTTCAAAACAACAACAAACAAACAAAAAAAATGTCGAGCAGTCTCAGTTTTGAGACGACAAATTTTCTTGCAGATAATCATTTATTTTTTCTTTCTGAGAATTTTAGTGAGATATAGACATTTATATTATCGTCATCATCATCATGATATGGCACAACAAATTATTGTCATCATTAATAATATAATGATGCTAGAATTGCTCCACTATTCGACACCCACACACACATGTACACCAATTAGATATTCAATAATTTGATGATGAGTACAACTTGGTGTTGCATTGGGGTAAATACCAATCATCGATTCGATAAAAAAAACAAAACAAAACAAAATATTCAAACGAATCGACAAATTTCGATTCACCATTTCCTCTCTGTCGCTTTGTTTCAACAAACTAACGATTATCATGTTCAAATTATGTTGTATGGCATCATTATACATTACAGTTTGGATGATCGTCAAGGCATTTGGATGGACGTCAATAAAAATTAATCAATAAAATTCATTTGAACATGTTTCAGGATAAATAGGAGAAAAATTCCTCTTAATTTAATGATAATGATAGTGATAATTACAATCAAATTACAATCGATATCATCATATCGATGGTTTCGTCCAAAATTCAATTCGGCCATTTTTAAATTGATTTTTTGAATAATTACATTGATTCATTAGATTGATCATCTACGGTTAGTTTAGCCTATAGTCGAACATTGCACCGAGATCAATCCAATAGCACAATTCAACAGATCAAGATTACATCCAACTTAGTACAAAGAAAAAAAAAAATTGAAAGCATACAACATCCTTCTCCTCATTCTCATTCCAAAACGACCGATCAAATCACAATTCACACATCTCGAGGGTAGTCCAATGGCCAGCATCATGAATTTCAGCAAAATTCATGGCGCATATCAAGTCACATAAAAAAAGAACGATAAACGATAAACGAAATTCACATTCAAACCCATCATCATAATCATAGTCCACAACAGTTCTTGTTAGACCAGTTTCCCAACGACAACCAAGGAAAAAAGTGGCAAAAGAATACATTCCCCCAATTATAAACGAAGGGAAAACAATATTAAATCTCTCCCTTTATGATGTCGGTTTGGAAGTGAAACAACGACGATCATGATCGTGCATGAAACTTCTTGGCCCAAAAACATTTTCAGGGAAAAGTGATAATATAGATGTAGTGCATGAAGAAATGACTAAAATGGCTATTGTGCTTTTATTGTTGTTGCTGCTATTCCGAATATAATTCGAATTTTTTTGTTAGATTCAAGAATTGTTGCCAAAAACAAAAACTTGTTGAACTCGTTGTCATAATCATAAAATGAATGTTAAAAGTGATTTAATCTATTTTTATCCCTTGTAAGTGGGTGTATATTTGATTAATATGTCGGATACCATGGATCGTTTAAACTTAAAGTTCAAAAGAAATGTTCCAAATATCATCACGATCAATGTCATAATTCAAATGAATCATTTCTATTCTCTTTTCTCTAGTTCCGGTTCGATTTTTCTTGCCTGCACAAACACACTTATGTACACACAAACCACATGCATCCTGGCCTGTTTCATGGTGTATCGTCACATTTCGTGTGTGTGTGTGTGTGTGTGTGACCACCATGACGAAGCGCAAAAAAAACTCTAGTTTCAAAAACAACAATAATAACAACGACAGCTTTAGAACAGAACACGAAATTGGAATTTCCATAGACTGGTCTGGATTTGAGATCTGTTCTCTTCTGTTTTTGTTTCTGCCATAATCATTATCATCAATCGAATTGAAATGGCATTTTAAATGTGGCTGGTTTTTGGTACCCATGTTTTTGGAAACACACACACACACACATATACTGAGCGCTTGATACACAGCCAGACCATTTCAAGTCAATCAAAAAAAAAAAAGGAAAAATCCGAGGGTCGAAGGTGAAAGAGGATGGCCATCAGACCGGTTTTTGTTTTAACAAATACACATATAGTCTTTTTTTCCAGAAACGTTCCATTTTTTTGTTTTTGTTCTTGCTGAAACAAATATCAAGTCCCATCATTCCGAAACTAAAACCAAGCAGTCATTCCATTCCAATATGATTTGAGTTCAAACTTTTTATGGTTGGAAATGAGCTTATATCATTTGGATGTTATGCCTGCATATTGCTTGTCGGGGCAATTCAGTTTGAAACGAAAAAAAAATCTCAAAAAATTGATGATTAGGATGATGATGGTGGTGGTGGAAGGCAAGGAGGGGGCCAATGACGGAGCAGAATATTGCCTATTTGTCTGTGTGTGTATTTAGTGTTTGTGTGTTTGTTTCCTTTTGGGTTTGGTGCCTGTTTTTTTTCTCACTATGTTTGATTTGTTTTGTATTTTGATGAAACATACCAAACACACACACACAAATACAAACACATACACAAAGTGTACCATCATAGCCATCAATTCAAACAAAATAATATCATCCTCCTCCACACATACACAAATACAACACACACACACATCATAGTTGACTATACAGAAATCAAAATACCAGAAACATGAAATCCAATTGGTTGATGTGTGCCAAAACATTCAATTCAATTCATTGTTTTTAATAAATATGGCCAAACTAACAAGTGAATTTTTTTTTCCATCATCGTTATTTCGTCGCTTTATACACACACAAATGATGTAGCAGTAGCAACGGAACAACAAACACACACACACACACACACATTGCTTGCATACGCACATTACATTTAAAAGTTTCTTTTTGGAAATGAACCAAAATTGGAAATGGTTCGATGTTGGTTTTCGGATGGTTGATATGAATGATAATGATGATGAATGCCAACGCCTTTTTTCTGCCCTTTTTTTGAATTGAAATTTTCCCCCTTGCCCATTGGATTCTAAAAACCAGAAAATAAAAATTCAACAATATCCCACAAACACAAACCATTGACGACGACGAATGATCCTTGATGAAGATTGTTGTTGAACAATTGAACGGGAATTTTGTCTTTTTTTTCATCATTTGAGAACATCTTTTATATGAATGAATAAAGAAAGAATAAAAGACAAAACATGATGATATGATAGTCATAAGGATGAGGATGTTTGCTGTGTGTTTCTACATCACCATCATTACCACCACCAATCATTCCAAAGAAATTCACGGAGGGAGGAAGATCACCACCACCAACAATGGCAAAAGCGAATTGGCATTCAAGGCATTGTGCCAACTGGAAATGCGAAAAAAGATTGGAAATTATTTTTGGAATGGAATGGAATCATCGTCATCATCATCTCAAGAATGAATGCCATACATTACTTGTATTTCATACATTGCGCGTTTTTAAATGAATAAATGTCGCATTCATTTTATTCATTTATCTCCATCACACAACACACACACACACACACACCAAACATTCTTTCTTGTCGATGTCAACAAGTTTTTCTTTCATTCTCACTTTCATTTCCAGAATATCACAAGATATACTATATATTCGAATGTGAAATTCGAATTCCAGAATTTTTCATTCTGTCATGAAAGAAAACAAACAAAAATGATGGAAACTTGGCAAAAAGTTGTCGAATTCTAAAAATGGAAAACTTATTTTCAGAGAAAAAAGACTATAAAGAAAACTCTATCCACCAATCACTTTGGGAATGGTGAAAAAAAAGAACTAAAAGATATTTACATCGTGGTTGACAAGATTAGATTAGTTTATGTTGTCTCTTTTTCCTGGACAAAAAAAAAAATTTAAATGAAATTCGATTTGTCCCCACTTAAGCTAAACCAATCATTCGAGTTGAGTCCACCACCATCATCATCAACGAATCTATCGAGTTGCACATCGATCTTGGCACAATAATTCTCTTTTTTCTTGTTGTTTTTCTGTTCTTTGGCCATTTCTTTCAATCTTTCATCCAGTCCAGTCCAGGTTTCGATTGCATCGATATTGTATCCATTAAAACAGTTTAATAGCAACAACAAAAAAACGATGAGCCATTCATTCCACCTTCGTCATTATCAATATTTAGCTATTCGTATTGTTGAATGTTTTCTTTGGTTGGTTGATTGCACCATGCATGCATATACACATTCGATTCGATTCGAATTCCCAAAAAAAGCGCAAGAATGAAAGGCGCGCACAATCAAATTGAATGTTTAAAAAAAACCTGAAACATGATTTCAGGAGAACACTTCGAGACTGGTCTTTAACGAAACATAAAAGTTACAGGCTTCAATGTTATGTAATAAAATAATCATCATCAATCGTAGGTATGATGATGATGATGGAAAACTTGTGGATCAACCAAACCAGTCAACCATCATCCTCATCATACACCATCATGGTAATTTCGAATTGAATTGAGAAATTCCAAAACCCGCCCTGAAAATATTCATTCATGATGGTGGCTGGATGATCCAACCGTCAAACCATTCAAATCAAACAAACGAACGACCCTGATCGAAAAGGCCAAGGTCGTTCGTTTTCGTTCGTTCGAGCATCATCATCAAAAAAAAAGATGCTTAAAACTGACGAACGAACCAAAAAAATTAGCAAAAATAATGATTATGTCATCCAACCATATGCAAATCACAATATGTATCGATGATATATTGAACACACTTTGTACATTTCCGGTTGTGTGATTTTTTCGAATTTGTTTTTTCTGGATTCTACCACTGTAAAAAAATAAAATGTGCAACCGGATGTGCCGGATGTATTAGTTTTTACTAGTGAGAGAAAGAGAGATAGATAGAATGTGTGCATTTGAATTATGGATAAAATAATCACCAATACCATTTTGTCCATTGTGTTCTTAAAAATTTGTTTTCTGGCGTCATTGACGGAGCACGAATGTATCGTCACATCTATAACATCCTCCTCTTATTCATTCTCATCCTCCTCTTCTGGTGATGGTTGGATATAATTTCAAAACCATACCGCGCACAACAAACACACCATTCATATAATCAGAACTGAACAAAAATTTCAACAAAAAAAAACGTTTCATCCGGACTATAACTATGGATTTATAGACAACCAGCAACCACGAATTCGCGAGAAAAAAATAAAACCAACCAACGTTTGCTGCTGTTGTCACAATATCAAAATCAAATGACGATGAAACACAGGCGGAGCTGTATTCTCTCGTCATCTTAATCTTCGAAATGACTTGTTGGTTACAGAAACATTTATTGCCCACCAAAAAACAAATGTGCTCATGTGCCAAAAACCAGAAAAAAATGAAATGAACCGACAAGTCATCCAAACCATTCCCATCATCATTTATTCTACATCCCAAAATAATTTTCAATTCTCCAACAACATTTATGCTCACCCTCATCATCATACACATGAAGATGTTAATCTCACGAACACTATCTATCTAACCGACGACGATAAACACGTCCCAGAAAAAAAACCAGCTCTCCCTCCCTCCCTCTTTCTCACCCTCCAAAAAACACACATGAAATATACATTCGAACAGGTGGCGCAACAGGTCCCATTGTGTGTTTGATATGTGTGTATGTATTAATTATGCATGTGCTATGTGTGTTTGCAGACGTTCAGTCCAAGTCTCAGTTCTTGTATGTTCTTTTTTTTTATTATTATTCACCACCACTACTACCAATTCGATACCAAAATATACTATTACCACCATCATCATCATCATCCAACCAACGACCAGAGAGTTCTGCTTCGTCAGTCGTCCCATTCCAACAAGCATCACAATCATCATCCAGAAAAAAAAACTAAATGTTCTCATGAAACATTGGTGTCATCATCATCAACATCTCATCGTCATTCGAAATTCGTCGTTTGGTTGTTGTTCGACATTTTTTTGATTTAAACAAAATTTGATTTTTTTTCTCGTTTCGTTTCGAATATTCATATTGAAAGAGTTTAGTTTAACTCGTTCCTGGAACAAATTCTTGTCATTGTCAACGATAACAATATTTTATCAAGTGCATTGGTTCTGTAAAAAATTTTCTTATTTTTTCCATTCAAGAATGTTGTTTATCATGAATTTTCCAATGATATTTTGATCATGATATTCATCATTAATGATGATGATGATCATGTGTTTTTCATCATTTCATTGGTTTCATCACTAGAACGCAACCCAACATCCATCCATTATCGATTGGATCTCTCAATAAACAAATCATTGCAATAATAAGTAACCCATAAAAAGTGATTTGAAAACCGGTAGATGTAAATGAATTTTTGGTGAGTAGATTTTTTTTGCCATTAATAAAAAGTTATATTCTTTTTCCGGTCATTATTTTTAATGCCGACTCAAGTTCGAAATTATCACATTCTGAAAAATGCGGATTGCCTTTCGGAATTCTTTTTTTATGAAGACAATGACATCGAACTGACATTCCTATGTTATTCGATTTCACATCATTCGTTTTTCTTTCACATTTCTTTATTTCCATTTTGGCATCACATCAACCAACAATATTATTACCAGCATTATTCATCCATCCAACCGGCCAATTCCAATGGCAATCCAATGAACTGAGCAGCAGACTGATGAAAAAAGCACATTGCTCCATGGAGAGATTTATCGAAACGGGCGCGACCAGTCTCTAAGTTGTAAGCATCACAAGTGTGTGTGTTTTTGTACGGGGAAGGGAAAGGAAAACCGATGAATGGTACCGTCCCGAAAGTGCTTTCAAATCAAAATAATTTTCTCTTGAGGTCGTCGAACGCATGACCGGCCTAGGAAACTTTATTTATTTCGAGTTTGCAATAGCGAATCAAGTCAAGTGTGTGTGTGTGTGTGTGGTTCGAATGTTTCATGCTGACATCGAAGACGACGGGTCGATTGGTCGTCGTCATAGTCGTGTATCGTTTTTGTTTGATGATGAAACACACTCATACACAGCACAACAGGTGACATCGACATTCAATAAGTCAAGTGTATGTCTGTGTGGTTATAATGGCAGTGGTATGTCCAGGTGTGTGACAGGGACACCTGTTAGACTTTGTTGGTCGGTTGATTTGTGATCCACAATCTCAAACAATCGATCGATACGTTTGGTTAAATGGTTGGTTGGTTGGCTGGCTGGCTGGCTGGCTAGCTGGATGGATGGATGGATGGATGGATGGCTGGCTGGTTCGTGGTTGTTCGATCGTTTGATCGACAAGTTCGATGGCTTGATCTTTTTTTTGAGGGTCAATCCTGAACTTTTTTTTTGTTGAAAATTGTCTGAATTTTCAATGAAATTTTATTCAACATGGACGAGATACACTTGAAATTTACCGGATTAGATAAACACCGAGTGCGAGCAATGGCAGTGGTTTTTTCCATTCATTAATCTTGACATTCAATCGGATAAGAATTTTTTTTTGTTTTGTTTTTGAATAAAAATCTCAACCAAATGAAGCCACCACCTCGTTTTCAATTTATCCTAGATTTTTTTATTTCGCATCCCAAAATTGCCAAATTAATGTTTGTATCACAACATCGTTGGGTGTGTAATTTTTATTTAACAAGAAAGAAACATTGAATGTATTTTGATACCAAAATTTCCTTGTTCTATTGTATTGTAATCTTAGGCATACATTACAAACATGGTAATTGTAAATCTCATATTTTGGTTTCACGTATTGTGTAGAGCCTCTCTCTCTCTCTCTCTCTCTCTCACTTTGGAGGAAGTAGTTGATCTTGGATTTCAATCTCTCTTGATTGTTTTTTTTCCATTATATCATCATAACATAAATTCAATTGACATCGATTCATTTGATACTCATCATTATCATCATCATCAATACTGTCAAATCAATAGAAAATAAATGTAATGGATCAGTCTCATATGTGTGAAACCGGTACACTTAATAAATTGATTTCGACAATGATAGGCAAAGACTTTGGACCAATTTCTATTTGGATCTAATTCAAAATTTAAGAAAAAAAATCTTCACACAAACAAAAATACTATCAAAATCAATAATGATCCGATGATGATGAAACGAAACAACTTTGTTTCATGATTGATTGACAATCGTTGTTTTTCCCCTTCCCCTCATTTATCAGACGATAATTTTCAATCTTGGTAATGATGCCGATGATGTCGTTTGCAAAAGAAAAAAGAAATAGAACCGAATTTTTTTGCCAAAGTGAAAACCTCACCGTAACATAACACACATAGAGATAGTGAAGAGAAACATCCTCTTTTTTCAAGCATCATCCTCATTCTTGTTTCATTTTTTTCTTCTTGGAGAAAGCATCATCATCATCATTATCAAGTCACGACTACAACGACAATGACGACTATGATGACAACGGCAATGATAGTAAAGACCAAAATATATGTGGTATGTGGATGGATTGATGTTTCGCTGGTTGGTTTGTTGGTTGGTTGAATGGATGGATGAATGATGCACATATGCACCAAATGATGATCGTTTTTCGTGTTTCATCCCACCAAGAAAAAACTCCATGATGATGAGGAGGATGATGGCGTCTTTCTTTCTTTCTTTCTATCTTTCGTTGTTTTCTTATATTCGTTCATCATCACATTACCAACATTTCACCATAGCTGTGTCTTTTGGTATGCATGTATGGATGTAATAATTGTGAGTCGAGGTTCTTGGTTGATGGTTTTTTCTGGTTCATATTCACGTTTTCTGGTTTAAGTCGAAAAATTGTGTGTGCGTCTGTTGTGGTGGTATCTTCTTGTACCATGTAAATGTTCTAGTTTTCGTTTGTAGAAATGTGTCCTCAAAGATTTTCGCTAATCCAAGTGTTTGTAGTTGCTTTCATTTTTTGTCATCATTTATTTATTTATTGAAGGCATTTCGCCGCTACCAATTTCTACTAACTTTCATTATTGTTTCTATTTTTCTTTCTGGAAATCTTTATTCCTCATTATTTTTTCCCCACAATTTCATTCATACTCCCCCTTTACGCCAAAAAGAAAAATTTCTGTCTTTGTGATATGATATCGGGTTTTTTTTGTGTTGAACATCAGTGAATGTGATACAGTTATAAGTATACAGCATTGATAACCATTATTTTTTTTCATTCATAAAGATATTTCCATCACCACCATCATATCATATTATCATATTCTTCGATTCTTTTTGGGATTCCTAAAGAATCGAGGTTTTTGCCATTTTGTTATCACCATTGATACAATTGGTTATTGGTTACCTTGTTCTAATTTATACTTCTTTCATTTTTATTCTAGTTTTTTTTCACAAGAAAATATAGATCTCCATAATAATAGTAATCTTTTGATCAAACGATACATTGCATACGTTGATGTTCATCAAAAAAGTGCCTTTCTTTACTTAATCAAATCAATTTTCTTCAGTCTTATTGATCTAATCAAATTAAAAATTTGACATCTTTATTATATTATTACCGAAGATTTATTATATCTGCATATATGCGTCTGAGAGTTCGAATTGCTCATCAAAAAAAAATTTGAATTTTTTTTTCTGAAAATCCTTTTGAAATCTGATCAAAAATGAATTGTGAACCAACCAGCCTATTAGCCGGTCATTCATCGTCATCAATTGAATCATCCTCACCACAACCATTACCATTGACCATATCGAATAGTAGTCGTTGTACATCACCAATATCGTCACCACAACATTCTGATCCATCTGAACAAAATGGAATTGAATCACCATCGTATGAAGATGAATCAATATCTGGTATAAATTTAACAATGAATAAATCAAATTTAAGCACAAACAGTAGTAATAGTAGTAGTACCAATAATGGTTCAATAATATCCAATCAACATAATACAACGAATACTATTTCAAAGAGGCCTTCACTTACCAACCATAATCATCATCATATCAATTTGAATATTTCATCAACACCTCCACCACCATTAACAACAACATCATCATTTGATACAAATAATCGAAATAGTCATAAAATGAAAATCTCACCCGATTTTCCAACACCATCACATAATAATACTAATCAACAACAATCACAACGTAAATCAAAATCATACCATCATCATCCCAATCATCGGTTATTTGATAATAATAATCTACCAATAATGAATATGAATTCACCGGATTTAACACAATTATTACTTGAATATAGACAAGTGTTATTGGATGTACTTATTAAATCAATGAAAATGAATGATAATCATAATGAAGATACAAATAACAATGATAATAATAATAATGATACAACAATTCATAAAGGAATCGTATTACCGGTCAAATGTCAATGTGGTTATACTTCAGAGCTAAGCAAACAGATAACACGTACATCTACTTATGTACATCAATTAGAATTAAAATTTCGTGCCTTTCTTGAATCGATGAAAGCAACATCATCATCGACAGAATCAAATCGTTATACACCTAAACGTCCATGGTTTATTGATTCATCGGTACTTACATCATCTTATCCTCTTGGTAGTATCTGTACTGCTGGGGTTGGTGGTGGTGGTGGTGGTCCGACAAAGGTGTCCTTGTTGGATAAGAAAATATTTCGAATGTCAGCGAACGATAAGCCAATTTCATTATTTTCAGGCAATAGCAGTATGAATAGTAGTCTAAATGATGATGATGATGATGATGACGACGATGATGATGATATTGATTCAGATGTTGGTGGTGATGTTGATGATAATGTCAATGATAATGACAATGATGAGGATAACCTGTTGGAAAATTTAAACAACAATAATAATCTCTTGTTCACAAATGGTGCTAATCCAATTGTTGATGAAATTATCGGTTCAAATATCATTGGCGGTGGAGGAAAAACCATATTGGAAGGTTATCTTAAAAAAATGAATGAAATGACAAAAATTCACATCGATGATTGTTCAGATGATGATAATGGCGATGATGATCATCATTTAGTAAACAAGAATGATCATCAGCAACAGCAACAAGTGGATGATGAAGAAGAGCCAGATGGTGTTTCCGTTACCGCCGATGAAGATTTCCATCGAGGTATGTATTTTTCTTATTTTTTTAAAAGTTTTAAAATCATTTGTTATATATAGGACCAGGAAAACGTATCGATCTTAAAACGAAAAAATTGGTTGTGCAAATGAATATGAATGGCGCTAGCTATACAGATATTAGTCGTCAGATTGGAATTAGTCGTAAATCAGTCAGAAGAATAATATCGAATTTTAAAACATTTGGATTACTTGAAAAAAAACGAGGTAAATCTATAATTTTTATTGTCTTGATTATTGTCATGAATATTGAATTTCTCTAACTTGAACCTTTGGTTACTATATATCATTTCCTAATTCCAACAATATATCCAAACAAAACAAAAACAATTACAGAATCACGTAGTCGTAAAGGTATGCATGTTCTTTATGTAATTTATAATTATCAGATGTATCCAATTTTCCCCCAATATTACTTGATTCAATTTTTACAATCTTTATTGATCCATAAATTTTCTATTCTAAATAAATCTAGTATCATCAAATGGTTTGAGTACATCGATTATAGCCAATAATGGTGTCAATATGGCTAGCATCTTTAATGGTCGAATGCCTGATTCTTATAACGATGGTGCTAATGACGATGATTTAGATGATGAAAGAGAAATGATTGTTGATGATAATGGTGGTGGTGACGCCGATGATGATGATCAAGATTCGGATGTTGATGGTTTGTTTTTAGATTTTATCAAAATTTTTAAAATTAATTCGTGTATTATCTACTAATTCATTTAGAAAATCATCTTGTACAAAATGAAATCAAAAAACAAGAGATTGATGCAAATTTTCTGAATCAATTATCATTGTTTCAAAAGGCGATGCAAGCATCCCAGCAGCAGCAGCAACAACAACAACAATCACAAATAAATAGATCTTCAAAACGAAGCATGAGTCTTATTCAACAAGTACAATACAATAATAATAATAATTATACGAAACAAACAACAACTAATGGTTCACAAAATACTAATAATCATCATCATAATCGGCTATCGTTGATAAAGCCACCGGATCGATTTAAACCTTATGATCTTAAAGTTCGTCCTCATAATAGCAATAATAATAATAATGGATCAAATGTTGAATCATTTGCACCGCAAATACACCCAACACATCGGATCTCAAAATCACACCCAATTGTGCCACCACTTCCGCAATCAACAAATATTTATTCAACAGTACAACAGCAGCAACAACAACGATCATCACATCAAAATCTAAAATCGTATAATAACAATCACTTGACTAATAATCTCAACAATACGAATAATAACAACAATAATAATAATTCCTTTGAGCGGGATCTGGAAAATTCATTGATCAGACACCCGAAAAGTAAAACAAATCGTCAACATTCGGTCGATATGTCTTTCAAGGAAAGTTTGATCGTACCAGAAGCTGATAAAAATAATAATACCACATTGAATAATTGTAATGTAACGATAACGAGTACCTCGAAACCAACAATGAATGGTAATTCAAATCAACCATTAGATTTGGGTAATATTACCATACCACAAATACCTGCATCAATGGTCGATGGATCGACTGATTCAGATGCTAATCTTGTACCGAAAAATTTTATCGATGGTCAATTTCCAGCTGGAATTAGTAAGTATTTGTTTTTGCAATATGTTTTTCCATATTGAAATTAATAATTGATATGATATGATTATCATAATTTTATTTACAACACAGTGAATTCACTGAATCCGAATCGTGCCACGAAATTAACATTAGAAGATTTCAATATTGTATGGCATCTACGATCTCAACACTGGACACATAATCAGATACGAAAATATTTTCAGCAAAGAGGAAAAAGTATTTCCAAATCATCAATATCACGCATAATGAATGGTAAACAACGTAATTTTCAACAATTTTTCAATGTTGTACCATCGAATTCAACTTATTAGGAAAAGAAAAAGCCGGTGGTTATTTTATTTAAAAAAGGATATATCGTCATTTTTCATTTTCATCATCATCATCATCATCATTATTATTATATTAAACTTATAATCCCATTTTCATAGAGCTAGCCATACACTTTCAACAACGTGCATTCATTGTGTGCCTCACTCTTTACTCACATTTATCCATGATCATTGCTATTGCGATAGAATATTTTTTCATAAAGATGAAATCAAATCGCTTATTTACACACTCAATCCATCATTCAATATCTCATAATAATGATTATGATATGAGACTTAATTTATTATTATTGCTCATAGCATTAATTTTACACTACAAACCTTTCCACATCATCATACACACCCACATAACCATTTGAGTTTGTTGTTTGAAATTCTTCAAACAACATAGATGGCTTCACATCATTCACACACCAACATATATTAGCCATAAAAGTGGCGATATTGATGCAAAGAATCTCTCAATGTCTTTGTTCGTTCGGTCACTCCATTTATACACATTCAAAATTTTTTTGTAAATATGTTTTTTTTCAATTCAAACAAATTCATTCAAATTAAACTCTCACTATATTTTTTTGTTACTACTTTTTTCCTGCTGTTACTAACCCACTAACGGTTAGTTTTAAAACGCTAATCTGAAATATATAACACACCCATTATACCCACTTACGATGCAATTGTAATAATTCGATTCTGTTATCCTCTATCTTTTTTTTCTGGGCCTGGGCATTCTTTTGTTTCCAGTCATGGAATCAAATTGTGTGTAATCATTTTTCCTGATTTTCACCGATTTCTATCAATGAAAATTGTTCTCATATTTCTTTATTCTTTTTCCCTGTCTGTATCTCAATCATTTTCTTATTTTTATTCTAAGAGATTGTGAGGATCATTTTTTGATTATTTTTTTCAAAAATATACTTAATTTATTATTATTTCAAATGATTTTTTCGTTTGCCAAACACAAAAAAAATAATTCAACTTTCATGGCATTCATCTGGATTAAATTATTATTATTATTATTATATTTACTTTTTACTTATTATTATTATTCTTCAAAAAATGCTTTGCAAATATCAAATATCAAATTTAAATTGTTTTGGAAAAGATGAAAATTGAATTATCAGTTTGAATTGAAGAATAAATTTTTAATCATAAAATCGTTATTTTGAAAATTTTATTGAAAAAAATTATACATCAATGAAAAAATTTCAAACAAAGAAAAAAATTAGCCTAAAATCGATTAAGAGGATACAGATTATCAAACAATGGAGGGGTAAATCTACCTCGGAAAATGACGCCATGAATTGATTAGAATACAGTTCAAATTAAGCCTTTTTTCTTCTTATATTCATCTAGATTCAACGAACGACGATTTGTTCCGGAATTAGGCAATGGATTGGAGCGAGCCATAGAGAATCCATTCGGTTTACTACTGGAAAGTCCGGAAAATAATAACGAAGAATTTTGGTTCGATATCGATGAGGAATTACTATTGTTAATTCCAAAGTCTAGAGTTTCGAAATCAATTTTGATATCGAAATTATGGACACTAAACATGTCGTTATTATCTTCATTATTTTGGCTAGTGTTATTCGTTGATTTGCTGTGATTATTCTGACTTTGTAGAGATGAACCATTGTTTTTATTTGTATTGGATGAATCGAGCGTATCACTATTTTCATTGAATTCCGATAGATCTTTTGACGATTTTTGACTCTCTATGTCTTTGGACGATTGTTCATTAGCTTCATTTGAGTGTGATTGATTCGATTGTGATTGTTTGTTCTTATTAAATACATGGATCATTGTGGGAGCGCATTTACGCCTTGTGAATGGATCATCTTTTTGATTTTGAGCTTCTTTAGCTGCTTCGGCAATAGCACGTTCGGCTTCTTTAATATTACGCATTCGGTTACGTTCATTGATGAATGATATTGAAGCTATACTTTGTGTACGTTTCTTATCCAATTTCTTTGATTCCTCCTCCAGCCTATCAATCTCTTTACCGATTTCGATCGCTTTTTCGTGATCACCATTCATTTCTGCAAATTCTTTTTCCTTCATCAATTGAGTCTTTTTCATCGCGAAATTGGTCGGTTTGTTTTTGAAACGTTCCTTTTCAGCCACTATTAATTCGATATCTTCATTACTGTAATGAAAAACTTGGTTATGAATCCAGTCTGACATTGAATCAAATGAATAAACCTACCTATAATTGTAATTGATAGCTTTTTGTATATCGGCTTTTTTACGTTCGACCAGATCTTTGGTTGGAAAGTCACATTTATCAGCAATCATTTTCGAATGCCATTGTTGAAATTCCGTTTCAGTGAATTCAGAATTTGATATATATTCAAGACGAAATACTTTTTCTACATCGTTGGCATGTTTTAATTTGATTCCTTTGTTCGTTCGAGTCTTACCCAATGTATAAATCTTGGCTGTTTCTACAACATCGACAATTTGGCCAACAATATATTGTGATAAGGAACTATTACCGACACCGATCCTAACGAATGCATTGATAACAGTGTCCCGAAAGAAGGGTGCATGACACCATTTTTCCATTTTAAATCGAGATAAACGTAATGAATTTAAATGTTCAAATGTGAAATCGAATTGTTCAACATCTTCAATATGATCAGTCGATCTTTCATTATCCCAATCATCTTTATCTCGTTTATTCAATTTTCCTTTTGTGTCGACATCACTATCGTCGGACATTGACGAAGATGATGAAAATTCTTCTGATGTTGATGATTTTTTACGGTCTTTTTTCGTTATTCTAATATCGGAATTTGAATCATCTGAATCGGATGAATCCGAATAAACATCCGTAGCCTTTAGTTTTTGTTTCAATTTTTCCTTCTTTTTCTCACGTTCAGCTTTCAATCCTTTCATGGCATCTTTAACTTTACGTTTATCTTCCATATTTCTTCTTCGTTCAATACTTCGTGATGCTGATTCTGTGAAAGTCGAATCGACATTTTTATCATTTTGTTTTTCGTTGGCTTTTTTCTTCATTTCTTGTTTTTTGGCTAACCGTAATTTACGTTCGATTTCGAATCTTGTGCGTAAAACTTCACGTTTTTCACTACGATTAAATAGCTCTTGTTCACGTTCTTTTTCAGTCATTTGGGCCAATTTCCTTTGATCTTCTTCATCACCCATAAGATTTTCATCAAAGCCATCGTTGAATTCTTCATTTTCATCATCACTAAAATCAACTTCACCTTCTTCTTTTTCTTCGGAGCTATTCTGCAACAAATCATCATCATCATCATTATTATCATCATCATCGTCATCATCATTATCATCGCTTGCACTTGAAGCTGTTTTCAATTTTTTCTTCATCACTTTAGTTGGCTGTTTTTTCGACACTTTATTACGTTTCGATTTCGCTTTAGTTTTCGGTTTAGCATTCCATTCCCCATCATCGCCATCATCCGAACTGCTTGATGAATCGGTGGGTATAATTTTCGAAGCAGTTTTCACATTTTTCTTCCGACTATCGATAATTTCATCTTCATCGGATGAAGATGATGATGCAGATGAAGAATCATCGGAAGATCTATTTCGTTTTCTAGCCATTATTGAAATTTTAGTTGAAAAATGATAAATTTAATGACAAATGATACGATGATATCTATCAGATTAATTCACAACACGCCGGTCAATGTTAGGGGTCCAATCGAACGTTCGAACAAAATCACTCAAATCCAGTCTCAAAAACCAGAATGATAATAATATAAATGCATTAAAAGACAAGTGAACGATGAATGTGCGCGAGCAGTGGTAAAATAAAAAAATTCCGTGATTATTTCGCGCCATCTACTGACGATTACCCGGACCATAACGAAATTCAATGTCAAATTTAAATTTTGATGATGTAAATTGAATTTTTTTGTGATCAATTTCGATAGCGATTAGAATGATAATATTATTAAATACAAGCAGGAAAAATTCTGAACATCTAAATTAGAGTTCATTGTGTTCATGGACATTATCAGTTGATTCATGAATGGATTGATTCAAAACACAGGCAGCTGGTGTTTTGAACTCATAGCTATATTCACATCGATTTGGTTCGGATGCACGCATTAATTGATTAATATCACCACAGCTTATATGTACAATAACCGATCTTGCTGGTCCATTCCAACATTGTGTACCACCTTCCATAATGAATCGTTCATAGTGATTTTGTTCCGAACCGATCCATTTTCCCCAGCGACTAATCATAAATAAAGTTAACATTAACATAGATAGTTGTTAGAAAAGAGCTTTAACTTACCCAAGATTTGTTTCAGTTCCACCAGTTTTTGAACGTTGTGAAGCCGAATCGAATGGACATAGTTTATAAACATATTCATTCTCTTCCAATTCAAAACATTGATTCTTTAGCGCCATATATTCACCATTTGGTCCGAAATCCGTTTCTAAAACAACTTCTAATTCACGAATTTTAGTTTGAATATCTTGATATCTTCCTTCGGCTTGATTGTATTCATCGCGAGCGTTTTTAGCTTCATCCACAAGTTTTTGGGTGGGTTCATCATATTCCAGTGTGATCGATGACACAGTACTTTCGGTGGGAATCAATGGACGACCTGACTCATGTTCAAGCTCGTCAGATTCTTCTGCATGCTATGTGAATGATAAAGTGTAAATATTTTATCATTTAAAAATAATTCTCACAAAAAACATACATCAAGCGATTCATCTTCATTAATAGTCGTTTCAGGATTAGTATCATCTATTTGATATTCAGAAGCTTGTTCCTCTTGATTCTATGGATTATTGGTTAAGACAAACATTTATCTATTTTAAAAAGCAGTTTAAAAATGAGTGGAAAATTTTCAAACCTGAGGTTCATTCTCAATGATTGGCTTAACCAGTGGCCAAGATGATTCAATAAATGTGGGTAGAACAAGTTGTTCCAAGCCGTTTGAGTAAAACTGAGGGAGAAAATTTGTTATAAAATGAAATGAATCAATTAATTACAATCAAATTAGTACCTTGGCTTCATCATCAGAAACAGAACCATCATTATTTCGATCAAATCTCGAATAAGATTTCAATTCATCCAATGTGATGATTCCATCGGCATCGGTATCAAGTTTTTGGAAAACAAGTGAAGCTTGTTCGGTCTCTTCAATTTCTCTATTTTTCATCTCTTCATCTTCCTTTTGTTTTCGTAGTTCTTCTTCTTTGGCTCGATGTTTTTCAAGTGCTTCTTTTTCTAATTCTTCAGCCTGATTTTTGACTTCAAATTTTTCATTCTTAATGCTTTCCACTTCATTCATTTGAGATTTTAATGTTTCTAATTCATTTTTAGTTTCATCAATTTTTTGTTTAGCTGTTGCAATATAAGTCTGACGAATTTCATTGCCTTGTTTCATAAGTTCTAGATATCTTTCTCGTTCAATTCGCATTTGTTCGCCTAATTCAAGACAATTGTTGTCACATTTAATCGAACTATTGTATTCATCACTTGCATCACAACAATCTGACGAAAAATTTTTATGGTCAGTACATAAATATATTAAAATTCAGCCATCATAACTTACCACAAATGCCATCATTTACACGAGATGATGGAATAATTTTTTCGACAAAACCAATGTTTGAACAATGAAAAAGGCCATTCGAACAAGCACTAGTACCAGGTTCATCGCTACCATCATCACAGTCACAATAATCATCATTAACTAATAAGAATGGTATCGTTGCCGATCCATCTAAACATTGAAAATCTTTTCCTGGATCATAGAAAGATTTTTCTGAAAAATTAAGAAATAATAATCGATTAATCAAAGAATAATTCACTCAATAACTCACTTGTAAGCGGTACACCTCTTGGCCTGAGCACTTCAGTTGTTCCATTGATATATGAATAATTCAAGAATAAATTAATTATAAAACAAAGCAAAACTTTCCAATAATCAACTATCATCGTTAGTCACTTTTTGGCTCAGAAAACGATATGTTTTTCAATATGAAATTAATTGATCAATAACTAAAAATCGACCAACCGGGTTTTCAATAAATAAGGACACGTTTGGTGTTCGATCGTATATATACGATGAGTAAATCATCTTGTCATGTTGAGTCGAAATAGAAATTTTTAAACTAGAAAATTTTACCGCAATTTGAATTTATTGGAATCAAGTCATTTACAATGTTTTTGTGAATCATTCAATCAATTAAAAATCATTTCTACAAATCAATGAGTTAAGGAATATGATATCATCATCATGGATAGGAAATACATAACAAATAATAATAAATAAAAACCAAAAAAAAAAAAAAACAGATTAAATATTTTATCGGCTTACAAAGGAAATTTCCATTCATAATATAAGAAATAGGATTCAGCTCATTGAAAAATTTAATCAATCTCATGAAATCATTGATTCATTTTGATCTATAGAATAAGACATAGGCATTCTGTGTGACAACATCAGAAGCAGACATCGGTGATACATCCTGATCATCATATCGATGCCAATCAATGTTCAATTCACGATTTCTGGAATAAGCAACATAATGACCACCTTCTAATGATCCAAAATGATTGACCACACCGTAAAGACTAAACACACGAATTTCATCATTAGTTGTTTCCATTTTTAAATGTTCAATGGGAAAATCGACAAAATTTGATATTTTTTGCCTCCACATTCCATCATAAGTGAATCTGTGTGTTGATTGCAATAGAAAAAACAAACAAATCATTTATTTATTATTATATATAGTTTTGGCACCATGTAATGTTACCTTTTTAAATGAATAATCAGAATCCGTGGTAATCTCCAAATATATGTACATTTTTGTGCATCTCTTTTCTGTCTACATGATTGACATTGCCATGCAACTTCATTTGATAATAGTTCACCACGTAGGAATAAATTAATACAATTCTGTAATGTTGTTCGACCAGCATTTTCCGGTATCGGTAATGTGAGACATGTGAATGCTTCCAATGATTTCGATGATGATTTACAATGCAGACAAGTTAATGTACTGACAATCAATCCTTCGAATATATCGCTTATGAATGAATCATTTCGTCGAATATGAAGTGACCAAAAGGTTCGCGCTGCTTCGGCAATCGATAGTTTATCATAGAAATTTGGATCCTTATGAATTGGATCATGAATGATGTCCGGTTTACTTCGATTCAAATCAGCATGAAGTCGATCCAATAGCCGTACGAGAAATTCATGTGAATCTTGTTGTTTATAATCAATAAAATCTGGTATATGACGACTAACAGCACATTTGAAATCTTTCGGAGAAATGTGTTTGAAGTTGGAAGGATAACGCATCTGCTTGAATAGTTCTATCAATTCGATTGTCAATTCACCGTTTGAACCGAATTTGGAATTCAGATTTATGTGAACATTTCCAGCGATTAAAAATTCATAGAATTCTCTCGTATTTTTTAGGCACTGAAGCATAGAATTCATGAAACATGTATTGCCCAGATTTCGAAGGCCGGCGATTCGTGCACATGAACTAAATTGTGGACTAAAATCACGAGTTTTTCGAAAATTAATCGCAAATGGTTTTGCCGATCGATCAACTAACGGTATTTGTGGTGGAAATTTTGGACTACTTGAATTTGTTAATGGGCTTGTCGTATCGTTGAAATGAAAATTTTGTTCAAATTGAGCTATATTCGGTGATGATAAAGATCGAGATAGACTGGATGAAAATGGTTGATTATTATGACGATCATTTTTGTTATTCATATTATTCATTTCCAAAGGTTTTGATATCGAATTCGCTATCGATTCATTATCGGAATCGCTATCATTTTGATTATGATTATTGCTATTTTGATTTTCATAGTCGGACATTTCTTCATCCATTGGAAATACTTCATTTTGTTGTTCACGGACATTTAACGAATTTTCGACCATTTCCATATCAGATTCAACAAATTTGCCGACATCATCATCATGGTCTGTTTGTCTATCACCTTGATTGTTTTCCAGACTGCCATTTGTCTTGTTGCCATTCTGTAACGAAGAAAGTAAATAAACTGGCTTAGGAGGAAGATTTGATCGATTGGCCTTGGGTAATTGGCTAATGGAAGTAGTTTTCATATCAGATGCCGGTCTATCGATGAATGTTTTCATTCGATTCGTACTACCATTTAATGGCATCTTATCTATCGGTTTTGATGATCTATCTGGCATGATTGGTCGAGCAATACCAGGAAACTTCATCGATTTATTATCGAGAGCATTTGATGCAATTGAATTGAAATTAACGTTATTTTCGTTTAACGTTGTTGATATAGCAGGCTGTCTATTATTCATTAATGATGATGGTGGCTTATTATCTTCGTCAAGAAAATTGTACAAATTAAATTCTGGGTTAGGTCTATCAAATGATAATGTCGTCATCGGATTATAATTGGATACTGAATTCGGATTCGTTGTGTACATCGGATAGGTAAGTATAAAATCGCGATATCCTCCTTGTAATAATAATGGTTTATTTTTGATTTTATCAGGTGATTGATCCCACTGAAAAAAATGATTAAGATTGATTAAATTTAAGGAAAACGAAAAAATATCATACCTTCCAAAAAGCATCGGCCAACAAACAACTTTTAAATTTTTTATCAAATTCTACGGTTTTTTCATCGACAATTATAACCATATCCATTGAACGTCTCCGTTCGATGCCATCTTGGGCAACACCGAATGATATTTTCTTTTTCAATTGTGATAATGTTAGACCGGCTGTAATAATATCATTTGGAATGTTTATAATGTTGACCTCTCCGGTGGTTGCAAGTTTATTTGCAGCGATTGATGAATCGGTAAAATTTTCTGCTGAACGAATATCGATTATAAGAATTTTATTTATTTCTGACATTGATTGTATATGTTGAATTAATCGTTTACAATCAATTGACCGATAACATTCATCATCATCATCGTCATCCATTTGAACATCGAAAGGATCTACTTTAACAGCGTTTCCAGGTATTGATGTTGTTTGCTTAAATAGCTGTGCTTTACGATCTTCATAGCTTTTTTGTTTTTCAGCATATCGTTCGGAAAGTTCATCAGTAAGATATTTCATTTTTTCGAATACCTCTGTTGCCTTATTACCAAGAGCATTGAGGAATTTCTGTTTATCACTTTCATTATGAATATAACTAAGAAGTGTTGAAAAACGATGGAAAAACATATAGGCACGTTCACTATCACCTTTTTGCAAATGAATAGTTGCTTCATGATAAAATTTATTTGAAAATTCAATTATTCTACAATGAAAATGTAATCAAAAATGATATGATAAATATTAAATCAAATCAAAATACCGTTCGATATTTGTTTTGCCGAATCTTGTTATTTCAGATCTTTTCTTCAATTCATCAAGAGATTTGGCTAAATGAAGTTCTTGTTTAGTAGCAGATGGCATCTTTGAAAACCTAGATTTTGTTTATTCTATCCGAAAAAAAACAAACGAAAAATTCATAAATCGTAATAAATGAATGAAAATTACCTTTTTCAAATTGTCATAATACAAAAGAAAAAAATTTCCAATAATTTTTTATTCATTGTCACAAATCGACTTTTGTTATGGCTATTATTGTTTGTCAAGAAATACTGGCGAATAATTTGATTTTTTTTTTTTTTTTGGACAATTGACAAAAATATTTGAAATCAAAACCAAAAAGAACAACACAATACAGTTGTAACAAGTTTATTTATCGATCAGCTGAAGATTATATCATCATCATAATCAATAATTGATTCTAATCTTAATTGTATTTCAATTTCAATTATGGATTTTTTGTTTTTGTTTTCTTCAAAAAAACGGAATATGATGACGATTAAATAATGGTGGCGAATACTAAGATCAAATCTTCTTCAATGTATTCACACAAAATGATGAGATATTATTATTATATGTATGTGTAGAGATAAACAACACAGCTATATCATATATGAAAAGTGAAATTAAATGAAGAGCAGACATAGACATAAACACGTAAGTCTTCAATGCCATCGATATCACAACAATATACACAATCATCATCATACATTATTTGTTTGAGGCGTGTGATTTCATGTTGTTGTTGGTGGTGGTGGTGGTGGTGGTGTTAGTGGGAGTAAACTTTAACATTTTTTTTGATGGTTTGCCAATGTATATAAACGTATATGTCGTTTTTATACATTTATCTTTTTTTCTGTTCATAGATGGCGGATATTCAAAGGTAATTTTTTAAAAATAAATTTTTTTTTGTTTTTTTTCATCCAAACAAAATATTATTTATCATTTAGTAGATTTATTCATTATAATTCATTGTTATTAGCAAAAAAGTAGTGGAAAAAATTAAATTTTTTTTTTCATTGTTTCCTGACGACGATGATGATTCCGATGAGAATGATGAATTAATGAAATAGGCGACGATGATGTTTGTGTGTTAAAATTCTTTATAAGAATAGTTTATAATATATTAGTACAAGTGTGTGTGTGTATGGATGTTTTTGTTTTTTCTTTATATAAAAAAGATTAAAGAATTGTGAAACAAAAAAAAAATGCAAAACATTCGAATTTCTTTCTGCGGTGTATCTATGTCTATGTCTCATGTTTATCGAACTTGTGAATTTTGTCGATTAAATTAATTATAATTAAAACAAAATGATGAATACATGTTGTCTGTGTGTGTAGTAGGTAAATATGAACTATTTAAAAATTAAATGATTTTTTCTGGTTAATATAATTACAAGAGAAAAACGGGATATTCTTCAATGTGCATCAAATTCATTCGTTGATTTTCATTTAGAGCCTTGTTTCGTGGAAGATAATGATGAAAAAAACTAGACATTTTTTTGTATCAAATTTAAAATTGATTTGACTAAATTGGTTTCGATTGTTGCCAAAATTATCCGTGATATAAGTTTCATCGATTAACCTTCAACCGAAGCTAAACGTTTAAGACGACCTATGATGATGTGAGAAATAATATTAATATTCGGATTAAATTATAAGAACTAAATGCAAAGGAGATACATACAACTATCATTATTTAATTGCAGCTGTGTGGCCACTTTATGTCGAGCATCTGGAACATCGAAATTAAGTCCCAATTTCAATAGGGTTTTATTCTGTTGAATTAGTTTAGCAATTTCCATTTCATATCGATTGCCCATGATCTGTGGACGTTGATTAGCGGCACGGAATTCGACAATATTTTGTTTATCTAATAAAGCTTCAATCAAATCACGTATCATGGGACCGGATAGATAATTGGATTCCAGATTCACTTTTCGCAATGATTCATTGACTTTTAATGCTTCCATTAATTTCTAATAAAAATTTTTTTTTATGAAAAACGTTAATTCAATTCAATGGAATAAAACATTCATTACCTCAGCAGGACCATCGGTCAGTCCGGTATTTGAAAGATTCAATTCAATTAGATTGGTGTTGGTCTTTAAACCATTAAATAATTTTTTAAATGTTTCACGTGGTATGTATTTGATATTGTTCCAATTTAGATTAGTTAAATTTGGATCATTTTCCGCCACTTGTTTAGCCGTTTTTTCCGGATCGGTCATATTATCCGGTTCAGGTGGTAGGATTTTTTTAGGTTTTGTTGATTTAACAATCGATTCAAATTTATCGCCCAATGGTTGTCCTTTGTTCAATATGGATGCTTCATATTGATCTTGATTGAGCATTGAATGTAGACCAAGAATACCAGCCAAATCAACCAAATCGGCTTCTGTGGCATTGCCCAACGCTTCTTCGGCACCATCTTCGAGATCTAGAATGATTTTTTCTTCCATTCCACCTTTTGGATCCCCTTGTTTTGGTACCCATACTTTGCCTAATCCAGAAAAACAGCATTATTACTAGAAATGATCATTTTCAATCAACAAACAAACCTAATTTAACACCGGGAACAAATTTTTTAATCTCAGGCCAATCTTCCTGTTCTTTAGCGAATTTCGTTAGAAAATTCAACAATTGTCGCCGTTTTAACGGTCCAGTTGGATCTTTATTCGTCTGATCTTTACAACGTTGTGATGGTGGTAATAGACTATCATCAGGATCTACTTCAGAGCTAAGTTGTTCCAATTCTTCAGCCGATAATTGTCCCAATAAATCTTCAACATTAAGATTATCATATTCTTTTAGATCTTTTCCATATAGCATTTTGAGCTTTGGTTGTTGAAATAATTCCTGTGAACTTTTACGTTCGGATAAACGTCGTTGATTAATTGTACGTGTTGTTTTTGTGATCTATCAATCAAAGTATCAATAAAAAAAATTGATCAATTAATTTCAATATAAATAAAAAACAAAATATGGATACAATCGATCGAACTCAAAGTTGTTATTACTTTGCGCAATGCGAAAATTTTGGTCTATTTTTTTCACTATACGAAAACAACTTGGACTCGTTATTTCGAAAGATTGGCAGGTCTTTTCACATACATACAGGGGAAATTTCCATGTAAAGAAACATCAACACATTACCACTACCAACACCAATTCAAACAAAACGAATCAAACCCACACACATAAGAATATTCTTTGACGAGAAAAAACAGAAACCATTCAAATTAAATAGGAAAGACATAAACACACACACATACAATGCGCAAGTTTCTAAAGCAAACAAACAAAAAAGAATTCGGTCGAAAAAAAGCCACAAAAAATCATCATTTGGTTCATCAAGTTTTTTTCTCATTCATTCATTCATCCTAAACGTTTTAATACTGAATGTTAATGTCAAAATTTTGACGAATTCTTCGAGTTTCATTCATTTATTCAATCAAGTTGATGTTATGGTTTTGATGATGATATTCAATCACATTGTCCAAAATATTCTTTCATCGGATTGCAATAATCAATTTGATCAGAAAAAAAAATCAATCGATTTTTCCAATTTTGTTTTCTACCTCAGAAAGCGACGGTGGCGGTGGCATGGACGGTGGTGATGTCATCATTGTAAATGATGAAGTATTCGATTGGGGCGTTGGCTGTTGTGGCATCATTGCGGGAAATGTTTTCGATTTATGTTCAGACATAATGATTCTGATTTGGTTGTTGTTGTTTCAGGAATATTGAAATTAGTAACTCCAGTGAAGCAATGTGATAAGCAATTCTTTTGAAATATGGGAATCAGGAATATTTTCTGAAATTTTTTTTTTATCGACAAAACAATGACGAAGCGAATGATTAGTGATTTTTTTTCAATGACTGTATTGCTTTTTCATTTCACCTACTATCTATACACAGGTGAATTTAACCAATTAATAACCACACAATGGAATAAATTGATAAATTATGAAAAAAATAGTGAAAGTCATGAAATAATAATATTGAGGACACGACTCGTATATTGAATATATCCACAGTTAGCAATGTCTCTCTCTCTCTCTCTCTCTCTCTCTCTCTTTCACTGTGTATAGTGGAATCAAGCAACTCCATCATAGTAATGATAGTGGCAAATGTTTGTATGATTTGATAGGTGTGACCACAACATTATAACCAATTTATTTGTGTCTGGCTATCTCTCTTTTTCTCTCAAATATCAGGATTGCTATTTAATATCGATTATAACTTTCATCAATAATCATAAACGGGTAATCTGAACCATTTTTACTTGAATTTTTACATTTTCCCATTTGAATGATGTAGCCAGATTCATTCAATTTTTGTTTGAATGGATATATTCATTGAAAACGAATGAATGTGAATCAAATTACCCCAGATGTTGCTTTTGCCGTTGTTGTCGATGATGATGATGATGATGATGAATATGTAGACGATGTCATTGTTTTATGTATGGATGAAGAACCGGCCATTGCCTGATGTAATGTTGATAATGAATCTTTACGATTTTTTGTTCTTGGCTGATCAAATGGCCACGTTGATTCTTGTTGTTTAAGTACTTGATGCATGGTCAATAATCACGACAAACAAACAAACAAACAACAGAAAAAACCAAGAATTTAGATTGAATTTTCAAATAAGAAGAAAAAAAGGGTAGAAAACAAAATTTATTCTTTAAACATTTCAACAAATTCATTAAAAGACTTTTTTCTATGAATGATGTTATTATACAAACAAAAATTGAGAATGCAACTACAGACCAAGTAATGATCGATTTAAGAAAGAAACGGGTTAGAAACATGCAAAGAATTTTGAAAAAAAAATCTGTGATAACCAGTGTAGATAGATTTCATTTCATCAAAAAATATTACATTTTCATACATTAATGTAAATGTGTCACCGTTGTTTATGCTGCTACAAAAAAAAACATTCAAAACAACTATCAGTATATCGTGTGAAAAACTAAAATCTTGCCACAAATTCTTTTTAGAGAATAAAAGAAAAGAGTCAATTTTCTTTGCCTTTACTTTGAACAAAGTCGTAGTTTTATCGGATGAATAATGATAAATGGTAATAAGAAACACAAACACACACACAGAAGTTCTCAAAACTTTTAGTGGAAAAAATTAAATTTTTTAAGTGATGAAAAAAAAGATTCAACACCATAAACAACGACGCTTTGGAATCTGGATTAATTCGCAACCACAAAATTATTTTTCAACAAAAGATGATGTGTACGTGTTTTTCTTGGTTAACGAATGGTTTTTTTCGACTAGAATGCTAGGGTGTTATTCTGACATTGTGTGACAACCAAATCAAAAGAAAAACTACTTCCATGTCGGGGTTGTTTTTTTTTGATTCAGGGTTTCAGGTTGGATTTCTTGTTGATCACCACATACACACACACACACACACACACAAATACAATATCATAGTGGTGGGCTATATTTATATCGTTGAGAATTTCTTGTCGAAAAAAAAAATTACTTTACTGTAAGAATAATAAGAATTTACAGAATATAATTCTAAACGAAAGCTATGACTGATTATTATTATTATTATTATATGATGATGTTCGACTGACAGAATTATATATTTTGATTATGAAAATAAAAAAAAATTTACTCAATTCATATTCTCGATACAAATGAACAACATACAAGACTGCCATCAATTTTTTTTCCACCCAAAAAAAAATTCCTCATTTTTCTTCATTTCATAATCAATGATGATGTGAAAATATTTCTGACATAGTTGATGATTTTTTTTTCTTTCGCTCTTTTGTAACAAAAACCAGAAGTTTTCTAAAGTTTATTCTATTTTGAAAGAAAATGTTGACAATCATCTCAATCACGAACAGACAGGCAAAGTACTCAGCAGTTATCATCAAACATGATCGGTATTCACTCGATTAATATATCTTTTCACATACCAGTATGCAGTGAACAACAAAAATTTTTTTTTTTGGAAAAAACCTGAATTAAAATTTTCTTTGTTCCATGATTCAATTTGTCAATTCAACAAAAAAAAACCCTGCGGTTTTCTTTATCCTAATATCCGGTTTCATATTGCATTTATTCGAAAGAGAAATTTATCGAATAAAAAACAAATATGTGTTGCCTACTGCCGTATGTTGTACTAGTTCAATTGTGTTAACTTATACGATAAGTGTAACTGTAAAAACTGTTTTATTATTATTATTAGTTAGTTAGTAAGAAATTCTGAAAAAAATCCGGATAAACACGCACTCTATTATTGTTAGAATAAGTGTAACACTGTGAAAGAATATTCTCGCTTTCAATACAGTTATGGGAAATGAGAAAATTTTGCCTGCTGCCAAATATGAACACAACATAAGATCATCAGCCAGCCAACCAGCCAAAGAGACAATGTTTGGTTTGTATCATTATCATCGAATACTGTACATTATATACAGGATTCTTCATCATCATTTTTTATCATCGGAAAAAAATCAACTAAAGTAAAGAAAGAACATAAGAAAGTAGGAGTGGCAAATAAATAAAATTTAAAAATTTAACTACAAATGGTAGCAGTAGTAGTAGTAGTGATGGTGGTAGTATGATTTTAATAAATTCTTATTCTGTTTGTTTGTTTGGTTTTTTTTTGGTTCGATGGAAAATGTTCAATTTTATCCAGAAGGAGATTATTGACGTCAACATTATAATCGTCATCATCATCGCCATCGACAACATTTTCATTTTGAAAAAAATATCAACAATATGCAGCCAGGCAAAGTTGATAATTTATTAGGATTCGAATAGATGACAATAGGAAAACAAACTGGAAAATTTCGAAAGCAAAACAGACTTGATTGAAGAGAAAAAAGGGTTATCTTGGCTGGTTTTTTCAAGACACAAAAAACAAGCAGAAATTTGTTATAATTTCGTCATAATCTCAACCAAACAGACAAAATGACATTGTTTCTTTTACTTTTTTCGAAAAAAAAATTCTCCGTAAAACAATAAAATGTCTAAAAGTCTGTGTAGCACACATATATCTTATGAAGTAATGATCATGATCATCATCACCAATAATGATAAAAAAGACAAAGCCAACAATCCAAAAATGCATGAATCAAGAATTTTTTCCGCTATTAATAGATTACAATGAGAAGAAAAGAAAAAATCATTGAAATGGACGACATAACTCGTAATTCGTTTGTTCGACACATTTTTTTTTGAATTTCATCTGAGAAAATCAAAGAGTTCTGTATCTGTGTTGAGGAAGTGAAAATGATTTCGAGACTCGTAAACAACAAACAACGAAAGAGACAGACAACCAATCTTGATCGTATTATTTTTATTCGCTCATCAAACATAAGACATTGACTCGGCAAATCCTGCAGCAAATAAGCAAATAATCAAAGAATCTGGAAATGCGTAATTTCACAGACAATAACCAGGAAATAATAATAATAATTTAAATGTTTAATGTTCTAATGTTTTTTTTCAATTCGAATCATTTTTGAGAATTAAAACTACAACACAACATACCTTAGTATATTCAAATTCAAATTCTTCACCGTCGTCGGCCATTTTGTCTGTACGTGAGGTTGAATCGATGATTAAATCAATAAAGATGCAAATGTTTTGTTTAAGATGCTCGTATTTCGGAACGGATTCGGAATGAAATGTAAGAGAGAGGATTATACGATTAATAGAATGATTATCAACAGGTTATTAAAAAATTATAAATCTTTTATTTTGATGAAAAATGATGAACCACGATGCAAACAATTTTAAATCATCAAAAACTTGAATATTTTTAATCTCACCACAGAAAAAAAATCAAATGAAGATTAGATTTAATTTGTGGAACACAAACACAGACACAGATAGAATTGTTGCGATTCAATAATAATAAAAATCATTAAGAATTGAATAATTTCAAAAGACGGCATGCAAAATTCTTTTATTTTTCTTTTTCAACACTGTATTGTATTGTAGTAGTGGCTTCAAAATTACGATTGATGATGGAATAATCATAAACGAACACGATGTAAAGATCTAAGGAGACAATATTATGATCATCTTCTACGTTGTATCGTATGCTAATGGTTGTTGTTTATCGTTCAGATTTGCACCAGGCAATTTACAATCGTCGACAGATACCCGCTACATCACTATCATATTCACATAAAAACAAAAATCGAATCTTTCGTTGAACGTCTTCAACAACATAAAATTACATTTACACATTCGTGATGGATTTTATTTGCGTTTGTATGCAAAGAATACAGAACTACGAACATTCGGTGATTCAAGAAGTCGACTAAAAGCTATATATAACTTTTTTTTCGTTTCAATTGTGTTTGTTCGTTCGACCCGGACGAAAAACATACACATACAACGAACGCACAAAAATCAAGGATCGATTGTTGGCCAGATAATCCACACAAGACGATGATGATGATGATGAAATTGAAAAGAGTCGGGTGTAATGTTAGTCACAAAACGTAATATCAAAAGGAAACTTCATGAATGATAGATTGCCCGATGCTTCTTTTGAAAACATTGATTCATTTGAAGCCAAGTGATGGAAAAACACTGTCAGTTGTTTTGAATTTTGTCACTAAGGAATGAGTAGTTTTTGATATTGTTGGGTTGTTGTTGTTGTTGTTGTCGATTATTTTCAAGAAAAAAAATATCTCGCAAAAATAAACAAACAAGTTTATTATATTTAACAAGTTGATGAAATAACCTAACTGAAAAACAAACTTGAAAAAACAAACTCAATAGATTTATGGCATAAGAACGGAAAAACGTACCTTTCGGTTCAAGAAGTTGGTCGAATCTAATAACGATGACACGATGATCAAGATGATGATGAGAGAAAAGCTTACATAAAGAATACATACATCAACGAAGTGGTGATGTGAATTCAAAATAACCGAATATGCGCGCACTTTATACACACAAATTGATGGCGCGAATCAAAGAGTTTTTATTGTTTTTCTCATTACTTTTTTTCAAAACGAAATGGCGATGCCCTGCATACATGCGTAAATACCGAAAAAAAATCGCAAATTATCAATAGAAAAAGTGCTACTATACTGTATAATAAACGGACATTAGTGCAAGTTTGATAAATTTTAAATTTAAATTTTATTTATTGTTTCAATTAAAATTAAAAAACAGATTCGATTCATTCACTCAAAGCATCCGATTGTCTGACATCAACATCTGTTTGATCGATAACAGATCCATTGAGATCATTCCAATCAAAACTATCATTCCAGCCACTGTTTTCAATATCCTGTATATTTAGATCATTTTTATCATCAAAAATACTTGAATCAATTTTAATTGATTGTAAATTATGCCCATCTAGATTCATATCTGAATTTATGGCATGTTCGACAGCTGATGGAACGATTTTTGTTTCCAAATGATGATTGGTAAAATTCAATACGGGTGCCATATCCATAAAAAGATTATCAATTTCTTTACTATAATGTACTTGATTGAAATCGATTTCCTTTATATCGAATGTCTGAAATTTTTCCTTCAATTTTACGGTGGAATCCATTTTTTTCGATGTGGCTTTCTTATTGATTGTATTCGATGGTTGTCCATTTTCCTCCCATACTGGCCATTCATCATGATCACTTGTATATTCTGAATTGATAGCCGTAATTGATGACGGGAATTTATTCACCACAGAATCATTATTATTCTCATTCAATGATGTTGGAATTTCACCGATAGTTTCACCACCATCAGGTGAACTACGTTCAAATATAACGGAATCTAATTTTCGATCATCATCAAAAAGACTGGATGATTTTGTACTATTACATGAATTTCTTCGTTCAGAATTGTTATCTAAAAGTTTGGCCATAGAACCGTTGGCTGCAATGGGATTTTCATCGTCACTTGCAACACCTGAGGTAAAATATCTGGTTCGATTAGAACCACCAAGTACGGTGCGAACACCAAACAGATCGATCAGTGAGGCAACTGCCCGAAATGTTAATGCAACCAGTTCCTTATCCGAATCTTTGATGCCCAATAAAATCTGTGGCAAAAGAATCTTCTTCAGACATGTTTTAGATATGTATGACCCATAATGTGGAAGATATTTAAGAAGTAGCATACGTATTTTGTAATCATGTACACAATACAGTTTGATTATATGTGGTATGATGCCATCACGAAATAATCGTTCATCAATGAATGGACTCAAAGTGATCATTTCGCCATTGGTTAATGTGTATCGATTTTCTGCATTTGATAGTCTATTAACTTCTGTTGAAGTCGATTGCTGATCAATATTGTTGTTGTGATTAGAATTTTTTTGTTGATTATTGCTTGGTAACGGTATGAGAAAATAAGGCATTACATGATTATAAACTAATCGATTTGACATTATAAATCTTGAGCTAACTATCATTGTGAATATACTGACGACCAATGATTGATCGGGAAATTGGCGTAAATTCTGGACGAGAACTTGAAGAAAATCAAATTTCTCCTTATCATTATAAGTGCTAAAATTACTGAGAAATTGTCGTAGATGAACGAATGGACAATTTTTGAACAATGGATCATCAAGAATTGTCTGTACGGTTGGTCTTTCATCCGGATTGCATTGATGGAAATTATCTATTAAAGCTTTGGCCACAAAATTATGATTTGATTTATCAGTGGCGGATAATATTTCCGCTAATTTTGGTTGTACATTTGGATTGTAGAAAAGCTCCTGTATTAATAATATGAATGAATAAACATCTCTTCGATGAATATCCGCCAATGATTGAATCAATAATGGTTTGTTTCGATCACAATTCTCTGGTGGTAATATCTGAAGTGTATTATTTTGTTCATGAAAACAAATAAGATTTCGATAGAAATCTATATCATCAGAATGTATGGTACTGCACCAATAAAGTGAGCCAAGTTTCCATAATTCATTAGGATCATTCTTCGATACATAAATAGAATCGACAGATAGATTATTCACTGAAAGGTGACAAATTTGATGCAGAAATGCTAGTGCATCACCAATATTATACAAGCCACTTAATCGAGAAAATCGATGAAATTGATCCAATATCTGTCGTAGCGGTATTACTGACTCGGTTAGAATGTATTTTTTATTCTTATAAACACCGGCTTCATAAAATTTGACCAGATATGGATGGCGCACGTGTTTCCATTTCTGTAGTAGTAAAAAAAAGTAGTAAATAAATCTGATCAATTGATCAAATGATGAATACTAACCGTAAAATCATTACAAAAATCATTATTGTTAAAAATAAAGGCACTGAATGATTGATTCTCATGTTCAGCGTCGAATAATGACCATTCTGTAGTCGTAAATCGTGGCTTACATGAAACATTGCACTTTTTCAATATACTCGTTTCGTTTCCCATTCGTTCACATAAAATTATCGAATCATTTTCATCGAAACATATGACACATGAAATTTATTAGTTTGATGATTCCAATCAAAATGACACGCCAAATATCAACAAACAACAACATTGTTTTGATACTCATTACAGTGATACAACGTTAGATGGAGCTTGATATGAATTCATGAATTGAGCGTGGTTCAACAATTGATTGTAAAAAATGAATTTATCATACCAAATTGAACATTCATTTGATTGTAATCAAGGTGCTATCCGTAAAGTTGCACTAAATGGTAATCTTATTACATTGACTAATTAATATAAAATTCACTTTCAATTTACATTTTCAATAAAGTTGATGGCGAATATTGTCTCACTTGTGGAAGTGATAAAACAATAAAACTATGGAATCCGCGAAAACAATTATTGTTGAAAACCTATTCTGGTCATGGTTTCGAAGTGATGGATGTTGATTGTTCTTGTGACAGTAGTCAATTAGTGTCCGGAAGTCATGATAAAACAATCATACTATGGGATGTGACAACAGGTCAACCGATGCGTCGTTTGCGTGCACATATCGCCGTCATCAATGTTGTTCGATACAATGAAGATTCAAGCCTGTTCATTTCTGGCTCATTAGATGGAACGGTAAAGATATGGGATGGAAAAAGTAATTCACGAGAACCGATTCAGGTTCTCGATGAAGCCAAAGATAGTATATCGTATTTATCCGTGACAGATCATGAAATTGCTACGGCTTCATTAGATCACCATTTAAGACGATATGATATACGTAAAGGAATCATGGAAGCCGATAATTTACATTGTATGTTCAAATGTACAATTTCCATTTTGTTTTTTCATTAAATTTATCATCACTTTTTATTTGTTTAGCATCATTAACATATGTAAATTTTACTAACGACAGTCAATGTATGCTTGTCAGTGGTATGGGTAATCTATTGAAACTTTTGGACAAATCAAGTGGCCAAATCCTAGCATCGTAAGTAAATGACGAATACAGAATGGTAACGCGATCATCAAATTTTACCATATTTCAAATTAGTTTTGAAGGGCATGTTAATCAAAAATATCGAATCGACAATGGTTTCCTTGATAATGATTCATTAATTGTATCTGGATCGGAAGATGGAAACATTTATATTTGGTCGTTACTTGAGGTAACCGGTAATAAATTAAAAATCAATTCAGTTATTTTATTTTGAACATTCACAGGGTAAAATTGTAGCCAAATTGGCGCATTTACAAAAAGTGATACATACATTTGCCATACATCCGACCGAAATGGAATTGATTAGTGGTGCCGAAAACAAAGTCCATGTTTGGCGAATCACCAAAACAAGTTGAAGAAAAAATCATTTTCAACATTTTATTATTATTTTTCAAACAGGAATTTTTCTCAACTCAATTCGAAACCTGATCCAGAATTGATGGCATACATAAGTTTTTCTTTCATCGATTTTTTATCATGTATCTCTGGAAGCTTTAATAAATTCATACAGGTGGATGATGTGGGTAGCCGTTCAGGATCGGGACCAGCATTCTGTATGCAAAATGCTGGACATAAATCTTTGAAACCTAATAATGGTGGCCTTGAACATGATGTGACAAATTTCAAAAATTTTCGTTTATCATTTTCATCGAATTCTGTAAGAACTTCCCAGAAATTCTGTATTACCGGATGATTATAGTTGTAATTACCGGTGTACACTGTATGTGCCATAAGATCATCGAGATCAATGGGCGTCTGTGCGCCCGATATTAATATCTGTAATTCTTTCGTATCAAACATTTTGATCCAATCAAAATCGACAACATTATAGAAACCTTTTTTGAATGCTGCACAATGACCTCGTATCTGATTGAAAAATAAAATTAAAAAATATCGTGATAGGAAAAAATTTATTCGATTCTTACCTGTTTGTTTAGTTTATAATCAGCCATCAGATGAATATATTCAATTCGATTTTGATTTGTTACAGTTATGTTTGCACCATTCGGTTTTAAATCTTCAATTTTATTTGCACCAAAGTCAGATTGTACGGCCGTGAAATCTAGTCCTAAATCGGAAACATCACCACTGTAATTTTTCAATGATATCAGATTCTTATATAACACCGGATCCAATGAAGCCAAATGATTGATTTCAATGTCGGAATTGACGGTGAGAATTTTGGCCAAAAAGAATGGTGCAAAGGGCAGTTCAATAAGCATGTGTTCATAAATGGCTTTGCCCAACAAACGGCCAATGAAATAATAATGGCTATCACTGTTATCATATAAAATTTGAGCTGATGGATTTGGATAAAGGAATCCATCTTGTGTAAGTTTGAAAAGGCCTCGATTTGGATCGAATGCCGATTTCAGTGCTTCTGCTAGGAATTCACGAAAAACCCCGCCACCATCTACACCGGTCTCCTCTAATCCAAGAGCAGATACTAATTGGACTCGAATGATTTTTTTCATTGAAGGCACCAATGTTGGTGATAACTTTTCGAATGAATCTTCATACACATAATTTCGACGTATGGTCACAGTTCGTCCGTGTATGACTTCATAGAAATCAATTTCATGATTTTGTTTATCAAATATAATCAATGATTGCATTATCTTGACACGATCACAGAATGATGCGACAAATGGTAGTTCCTGTATCAACGTCACATTAATTACGTCTTTAACCGAAATCGGTGATCCATGCTGAATTATTTCATCACGATTCATGTGTTTAATTCCACGAAATTCCTGATATAAACGTCGACGTTGTTTGATAGCAATATTGAAATTTTGTGGCAAAATACTTATACAAGTTCGCTTGGAAATCCAATGATTTTCCGGACAGAATCGTTGCCTTATGTCTCGAGCATAAATATGTCGAAGTAGTCGCAATAGATTTCGTAATAATAAACTCCAACAATTGATACTGAATTCATCTTGTATAGTTTCTTCGACACCAGATCCAAACAGGTTGATCTTGTAGTTGATGATACGCCTATCTTGATAGGCTAATTCGATCAGTGAAATACCCACATCACGAAGAATCGAACACATCGAGATGATTTCGTCAAGTTTAAAAGGCAATACACTATAGTTGTACACAGAAATGGCATTATTTTCCAAACTGCCTGTATCCACATTATTTCTAAGATATTCGTTGAAAAATTCAACATCATCTAATGTTTGTAGGAAATAATTGAATAGGGCACAGAATATGGTTACATGAGGTATGAACTGTGGCCAATCGAATGATGAATTCAAAAGGCCACGCGAAAGAATATGAATATAGGTTGATGGTGTCGATTCAGCAAATGGCATGACGGTACCACTTTCGTTCAAAACAAAATTCCATAGTTTTTTGAGAAAATTTGAATTGAATGCCAACGTATGTAACATTCTAAAAAAGATGGTATGATTATGAAAAACAATATCTGAACCATTGGTATCAACTTACCTGTTGTGATGAATAGCGTTCGGATAGAAAAACAGCATAAGATGACTGATACTTGACAATGAAATCAGGGCATTCTTCATCACAGCCGTTGATGATTGTCCTTCACTATCGGCAACGGTAGTGGCCAAATGATTATCAATAAAACGGATGATTATATTACAATTTTCGGCTGTGTTTAAAAGGGAAAAAATTTGCTTCACATAAAATAAAAGCCGTTCGTCATCTGGTGTTTTGCGCCGTACAGAATCCATATAATCGGAATCTTCGTCAAAATCGTCATCATCATCGTCATTATTATCTTGGATTTCCATACTATCAGCTATTTCGTGGCGATCAAGTGATAGGCCACGTTTGTAAATGTAATTGAAACTTGGTTTCGCACGAAAATGTGCAAATAATCTATGAGAAAATAATCGAAGTATATTCAGGTAATCTTGTATCACTTGATTAGATGCGTGATTTGGTATCATTTGATGATGTAATGGTTGTATGATCAATTTGATGGCCGAATAAAATATGATTAAATATTGTTGAATGAGTATTGATTGGGAATCAAGATTAGTGAACGCTCGAATAATGTTCTCGGTGGCCAACAATGGTGGACGACTTTGACAAATTGTTTGCAATAATTCGTTCAATAACTTGAAATCATTCAAACCGGATAGAAATTGACTAAGAAAATGTTCAATCAATAGGAATTGATTCGATTCACTAAGTTGTTGCAGTGATAATAGACGCCTAAGTAGAACATCATAAACAGTTTCAAAAAAATTATCACCAATCGATTCTATGGCACGAATTTTACACAGGATACTTTGAATATTTTTCATATAATCATTTCGAACTAGATAATCCCAGATTTGATCCATTAACGTTTGGCTCAACTTGTTTTCATTAAGATAGCATTGAAAAGTGTTTAAAATTAATTTAAATTCTTCAAGGTTACTTGGAAAATGGTCCAATAGATGAGCCAATGTGGATGAATTGTATGCGAAAACATATTTTAGCCAATGTAATCCATGTTGTCGAGATAATATCATCGTTTGATTGTTGATCAATAGTTTATTGATAAAAAGCTAAAATGAAAACAAAATAATGAATAAACATAACCGATAAATGTTACAGTGAACTAACCAATCTTTCTTTATCGATAGGATATGAATGAAATCTAACAAATCGTATGGCAAGATAATGTAGATCATCATATAACCGAAATGGTTGTTTGTTAATATCGCCATTATTATTGTTATTATAAATAAAAATTTCGTCGCCCAGTTGTGATCGTTTCGAATCAAAATCAGCTCGTAAGGATTCATACTTCAAAAATTATGATTACAAAAAAAATAAACATTCGAAAAACATGAATCCATCAATTAACATACCCAATTCTTGCAGGTCAAATATTTCCTTATCTGTGATTGTAGTTTGATCGCAATCTGAGTATGTTTACGAAATTCTTCTCTTTGTTTACGTTCTTGAGCAGCCTGTTGAATGAGCTGTTCACGTTTCAGCTATATTTGATGATGATTCGATTAATCCAAGTTATGATCAATAAAATCTACTCACATTACGATTGACGCCACCTAAACTTTGTTTAGGTTTCTGACGAAAATCACCATTGAAACACGAATTTGACATGGTAGTCGAATGACTAACTTGAATTTCTTTTTATTAAATCAAAACAAACAAGAATTACAACAACAATAATATGGAAAAAACAAACACAGAACTTTGATCAAATCGGCCAATGATTTGAAAGAGAAACATGCATCGTCATGAACAAACAACAACAACATCGAAAAAATATTCTTTTAATCAATTCATTGCTCGTAGTGACATCTGGTGAAATTTTATTCATTTTTAATTGAATCTTTATATGTACATTGTTAATTTGTTGTTCAATCCGAATCACGATTTGAATCATGATCCATGGATGATGATTTTTGGTGTCTATCATGATCCCAATGCTTAATCGATGTTGATGATACGGCCTTTTCATCACGCAATGATTTGACCAACAGGCCATGTTCTTTCATTAAACTAAGATAATATCGTTCAAGAGTATTGGCCATTTTAAAATATTCCGTATCTTCGCTGTTGAACGTACGACAATTGAAGAATACACGTTTAACATCGCAGTGAAATAGATGAACATTAACATAATAATGTCGTTTAAGGCGTTGAGACATTGTGGTCAAGTCCATTGGATATCGTATGACGTCATAATAATTGGGTGCTTCGATTTCATCAACTGGCCCAACAAATGGCCATGAAGCATCGTGTGATTTAAGTTTCCCTAATATAGATTTGAATGTTTGGTAGAGGTCTTTCGAATGATCAATGAAATCAACATCGTTTGTATCGAATTTAATATTTGTTCGATTTTTACGTTGTATAAAACTTAATGGTACGATACGATGATCGGCAGTGAATTTGTATGAAAAAGTTTTCGATTGGTTTGTCTTTTGTTTCATTTCGACCATTTTCTGTACAATTATTCGTTGCATCTGTAACACTTGGCCAAGACCATTATATGATAATCGAGGATCTAGACGACATTCCATCAATGTAGCACCATCATATTCTTTGATGAACCCTTGATAACGTTCTTTTGGTAGCGTTACATATTTGCTGAAACCTAATTTCTTGAAATATCCGATAGCATATGAGTCAGCGTATGTAAGAAAGTAAAAAATTCCTTGTGATAGATGATAATCTTTAAGATGATTCATCATTCTCGTACCATAACCTTTCACTTGTTCATCAGAACTGACGGCACAGAAAACAATTTCGGAAAAGCCTTGCGTTATGAATGGACGAAAATTGATACCACCTATAGCTCGATAACCGTTTTTAATCAATGCCAATGTCAGATGGCGAGGATCAAATACCAATCGGGTAATGTAATCTTTGCCCATTCGTGGTAATTGATAGGAGAAAACATTCTGTATGCATATGAGCCATTGTTTATAGCGTTCATCCCATTTTTTCATAAATTGATTGTTAATCAAAACAAATTGAACAGTTCCACCACTGGTTGAATCTAAACCGAATAATGAATCATGTTGAGGCGTGTGGCCAATCAAAAACGATAGCATATCGGTCAACATGTTTGTATTGACATTCGTTACGAACGACGTGTACAACAGTCGATGAAATTCCATATTTGGCCTCAAGCTTTCCAACCCATTACCGATCGATTCTATTCGTTGTGATCGGCGAAATTTTCCGACCGATTCTGTAATAATTTGATTGAAAATTCCACATACATTGCGATATAATTCACTTTTAGGTCGTACATTTTGTAGATATTTGATTAATAATGGTCGCTTCACTTCGGATAATAAATGATCGTTGATAACCAGACGATAAGATTGATCTTCAGGATCACCAACGGGAAAAAAATACTCAACACGTTGCAAAAGTTTCAAACGGTATGGATCAAAATGTTTGGTCGTGAAAATGGCGATAACAATCTCATCATCATTCAATTTGATTAGGAAACGTTCGATCCATTCTTTTGGAAAAGTATTCGGTGTAAGAATTATTCGTTCTTGTTGTCTACAATATGGCTGCTCATTGATTCGATTATGAACAAAACAATAAAGGAATTTATCTTTATCACAGAAATTACAACTAGGCATGACTAATTCGGCACCACTATGATTGAATTCATTACCATCATCGTCCGCATCCGCTTCATCACCTTCGGATTCATCATTTTCACAGGATGAATCAATAGTGCTAGCATCCAATAATGCATGGCTGCAAGACCAGAAATTATCACAAAACGGTTTGAATCGAAGTAAACGTTCATAAAACCGATAAAATCGTTGTAGCAGAGATTTCATCAAAGAGTCACCACTACTGTTAGTTTTTTCACAATGAGCATTAATTAATTGATCTTGAATATTCACCAACAGGACATCGATGGGTGTTAGATTCGTTCTGAATATATCAGACCAGAATGGTTTGTCTTGATCAAGAAATTCACATTCAATACGTTCGAAAAAATCCTGTACAGAATAATTGTCAGTTTCCAGTGGTTTGAAATCTGGTTTCAAATAGCGAATCAATGAATGTAGAAAATCAAAACCGAATGTATCGCAAGCTAAATACAATGGAAAACTTTAAAAAATTCGTTTAGAATCGAATACAGTGAATGTGATCTACATTTACCATCGAGTGTATCGAGGAACGACACAAGCGGCAAACCAATGGGAATACTGTAGACTATATGAGGATTGATCTTTAGCCTGGGATCGATTGAATGATCGGCTCTCTGGTGGAATCAAACGGATCCGATTCAAATAGTAAACGAATCTTCGTGCCATGTGCAATACGAATTTGACATCATCCACATCCGTATCGAGTTTGTTCAACAGGTATATGAGGTAACTACTTAATGCCTGACGAATAGAGGGTTTTCGGACGAATAGATTTTTGTTGAAAATATGGATATTTTCTAGGATTTCGAGCAATGTATTTGATGAGATCACAGTTTCGGAAAAAAGGCTTAGAGTGATGGCATAATTAAGTTTTTCCATACCGGCCAACAGTATTACTCGTCCTATTCGGCCAATATTTTGGCCAAATTTTTCGTAGATAAAAGCAAGAATTTCATAATCAATAAGCGCGTTCATCATTGCATCGATTTCTTCAGATCGTCGTAAATCTAGCCGTCGTAAACCAATTTCACATTTTTCCCGCGAAATAATAGGTGATTTAGTGCCCGAAATAACAAGCTCGTCATAGGTTTTCGAAAATAAATAAATGTAAAATGGTTCCCAATTTTTTTTCTCTTCAGAAATTCGTTTCTGTACCGATGGAGAAAATGATATGGTTGAATTTTGATTGATCATTGATGGTAACATAAATGGCGCTATTTCATTCTGATCAGGTGTCTTGCGTAGATTATATGAAACAAAATCCGTAATTTTTTCCAATTTTTTATTACGATCCCAATCATTTAGTATAGCCAACCGTTTACGATTCAAATATTCGATGGCTGCATCATCCCAAAAATTTGAAATACCGCCAAAATCTTGATGGATGTTCTCAAACAAAACACCAACGGTGGGCGGAAGTTGCGCAGGATTATAACGATTTGACATTTTATCAATCAAAGTAGCTATCATACAACTCGAGGCTAATCATCATTGAATCTGATAGGAGATGATCAGACAAGAAATCATAAATAAATCAAAACAAAAACAATTGAAATCTGAAACTAAAAAAACTCTAAAATCCAATTGAAAAGTGAGCAGATCACATGTTTTACGAAAATCGGATCATCGATGGCGACATCTGGAGGAAAAATTGTGCTTTAAATTCATTGAAATTAAATATTTGCTAAGCCTCTACACATCCAAAATTCGTGACCAGTTTTCATTCATTCATTGAATCCATTAATACACCACAGGTGTATTCTTAGATGAACAGGTTGTTAATACCATCATCAGCTTCAATGTGAGTGGCCATTTTGATGGATAAATTGTTTGACAGTATGTTGTGATACAAGAAATTTTATTCATAAAACGATGCCAAATCAAAAAATGCCCATTATCGGAATCATAATCACAGGTTCGTTTCAATCGAATTCATATCAAAACGGTATTTATTTACAACTTTTGTATTCCTGAACAACAGTGATATTGGTTCCAGCTATAAGTTTTGCTCAATATGGTTATGAACGTTGTATTGTTCCGACCACATTACGTGGTGAATGGTTTTCACGTGAAGATGGCCAAAACGTGGTGACAAGAATTTCCGAAAATGAATTCTCTGATCGTGGCTTCTGTATGGAAATGGTTGCTCATAGCTATGATAATTTTACTTTTCTGCTCAAAAAAGCCGATTGTCTTTCATGTGTTCGAATTCTGATACGAACATTGAATGTTATGGAAAAAATTGAAAGTTGGTCGTTTGAACAATTTTGTTTTGAAAATTTTATAATCAATTTTTCAATTTGTTTTTATAGCAAATTGTTTGCAAAATAATCCAAACGTAATGCCAAACTATGATTCAATGTGCAAGAATTCGTTGGATAATAATCAAGAAATGATAACCATGTTCTGTATGTTTGATCAAAATGATTGGTAAAAGTTTTCATTTTTTTTTTCGTAGCAACAAATCCTTCGGGAAAAAATTGCCGTTCAAGTTTAGAAGGTGTATGGAATTTCGCCTATCAGAATCGATTCAAATTCACCGGTGAATGTATTCATGAAGAGGCAAACATTACTGCATGCCAAAAACCGGGTACACAATTTTTCAATCTAAATCAACAATTTATCATGAATTATCGAAAATGTGTAAACATGCGAGAAACTGAAGATGCTGAGGTTCAATATAAATGTCTGGGTGATTGGTATGTGGGCAAAAATCATTTTTTTGCCGTTGTTAATTCACGTGAATCTCGAATGGAAGAAAAATATCGATGTTTCGTAAGTGACATTTGCTTGTATAAAAATTTTCATTTAATCACTATATTTGTAACCAAATAGCTATCTAATCGAGATGATGATCAATTTCTATCGGTATCGATTACAGCCGAATGTAATACGTTAAAATCACCACAAGAAGGACCCGAACGTTTACGTTTATTTCCTGTACGAGCGGAATTAGTACAGGCTAAATGTACATTACCACAAAATTTTAGCGGCATTTGGGTTAATACCGCCAATTTTGATGCCGAAGTTACCATCAATTCGACAACAATGGTTGAAAAATGGCGTCCAGATACGGGCCGTATTAAGCAGGAAATATTTATTTGCCAAGAACAACGGGGTTCACGTTTTGTAATGGCAAGATTAGGCGTTAATGGATGTCAAAAAGATTATGTCTGTTTTGAGTTTCTTCCTCGTCACCACAATGTAATACGATATCGTAAAGGTCAGGCAATGATTATGGATCGATTTTCAACCGTTTGTGCTTGGACAATGTTCAATTCAGAAGAACAATGGAAATATGACATATTGATTGCCAAGAATCCTGTTTCAATTGAATGTCCTATAGCGGGAAAATTCCGCTTTAAACAAACGGGTGATATTCTTTTCGAAACTCGTATTCGGGGTGGTGTCACTCAATTTCCTCGGCCAAACGTTTACTGTAAAGCAAATATTTCGGATTTTTCCGTTTGTGATAGTGATCAGAAGATTCTCAAAATAGATGCCGATTATTGTTTATCGGTAGATCAATTCGGATTACCGGTCGACATTTATAGTCAACCAGATTATCAGATGCAATGTATCGCTTATTGGAAGGAGAATCTTAAATCCTATCTGATTACATATGATAGTTTGGATGCATATAGCCGTTATCGTTGTTGGGTATATCAACGAGCCGATTTAAATGTCATTCTGATGTCAATGTCTGTGGGCGCATTCTGTCATATTCGCCAAGACGTACGAAGTGGACATGCAGTGGAAGGTGCACAAGTTGCTTTGGAAATGACTGAATATGAACGTGAACGTAAGTGAATTAATGGCTAACTTATTAAACGATTCAGTCACAAATAATCATTTTATTTCATTCATTCATATAGACGATGATTGTCCATTGTATTTCGATGATGGTTCGAATCCATATAAAAGTGCACAAGATCATGTAACCATTTTACGACCAATGGCAACAAATTCAATTCGTTCATTCCTTAATCATCATCATCATCATCATATTTGGTTGCAAACATTTTTATTTATCTCATCATTTCTTATATAATAATTGATTCAATCTGTAAGTTATGAATTACATCATATAAATCATCTGAAATAATAACAAACAAATTATTTGAAAAAAAAAAAATAAATCTAAACAATCATGAATTACACACACACACACAATCACTTAGATATGTTTGATGACAAATTTGAGAGAGAGAGAATTATTTAAATTTCACGAAATAAAATAAAACAAACATCAATAACAATGGCAATGTTATATAGGTGAATATTTATATCAGACAAAAACACAAACAATGAATAAAATATGCGTGTGTGTGTGTGTGTGTGTCTCGTTACCTATTGATGGATAATAGTTGAATATTGCTTCATAATATGGTGTGACTAGTATTAAATAGTTCAAATTATCAATTATCAATTACCACGTGGAGGAATTGTTGGTGGTGGTGGCCGTCGTGATGGAATTGGAGGTGCGATCGGTGCCGGTATCGATGGTGGTGGTGGTGGTGGCGGATTCGTTGATGGAGGTGGACAAATCGGTGCAGGTATATTAGGCATAGCCGTTTCGTTATAATTTAAGCCATAATCATTATCATCATCGTTTTCGACATCATTTTCATCGTAATCATTGTGATTTACATTATTTTGTATTAATGATGAAAGCGGTGGTGGTGGTGGAACCACTGGAGGTGGTCGTGAAAGAGGTTGTTGTAGTTGACTAACAATAGAAGCGGATGAAGCTCTTTGGACCGATGGAGGTTTTTCATTTGTGGACTTATGATCATTGTTGCATGTTGTTAAGATATCATCAATACTTTGTTTGTCTTTGTTCGAAGATTTCTTTGGTGGAGGTGGTGCTGGCCGTACTGGTGCCAATTTCTTTTCCTCTTTTCCTTCCAGACTTGATTGTTTTGGTGGTGGTGGACGTAATGGGTGTGAATGATAATTTGTCGTTGAAGTATTGATGATCGGCTCAATAATTGGTTCAACATCGGGACTATCTGGACTAATTACTTTTGGTACATCATAATCATACATTTCATCAATGTCACATTTGACACTATTTTCCGTTAATGGTATGGTATTACAGACACCATAATTGATTTGTTCTTCGGTCAATTCAATCCAATTCGGTGTTTTATATGATGCCTGAAATTTCCTGTCCAAAACATTGAATGTTCCCATCTGTACTAATTGCATAGCTTTGCCACCATCTTTAAATGTGACTCGCATATGATCATCACCGAATCCAGCCAATATAATCGGCCCGATTTGTTCATTGATTTTTTTCACCAATTCTTCAATGTACATTGTTTCAAATGATTTCGATGGATCTGTTACATCGATTTCTTTGATGATGACAGTAGCATCTGTAGGACCTGTTTTGGCAATTACATCACAGAATACATCAGATAATCTAGTTGGGTCAACATGCAAAATTTCGATTTTATATTCTCCAATCACTGGACGATGATCAGATGTTTTCAATTCAGCACGGCCATAGAAAACAATCTCTCCATAATCAAGTTTATTGGCTTCTTTTTCATCTAATCGTGTCGGTTGTAATTTTCTGAATAAAACACGATCAGTCCATGCAGGAATTCGTGATTTTTCACTAGTATCATAATCATCGCTGTTCACGTCGTATTTATAGGTTGGCGCAAAATTAATCCGACCTTCAAGATAATTACGAAACACATTGCCATCTTTTTGCTGACAGGTTAATTGATCTTTTTCCAACAAAAGATCCCATTTCTGTTCCATGATCATTTGTTTGCAGTCATCAATTGGCATATCGATACGATAGTTGAAATCACCACACCAGAAAATAAAATCATGTGAATAAAGATTTTTTCCAATTGAATTGAACATTTTTCTTGATATTTCTTTGAAATCAGAATTCCGTTCATTCACTTGACTTTGGCCAGCAGCAAAATGTGAACATATGAAACATAAACTTGAGTTGTAAAGACGAAGACGAATGCCAACACCACCTTTGTTACCGGCAGCACCACCGAGACCCGTTTTTACCGAATCGGTCGATACATCATGTATAAATCTGGCATATTTAGGTTTAACAAATAAAAACAGACAAACGCCCACCAACTGGACACAGGTAACCAAGACGTATGTTTCATTACGAGATAAAGTTTTTTCCAATTCAGTTAGCCATTCTTTTTGATTGGTTGTGCTTGTTGCAACAATGTTTTGTGCACTAAGATCGACAATCTCTTCAAAACCAATGGCAAATAAATCGGGTGAATCAATTTTCAATGAACTCAACGAATCATCTAATGACAAGTCCAGTATGTTCACTTGATTTACTCGTTGACTTTTTCGATTATAATCAAGAAGCCAATCAGAAAGTGGGTCACTTTTCTTATAGATGATACTGTTGAAATGTTTTCCACCATTAACATTCCATGTGCCAACAGCCACGCGAATTTCTGATACAGTTGTAAATTCGAAATGTCGATCACATATAGACATTAATATTCTCGAAGGCAAATGAAGATAATGATTGGGCAACAGAGATCGAAATTTTTCCATAAAATCCGCACTGGATGATTTACCCGTCAATAGCATATCGAATGCTTCCTGTTTACTTGTGTCCAACAGATTGTTCTGAATGGTACGAGCAACGGATAGAGTTCCATCGCGAATTTTTGATTTTCCCTCCAAAGCACCGGTACCAGCATAGATACGACTAATTTGATCACCGTTCGCTTGCCACATATTTTTATATACTTCAAAAAATCGGCTTACGATCGTTGATTTTTCATCCAACTGTAATACTTTGAGCTGTTGTTTTAGCATCTAATCACCAGAAATCATGGTTAGCGAAATGAATGACATGACACAATAAAAAAAAAATTACCTCAAGACCAAGAAACGTTTGAACGCGATTCGTACGATCCAGACAATCAATACAATTGATACGAAACGTACCAGATTGATACATTTTTTCTCCATCACTACCAAGCGAATAATAGAATCCAAATTCATCGAAATATTTTTTAATACGATCTTTAAGCATTAAAACCAGATTTTCTTCGCGACCACGAGAACAATAATGATGATAATCGAAAGCGATATATGGTATATCATCACGAAAACGTGATGATTTATGATGAGCCTTGTACATTGATCCTATTGTGAATTCGCCTTCTTTGTTGCCGACCAGATTGATGATAACCTGTTTCCCATACAGATATTGTACCATAGCCAAATGACGTTCAAATGCTGGATGTGAGATTTCATTCCCACGCGATACACGTAATTTATGTGTTCCAACTTGTACGCCCGTCTGTTCCCAAAACAATGGAATCGAACCACGAACAAGTAGATAAGATGCAACATGATTATTGTCAAGAAAAATCACTTGTTCAGTTTCGACAAAATTGGCAACATGACCATAATCGTTAGTTCCGCGTACATTAAATCTTGTACCTGCACGTTCACAGCTTAATCGTGATATAAGACAAGCTTTGGCTTGTTGATGTCCAACATATACAGTGTTGATACCAACACTACCACACATAGCTTTCAATAGCCATTTATCCGTATTCACATTGAATGATTTCAAATATGGATAAAACATTCGATTCCAGAAAAATCGATTATCCGTTTCATTCATCCGTTCAGAACGTTGACAACAAATGGTCAAATCGAATTTGTTCGATAATTTTTGTTGTTGTTGATTAGGTGATGACCATGAAAAATAGAATGTTTGTGCATTTAGAATCTTACGTATGTCTTGAATTCGATCTAAATCGGCTTGTTGAGCATGTAATGGAATGAATGTTGTTTCAGTAATGCAAAATATTTCGGCATTTTGAATTTTTCCAATAGAAACACAACTTGACACACAGACTAAATAGAGATAATTTTGATCACCAACACTTAGGTTAAGTACACCAAGACAACCATAAACATCGACCAGAATATGATACAATGGTTTTACGGCCTCATTTTCATGGGCAGCTGTTTATCAAAAAAAAAAAAAAAAAAAATTTCAATAAAATGTTTATTCAATTACAAACCACAATAATTTACCAAGAATACCGATGGCACCGGATTCAAACAGTAACGTTTCTGAACGATCATTTTTATTCTCCAAAAGTACGGAATAAACATTATTCTTATCGGTCTTGTGATAGATACGGAAAAGTTTACCAAGAACCATCCTAATTCACCGTTCTAATACTCAAAAATACAGCATCAACAATGTCGATCCCATCCAAAATTTTGTTCAATTTATCTGGTTTTAGGATTCTATTCAAAAATGAAAAATAGATAAATGAAAACATGAAAAATTCAACGAGTATCTCTATGAATTTGTTTGTTTATGGATGGTGATTTCATTTGTCCAGGGTATCCTCTACAACTATCACTCTACATGTCTATGTATCTAGTTCCTGGATCATGCGCCAACATTTATTTTGATGCGATTCACAACCAAATTATTGAACATGCATGAATAATTATCATGGGTTAAATTTGATTTATATGATTATATCAAAAGACTAGGAAGAGTTTTTGATGAAAAACTCCCATCCAGAAATTTAGAAAAAAAATAAACCAAACAAAACATGAAAAATTTTGTTTTTCTCACCAACTAAATCATTGATTAGGAACGGAATTAATGAAATACATACTTTCAAGTGGATTTTATTTATGTTCCAGAAACAATATGATGACTTGACGAAAGATGTTTTCAATTCAAATCAATGGATCCAATATGAATAGCTCACAGGCAAATATATATGATGATGGCAATAATAAACTGTTTTGAGATTATCTTTAATTCATTTGATGAAAGACATGTTTTCTAATGCCATATAACACCGATCTCGTTTAATTCAATTTGATGGTGATTTTCTCCTTGGCAATAAATACGTTGGTTGATTACAGCATATAAAATTTAAACAAACACAAACAATCCACTCATATCGACCAAGAAAGCGATCGAGTTCAATCGATAGAGGGCATTATCAGTATATATTCATGTTGGATCTGGATGCTGGCCAGCTGATGGATCCTTGATCATCAAATATTTTTTAATGTTAACTAAATGTGTTTTCTGTTTGTTAATCATTCAATTAATCATCAATGATAATGTCGGACGATTTCGATATAAGACGTTTTGAAATTATACCACTATTGGACGATATCAAGATCAACGAAAAAGTTTCCATACAGGTTAGTTGATGACAGAGAAACGCCGCCGGTCTTTTTTTTCCGTTGTTGTTGAGACATTTAATTTTCTATAAAAATTTAATTTTTCCCAAACAAATCTGATAGATCACATGTATTGAAGTTGACAATCATGATGTATATCTTGGCACAATCGATTCATTTATTCTGTTTTATCCGAAACTACTTTCATTGAAAACCTGTCCAACATTATTAACGGCAAATCCATTGTATAAATATTTAGGTTTGAAAAAATCCATTTCCAAATTGAAAGTACTGGCCGTATTGAATCGTCTTCTATGTCACTGTGATAATACGTTAATCATGAGCAATTTGGAAAATCTTGAAATGATTTCAAATTTTCGAATACGCAATGTTTTCGCATATTGTTTGAATGAAAATCCTATTACCATGGATCCATTTCAGGTAGAAATCTGTATGGCCAAACGTAAATCATTCACCATTGGATTACTTCATTCAGATAAAATGAACATTATGAAAGAGATAAATGTTTCTGAACAACCATTATTGATGGCCATGGATGGCCATTTTATCTGCATGGCATCGGCTAGCAATTATTTTATGATCAATTGGGAGACCGGATCTTCACAACTGTTATGCAGTAATCCTGGTGAAACATATGTAATGCCTATTTGTAAATACATTTCTCGCAATGAATTCCTAATCGATGGACCATCACATCTAGGTGTTTTCATTAAAACTTCAGGAATTTCCGAACGTCCACCGATCAACTGGGGACCAAATGTTTCTCAGATTGCGTATTCGTATCCATATATTCTATGTTTGAAATCAAATTCAATTTCGATAATCAGTGTGATTGATCAAAAAGTTAAGGATGAATTTCTTTTTGAAAATGGTGTACATATTGATAATTTTGATGGCAAAATTGTTGTCGCTACCAAAGAACGTCTATTTTCACTGTATCGTATTTCCTGGCAAGAACAATTTAATTCATTACTATTGAATGAAAAATCACAGGAAGCTGTAGATCTATTTCATAATCTATATGAAACAGGTATGATGACCGATCAGGAATTTCAACAATGTGAATCGATAAAATTTCGTGCAGGACTTATTGAATTGAAGAAACAAAATTTCGATCTAGCCAAACGATTTCTATTCGAATGTCATTGTGAAGTGGAACGAATTTTCAAATTGAATCAAAATTTAATGGAAAAATTGAAAATAATTGCAACACCCGAAGATGATAATGTGCAATTGTTGATGGATAAAATCATACATGAACTAGACACGAGTATTATCAATAGGTTTCTTTTGGATTACATGAACGATTTGATTTCCAGCACCGATTATATTGATCAAGTGAATTTCAAGCTAGTCAAAACGGCTCAATTGTTTTTGTATTTCGAAGACATTGAATGCTATTCAAATTCAATCAAAAAATTCTTTGATAGCCAAAACGATTATTATTACGAATTAATTGAAAAATATCTAAACGATAAACATTACCATTATCATATGGCATTGTATTATGCATCAAGAGGTCAGATGGAAAAATCCATAGAATTATTGAAAAAATTGGAAAAGAAATCCATTCAAGATGACCATTATCCTGGCCTTTGTGAATTGATTCGTTTGTTAACCGAATGTGGTAATGCACAATTAATAATGAATAATGTGGAATTTATTCTAGAACAAGATCAACATCAAGGAGCACAGATTTTAATAGCCAATACTTTGGTGGAAAATGATAAATTTCCTGTGCTTAATCCTGAATTTGTTGTTCGAATTCTTCATCAACATCGACAGGCTTTAATCATTTATCTAGAACATTTGATTGATCAAATGCAATTGACCAATGTACAAGTTCATACTACATTAATTATAATCTACATTGAAATTCTATCACTGCAACAAGAGAATGAGGAACAACAATCTAGATTATTTGAAGAAACGAGAGAAAAATTGCGACAACTACTAATGAAATCTGATTATTATGATCAGAAGATTGTGTTGAAAAATTTAATCGCAAACAATTTAGACTACGAAATGGCAACATTATATGGAAAAATGGGTGAACATCGTAAAGCATTCGAAATCTATCTGAATGATCATCATCTTGATTATAATCAGGCTTTTAAACATTGTGTTTATTATGGTCGTCGACGACAACAACCAACATCATCGTTATCACCTGAAGATGATCGATCTCAAATCTATCAGCAATTATTATCGATCTATTTGGATTTATATCGAAAGTAAGTACGACTGTACCTTTTGTTCTTTTGTGTGATTGATTGGAAATTTAATTGATTTTTGTATTTCATTTTTGATTGCCAAACTTGATTATTGTCTTTACCTTCAACATATTGATAAGCAATATTTTTTTTTGTCATTGAAATTCAACAACTATTAGCTCACAGATGATTAGGCTTTGATTTTTCGTTTTGTTTTTAATTTTCGTGCCAGCCAATTAATTTATCGAATCAGAAGGAAAAAATGTTTTTTGATTTGTTGACTTTTTTTCTGATTAAATTTCATGAAATTCAATTTAATTATTGTTGATTTTTCTACACAATGCAATAGGAATGGTCCGGAAGTGATGAAACCATTGTCTGAATATCTTAACCATTCAGAATGTAGATTCGATTTGATCAAAACCTTGACCGTATTGCCAGAAGATTGGCCAATCAAATTAATACATAGGCATCTATCCAATCATTTGAATCGTTTATTCAATTCAAAATTTCAATCATCATTTGGACATGTTTTGGCACTTTCAATGGCCGAACGTCAGCGTCAAACAAAACAACGATTAATTAATCAGTCGATCCGGATTGATCGTAACAGGTTTGTCCTACTTAATATTACATTGCTTAGATACTTACTTCATCATTATTTTCCTTTTCTCTGATAATCCGATCAACTTTTACATTGCAATTTCCGTTTCATTTTAAATCGTGTTCAACATATTTTTATTAACTTTTTTTTTTTCTTTTTTATTTTCTCATCATCATCATCATCATCATAAATTTGGATATATGAACACAAACGGACGTGTGTCTAACATATGTTGGCAACAAACAAACATTCGATACGAATCTGATCAGTGTGTGTTTTCTATGCCATACAAAATTATTGGATTCAAAATTTGTCTGGATACCATCAAATCGATCGATTGTACATGATTTCTGTTATTATGGCCGTATACTGCATCATAATGATGATGTCGTTACTGGTAATAATAATAATAACAATAATGACGCCTTTGATCAATGACAAACGAAAAATCAAAAATTGATCGAAAAATTAGATTCCTATCCCCGATAAATTGATTGGATAGTGATTGGTGGTGCCAGCCAGCCAGCACTTGTAATTTGCCCATCAGAAAAATCATAGAACGACCCAATTTGGATCAATCAATTTTTGTTTGAAATTTTAAAACGTTTTTTTCAATCATTGTAAATGATCGATATTATTTTTGATTGTGATTGTGTTTATGGATAACATTAAACTGGAGAAAAAATTCAAAACTCAAAACCATTTTTGATATTTATTTGTTTTTATTTTTGACAGGTAAAAATTGATTATCAAGTAGTAAAAAATGATTTACATTCGCTAAACATCTGCTTTTTTTTGTCATATTACTTGATGATACAATGTGGATGTGAAACATGTGATATTTTGTTCGAGATGTGTGAGATTAAATCTATGCAATCTATGGTTTAGTATATGGCGCGTCATTTACAATTATTTCTCGTTTGGTAGTGGTTGATTATTGGATTATAGGTAGCTGTTGTTCAATTATCATCATCATCATCATCATCAGCGCCTATTAATTATATATATGTGCATGCAACAAGTGTGTGTGTGTGTGTGTGTCGGTTTGTTTTCATTTTCATTTTGTTGTTGTTACCAACCATCATCGTCATCATTATTGAAATATATTGACAGAGATAAAAAGAGAAAATTTTTGGATTATTTGGTAAAAGTGACTTTCCAATTCACCATCATCATCATCATCAAATATCATATATATAGCCGGATTTATCTGCAGATGGAAAAAAAAGAGAAAAAATTTTTATTTTCTATCCATCCTCCAAACATAATATAATCACCTTCGATGTATAATGTTATACATCATCGCATCATCGCCATCCATTCGACCATTCTCTTTATTGACGTCGTAACGTAAAGATAGTTTTTGACATCGAACAATAAAACCAAACCAAACAAAAAAAAAAAAAAAACTCATCACAACCAACAATCGAAATTAACGTTTTGCATGGATGCATTGATCGGTGGTTTTTCGTTTCTCAGAATACATTTATGTTTTTGGTGGCTGTAACTAAAATAACAAAAAAAAACGATTCATTCAGCAACTCTCTCTCATCAACAACAACAACAACAACAACGACGACGACGACGACAACAACAACAACGAAAAGCTCTTCTTGTTAATTCATATAGTTGTTTGATTGTTGGCATTTGATTCGGTTTGATGGTGATGGTGTGATAGTTTGTTCAAGTAAACATTTTTTCCACCAGCAACAATTGTATGTGTTTTTTTTTGTGTGCCCTGTCCAGTCCAGTCCAGTGGCAAACTTATCGTCTTTCTTCTTTTGGCCAACTAACACGATTCGACTCGCAAAAATTTTACGCTTTGTTCTGAGTATGCATGCTGAGTAAGCTGAGCCCTTGTTGACTTTTTTTTAATTTTGTTTTACCATTTTCGTTTTTTTTTTTGTGTCCGGTGATTGAAACTACCACTTGCTTGTGCTTCTGTTTATCTTTTTGTTTTGTTTTTTCATCCTGTGCACGTTTTGTTTTGCTTTTGGGGAATTTTTAGTTTATAGTGGGTTTTTTTATTTTTCAAGATTCAGTATTCAGTCAAGATAAACAAATCATTCAAACAAAAATGTCAACCATACCGAATGATGCACCGTGTCCACGTTTATGTCATCTGATTAAATGGCCAGATTTCAATGGATATGGTTTTAATCTGCATGCAGAGAAAACCAAACAAGGTCAATATATTGGTAAAGTCGATGATGATTCTCCAGCCCTGTTGGCCGGTCTACGTGAAGGTGATAAAATAATTGAAGTGAATTTTGTCAATATTTGTAATGAAAATCATCGACAAGTTGTTGAACGTATTAAATCCATTACAAATGAAACACGATTATTGGTCATCGATGATTATGGTGACCGTTGGTATCGTGAACGTAAAATGGTCATAAAATCTACACAACCAAATGTTGTTTGTTATCGTACACCAGTACCAAGGCCAGATCCGGGTACATTGCCATTACCGTTACCATCACAGGATCCAATGATACAACATCGTACAACATTAATGAATAATAATCTTATTAGTAATAATAAATCTGTTGATCATCCAGAACAGCAGGTAAGCTTGTTTTAAAATTTTACATCCATCCATACATATTATTAATTAAATTGGCCTAATTTTTTTCACAAAATTAATCAATTAATCGAGTGATCGATTGATTGATTGATTGATTGACATTTAGAAACAATCGACAATATACTCAATGTCATTAATGACACATTTATATTGTTATTATTAGCAATATAGAATTGTGTAGGCAGCAAAAAAAACCACGTTGCATTAGGTGATGCGGCATAATAATCATTAAGAGATATTTCATCCTTTTGAGCCATGATGGGCGTTGTTTCTCAATTTATCTCACTGCTCATTTAGCATCATTAACTTTGAGCATCCCACTATCATCATAACAATAGATCAGACAATAGACAATCCCATCACTATAGAAAATGAATCGAGTTTTTGTTGTTGTTGTTGTTTTTGAATTTGAATTTCTTTGACAATGATTTATCATCATCATTCTTCCATTATAATTTGAGTTTTTTTTTAGAGAATGGGATAATAACGTGTTGGTGTAGGATTTTGTTTTTCTTTTTTTAAATTTGAATATTTTTGTCAAAAAAAAAAAAAAAAATTCTATCGTATCATCCATTACATTAGCTGACTAATTGTATATGGTTATGTTGAGGATTCATAGATTATAGTGTAATGACAAATCAAAGGGAAAACATTTTGTATAAGCGGAACATTTCCTTAATTTGCACAAAAAATCTTATCAATAAGTTCAAGGTTTACCAATTTATCACCTTTTTAATCATTATGATGATGATGATTATCTGCTTATTTGTATCAGATGATAAATCTGTTTATTTGTTAGTCATTTACTATATTTTCATTTTAATGATGATGATGATAATAATTTTGTTGTCATAAAATTTATTTTTTCCATTTTTGATTATTGTCATTATTGTCTAGCCATGGATTTTTTTGTTTTGTTTCGTGACATTTGTTGAGGGATTATCATATTGTTTTGTTGATTTCGAAATGTTTTAACCTGGTTTATCTGATCATCATCGTGATGATGGCTTATGGTGTATTTAACATATCTATATGGAACACCTTGATTAATTAAACTATTTTTTTTCTTTTTTCTATTGTTTTATGTTTTTTTTTATTCGACATCATCGCCCACAACGACGACGACGACGACTACAACAAAACAACAATTGAATATGTAATGATAAATAGACGGATAAAAATGAATTGAATCGCCGTAAATCATCATCATCATCATCGTCAACATCGACAACATCGTTATCGAAAAAACAAAATAATAATGCGGGCTGTAATCAACAAAATGATGGTGATATTAAAAGTAACGGAACTATTGCTACGAGTAATGGAAAAAATAACGGTACAATTGATAGTCGTACTGCAAGTATTACATCGTCATCATCATCCGATTCATCATCATCATCATCAAATTCCAACCACAACAACAACAACAACAACAAAACCGAAACAGTGTAACGGATTCGCCCATTTCAAATCGTTCACATTCGAATAATTCTGAATCAAATTTTAATAATAATAATAACAATAACAATAACAATGAAATTATTGCTGAAGAGAAAAAATTATCCAATGGAACATCGACGACGACGACGATAACGACGGCAACAACACCTCAACGTATTGTATCCAATCAAAATGGTGAATTAAATCTAAATATGACGGCAGCCGAAATGCGTCAGTTGATTGCTCAACGTAAAAAACAGGATGTAAAAAGCACACAAATTGATTTAAGAAAAAAATATGAAATTATACAACAAATGTGAACGGGATTTTCTATTTTACTCTTCATTCATTCATCCATTCATTTATCCAATCAATGACTAAACATGGCCTTTTCTTTATATTGAATACATACACACATCATCATCTATACGTAATATAGACACAGGTAGACATTTTTTGTTCGGTGACAAAGACTGAACAACAACAATGACAGAATGAAAAATATGTATTTGTTACAGTCACCTTGTTTTTATTATTTTTGCTTTTGTTGGTTTTTATTTTTCTCAATACTACATTCCACATTTGACTGATGACATTGATAAGTGAATGACAATGCTGAATGGCACACTACAAAATGTTTTCTCTCTCTCTCTCTCTCTCTCTCTTTCTCGCTCCATTACAAAAGGTGCCATCATCATCATCATAATTTTATCCAAAATCAAATCAAACAAACAAACTGATTTATCGAGCACAAGGACTTTATTACTGTGTGAACATTTACTACACTAAAATCGATCATAAAATTCATAATCATTCCATTTACGAATATAAATTGTCAGATCATCATCATGTTCAATTTAACAATGTTTGGATAGATTAAAAACGTCATCTAATACAAAGAAAAAAAAATCTGCAGAATTTTCCAAATAATTTTAATTTGTTTTCCTAATTTCAAATGTTCAAATGTTGTTTGAAAAAAACATTCTCTTCTAATTTATGATTATATTTTTTTTAATCCGGCAAAAATTATTTATAAATTAATAAATTTGATTTTATTTTCAAAAACTCATAAAATTTCATTTTTTTTCAAATAAAATTCGAACCGCCACATTTCGATCCGTCATTTTTGTACGGTCTAGTTTTAGATATATGTTCGAAAAAATATGTCATGTGGTTGGCCTGTTGTTTGGTGTGCCTCTACCACACACACACACAACATCAAATATTCATTGTGTGTGTGTTTGTTTATTGTTGTTGTTGCTGCTGCTGCCACCGCTTGTTTTTGTTTTGTTATGATGAGCACTGTTTTTTTTTTTGTCTCTGGTTCTTATCAAAAACTTTTTTTTCATCATCAAAACCAAATTAGAATACAAAACCTTTGTCCACGACAGCAATCACTTTGACGATCAAATCAATCATATTATGATTCCTTGTGATGTGTGATGAGTTTATTTTTGTTGACGAAAACCAATCGAATACCCGTACACAACTTTTTATTCATTCTGAATTTCCGGTGAGAAAAAACGTGGGAATCTGCTCTTATGTTTGTTTTTGTTTATTTTGTTTGTTTTCGTATATATACTCATTAATTACATTCATCAATTCGAATCCAATCATTTTATCGAAAGGTTTGTCTCGGTCACGTCTGTTTGATTTTTAAATAAAAAATGAACAGAGAACAAATGAATGTTTTTTTCAATCAACATCAATTCTACAGTGAAATGAAATTGCAATATTTTTTTTTTTTTTTTTTGAAAATCAAAGTTTTTCATCCATCAAATCTTTCAAATAATGATGTATTTTATCGAACAATTTAGGCAATATTCGAACACATAATGGATAATTCTTTTTTGATTTGATCAAATTTGATCAAAATCAAATGAATCTAGTTTGTGTATGTTTGTGTGTGTGTGATATCGTGTCAATCCAATTCCACATCTAGTCTCTCTACATATTCTGCTCAACATATATAGTTGTTTATTCATTTTTTTTTATATATCTCTCTTCATGACCATCATTTATGAAAAATAACATTTTTTTCTCAATTCGATTTATTGTGGTGTCTTGTGTGTTCATCATATAATTTTTATTTTTACCCAATGTATTTTGTTTATTTTTTTTCGTTTGTTTATATATTCTTCTAATGGGCTAATATATTGTCCTAATGGTTGTTGAACGAATAAATCGATTTGTTTTTTGTTTTCGTTGTTTCAGTATCGATACTGTCAATCGATATTTTATTTGGCTAAAATAAATCATCACATTATTATTGACTTTTATCTTCTTTTTTTGATATTTTCTATACATGATGATGATATATCATGATGTTGATAAAGAAACTGATCTAATCTGATTCACGATTCTCACATTTCTTTTTTGAAAAAAAATTTCTTTATTTCTTTTGCCAATAAATTTTCAGACATCAATAATCCAATTTACCCACACATACACATGCATATACACACAAAATATATATATTTGAACTATAAAATAACGCCTTTTTTACCAGGGATTTCAAATTTCAAACCAGCATTAAGTGCCAAATTATTAATTGATTAGTGTTCTTAGAGTAATAATAAGTAAACGTGATTTTTTACCTTTCACTCGTTAATTCATCCATCAATCAACTGATCGATACGTACAACACCAAAAAAAATGGCTATCGTGTCGACATCAACAAATCCAACATGGAGAAAATCATTAGTACAACAGCTACAAGAACAACAACGAAAATCGAATGAACCATTTGAATCTGTGATACAAACATGTGTTAGCTTATTTGAAAAGATTGATTCATTGCAACGAGAGAAATCAAATTCAACAAATTGTGATACTACAGCAATCAATCCAACATCAAACACAGCATCATCGTCATCATCATCAACAGTCAATTCAGCATTGAATGATCGAATCACAGCTCTACAGAATGAATTGAAAGAATGTCAGAAATGTATGATGGAAAAAGATTCAACTATAATCGAATTGAATTCAAAGATTACTTGTTTGATGAAAGAGAAAAATGATTTAAAATCTAAACAAAGTGATTTAAAAATAAGTCTAGATTGTATGACGGATAAATGTCGTGCATTTGAGGAGGTTATTAAAAATTTGAAAGAACAGAATACCTGTCTTATCGATGAACATACAGCATTACAGATGCTGTATGATAGTTCAAAGAAAAAATTTGATGAAATTAATCAACAATATAATGATCTTATTGCTCGTGTGATGGAATCTAAAGCTAAAGATGCCGAATTTATGAATGAAGAAAATGAAAAAATGATACGCATACAACAGGAAAAGGTCCGTAAACAATTGGAAGATGAAGCTGGCAGAATGACTGTCAATTCGAATGTAGAAAAAGATTCGGTAAATTTGATTGAAAATCCGGTTTTATCATTAATACCGGAACGGCCACGAATACATTTTGAACCTCATAACGAGATATATGCTTTGAAATTTGACAAAAAAACTCATTATCTAAGTAGTGGTGGTGGTGATCGTAAAGTAAAAATATGGAATTTCGATGATATCAAAATCAATCTGATTCAAGTATTGAGCGGTAGTAATGCATCGGTCACATCGATCGATATATTTGAAGAATATTTAGTGGCCTCGTCTAGCGACCATGCTAGTCGTGTTTGGACATTGAGTGATTATCGTGTACGGCGTACATTGACCGGCCATTCAAATAAAGTAATGTCAGTGAAATTCATGTCAGTAAACAATAAAGTGGTTTCAGGTAGTTTTGATAAAACGGTAAAAATCTGGGACCTAAATCGTAATGCTTGTATGAGAACATTATTCGCCGGTTCATCCTGTACTGATGTCGCCAATCGTGATGAGAATTTTTTTGCCAGCAGTCACATTGATAAAAGGATTCGTTTCTGGGATTCACGAATGGAAACATCGTCAACCGAAATCCTATTACAAGGAAAAATTACATCATTAGATGTGACAAATAGTGGTCATCATCTTGTTGCCGCAATACGTAATGACAGATTAACTTGTTTAGATCTACGTATGAATGAATTGATACAGGATTATACCGCTGATTCATTTACGATTGGTTGTGATTGGACAAGACTACGTCTAAGTCCAGATGATCAATACGTTTCTTGTGGTGGCAATGATGGTCAGATATTTTTCTGGGATTTTAAAACCGGAAAACTTTTGAAAACACTATCCACTGATCAACATATCGGTACTATTGTTTCAGTTGAATGGCATCCAACAGGCAATTTATTTGCCAGTGCTGATCGTAATAAAAATATTGTCATTTGGTCATAAAACATGTGATGAATGAACTGATTTATTTTCAAATTCCAGTAAAACAAATTTATAAATTGTCAACTTGTTCATCATCATCATCATCATTATGTGTGTGTGTGTGTGTGTGTGTGCATGTGTGTCATTCATCATGTTATTATGCAAAAAAGAAAACTCTTCAAATGTGACTTTGAAATTAATGTTTTTTTTCTCGTGAATCATTTCAATTTTTATTCATTAAATATTTTTTTTTGCGTCTGTTTGTAATAATGGTTAATAACGGGTAAATAATGATATACAAATATGAGAAATGCCAATGTAGAAAAATGAACATGCACAAAATCTTTATAAAAGAGTGTAATGAATCAATGAATCACAGGATGGATAGTAGGCGAAACGACGATTTTTTTAAAAAAATTTCTTAAATTCATTTATTTTCTTTTCTCCATTCTATATATAATATATGATGATGAATTGGTCGATCGTGTTTGGGGATCAAAAAAAAAACATCATGTTTAAAAACAAACAAACAAAAAAATTTTTTTTTTAATAACATGAAAAATTTTTCTTGACACAAAAAAAGGTCACTAACGGATGTTGACAATAACAACGAAAACTACGACAACAATGACAAACATTATGAATGAAGAACGTAATGTACTCGATGATCTTCTTGACAATGGTGATGATGAAGATTTTGATGCCGAATTGAAAGCGGCTAGAAATTTTGATCCTACACGATTGGCAACCAAAACGACCACCATTGCTCGTAAAAGTAAGAATTTTTATTTTTTTACAATTTTCCATTATGATTTTTTTTTTTCAGATTTGGATCTAAAGAAAAAATCAACTACCAAACAATCATTATCTACAACCGTTAAAGATAATGGCAATAAGGTTAGAATCAATTTAAAAAGACGTGATAATCTTTATTATTTATATTCAAATTATAGTCCAATAATAATAATTCCACAAATCGATCCACTGGAAATGGAAACGGTCGATCAGCATCACGGGAATCAACATGCGATTCACAATATAGTTGCGATTCAGGATCCTGTTCATGTGAAGATCATAGCTCGATGGCTGATGATCATCACCCACCCACAGCTACTTTAAAGGATAAAAATGATAATGTTGATGATGATCGTGCATCCAATGCCGATGGTAATCGTTCTTATCAATCATTCACTCGATCTCCTAGCTGTAAGTCGTCATTTTTTCTCATGTAAAGACATTTTAGAGATTTTTTTTATTTACACGATTTTTGCAGTAAAAATCAAAATTACCAAAAATTCCAATTCACGTACGGTGGCAAAATCATCAAATCTATGCGATGATGATGTCGTTGATGATATGGATCATGATCATGATGATCCATCCATAATTGGACGTAAAAGGAAACATGGCCGTGAAAATAATGATAATGATGATGACAATGATGGCCTTAAACGTAGCCGAAGACATGCTGTGCATCATCATCGCCATTCATCACCGATATCGAATAAGAAAAAAAATGTGAACGCAAAAAAACGCGATTATTCATCACTAATTAAATATTTTTTCAAAGATAGTTGTTATTTTGTTATGAAAAGCAACAATGAAGAGAATGTTGAAATCAGCAAACGTGAAGGTGTTTGGTCAACACCATTGCCCAATGAAATCAAATTGAATAGTGCGTTCCATGAGTTTCGTAATGTTATACTCATATTTTCCGTAAAAGAAAGCGGTAAATTTCAAGGTTTTGCCAGGCTATCATCCGAAGCTCAATATGATTTAGAGCCAGTAAAATGGGTTTTACCACCAGGTGTTCATAGCTGCCCGTTTGGTGGTATATTTTTTATTGATTGGATCTGCCGTAACGAACTACCATTTACACGTACATCTCATTTATACAATGCATTTAATGAAGCAAAACCTGTCAAGATTGCACGTGATGGCCAGGAAATTGAACCAAAAACAGGCGAAGAACTGTGCCGTCTCTTTCCAGCGGATGATTTTGTCGATCTGATTCCAATGTTGAAACGAATGAAAAAACAGACATTGAATCGCCCACGAAAACGCCATTCCCGTGGACCGTTTATGGATTTTAATGAAGGCAATGGTGTTGCTGCCCGTAACGATAGCTATCGAAACAAAACATCATCACATCATTTATCATCATCAACAGCATCTCTTCATTCTATCAAGTAAATTTTATTTGTTTAAAATTTTTTTCCATTATAACTAATGATTCACCGTATGTTGTTTTATTCTTGTAGAAAACGACACGACTATTCGGATGGCTATTATTCTAATCACATTCGAGACGGTATGAATAAATTATTTTTTCGTGAATCATTTTGATTTTTTTTGATATTTTCATAATATATAGATCGCTATAATCGAACAATGCAACAGGCCCGAACCCGTTCATCCGAACATTATGGATCACTAAATGGCTATCATCCTGGCTATCGAACAGGTGGATATGCACAACCAGAACCGGTATATTAATTACATCTGTAATACTTTTTTAGTGTTCTAACGTTTTTCAAATTAATAAATCCTAGTATCCTTTGGATAATGGTAGCCGTCGTTATTCATCTAGTATGACATTATCATATTCATCTCCTGCAAGTGGTTACCACCACCACCACCATCATCATCAGACACAATATCGTACATATTCAACGACGGATGTTCGACAACAATTGCATCGTGACCATTATAGCCACCAGCATCATCATCGTTCAGGTTTATATCGGGACCGTTATTGATATATTCATGTGCTAAGAAGAAGGAAAAACGAAACGTGGCCGTCACTCACGAACTTAAAATGACGATGATTATTTTTCAAATCAGAAATCTGGATCGAGCGCATAAAACAAGCTCTTTTTTCTTTATGTATATTTATATTTTGCATGGAAATTCGACTCTATCTGATCAATCAATAACATACTGATGTATTAGTTTCGATCAATTCATTCATATATTATATATATTATTATTATTGAAAAATAAATTAAACTCATTATCTTCATGATTTGTAGTTTATTGCTCAATTGTCGGCAATTATTTTCTTAATCTAATAACATTTGAAATTGAATTATGTTTGTATAAATTGAAGCAATGTTAGTATACTATGAATTTGTTCCCAATCAATCGATCAGCCAACCAATGCCATTATTGGCGATCATTTTGATGTTGACAACAACGGCGACAACCGTAATTGGTACGTGTGCGTTCATAAAGCGGAAAAAAACTGCCATTAAAACAGCGGCAAACGATTCTGAGCAACCGGCAGAAGATGAAGATATTGAAGCTGGTGATGATGAGCAGGCCATTAGCGATGCTGGAGCAACCAATGGTGACAATGAAGCTGTGGTCGAGCAAAAAGTACAAGGAGAAAAAGTGGGTGTGATAAAAGAAGAGAAAATAAAGGAAATTATCAAAAATATTGTCCAACAACAACTGGTACCGATAAAATTGGAGAAAGTTAAGGTCGAAAAAATTGATTCAACTCCCATCGCAATCGATGAAAATATAACATTACGAATATCTGAAACAATGTCAGAAAAAGAACAAGAAAGACGGCCACCGGATAAAAGTCAACAAAAATCGTCATTCAATAGCCAGGCATCAATTAAATTGTCGACAAAACGAATGTTACGAAGTAGTGGAAGTAAAATACTAAATAAAAGATCAGTAACGGCCAAAAAAGATTTCATGAAACTGTTTGTGGCGTTGAAACAGCCTCACAAAAAATATTCTTCATCAGCGTCAATGACGATCAGGGGTGGACAAGCGCAAAAAATTCCAAAAATTTTTGTTTTCAAAAAAAATATGTCAAAAGCCAACACACTGATGATTAATAAAAAACAAATGATGAAAAAAGAAATTAAAGGTGATGATTTTTCAACCGAACAATTACTAATCGAACCAAAAACGATAAAAACTAAAGATTCAGAGGAAATGATTTCTATCAAAGCCAAAGCTATTGTCCCAGTTTCGGTACACAAAACAAAAACAAAAACAAAAACAAACTTGACAACAACAACAACTATTATTAAACCAAAAGTAATCAGAAAAAAAGATATGATCAAGTGGATAACGGATTCTGCGGCATCCAAAGAACAACAAAGATTTGACATGAAACATATACTGGAAAGATTATTACGTAAAATCAATCTTTGGCCTAAAACAATAACGAAAACCACACAACAACGATCACCAACAACTGGAATAATACGTTCGGTAACAAAACCACCAATAACGAAGATGGCACAATCAAGAATCAAAACATCTGGATCATTGCCGAACAAAAGTGTGCAACAACCACAATGGCAAACAACCAGCACTCGATACGATAATGAAGATGATTACCAACTTAAAAGGAGAAAGTCATTTTCAAAACCAGCATCTATTAGCCACCATTGGGAACTACAAAAACAACAACAACAACCGCGATCAATACAAAGGTCAGTGAAACTGATTGGTTATGATAATGATCAAAGATACAAAACTTCACCACCACCATCACCAACAACATTTCGATCTAAACCAATGATGAAAAAACAATCACCACAGGAAACGATTCGTGTTAGCGAAGCTTTACTCGTACCTCAACGATTAAAATTGAAATTAATAAGACAAAATGTTAGAAAATCACCGGAAATATTCAACCACATTATTCGGCCATCATCACCAAAAACATCAACACCGAAATGGTGGAACGATCGAATGATAATCATTAAGAAATCACCCAGATGGACACCACCGCCATTATGGCTAAAAAAATCAGAATCAAAATCACCGAAAATTAAAATTCCAACACGTTATGTTTCACCACGATAATCGAATATTCCTAATCAATAAAATGAAAATTTTCTCAATGAAAATTAATGAATAATAATGTATATTTCTTTTAATAATTTTAAAATATAATTTACAATAATCAAATAAAAAAAATAACAGAATAAAATTAAGTCAATTTAGTTTCTGCATTTCATTTTTTTTTTTGCTTATCTCATTGCCCAAATGAAAAAGGCACTAGGAAAAATAGATTAGCTTTGAAGTAATTTTTTTTTGTTGTTAAAGAAAATATCTGTTTTTGATTGTTTCTGTGTGTGTGTGTGTGTAGGTGTTTGGTCATTTTGAATTCAATCGTTTTCAATGTTAAAAAATTTTGGTTCACCGGTTCAACAAGACACCGTAGTTTTTTTTTCATCAATGCATGTATGTATAATATGTGACTATTTGTAACTCATATGAAATTTTGTCAATATTTCTTCGTTTAATCATTCAATATAAAATTATTATTTAGGATAAGGACTAGAGATGATGATTTTACCAATGAAAAAAAAAGAGAAAATTTTTTCATATTTAAATGAATGAAAAATATATCCTGTACTGTGAATATGTTTTTGGTGGGAGGCTGCCGTTGTACAATTATCATGTATGAATGAATGGTGATTCCTAAATGAATTATGAATGGTCTAAGTTTTGGTTGTTTTTTTTGTGGAAAAATATATGTGATTTTTATATAAGATTCGAGGATGTGGGATATAGAAAAAATATACATTCATTGAATATAAAAAGAATAATGATTATCCATGTGTATTGTTGTTGTGTCTGTGTGTGTGTGTGTGTGTACAATTATAGAAGATTCTTTTCACTTTTTTCTTGTCCCATATGAATTTATTGATCAACATGTTGGAGAAACATGGATGAAAAAGACAGAAAAAAAACAAACAAAAGGCACAACACATTCGATATATGACATTACCACACCGATCAATTGAATACATTATCAACGTTTTCGAAACGACAACAAAACAATTCTAACAAAACAATGAAACAATACGGCCAAACAACAGAAAAAAAACAAATGAAAAACAGCAGAAAATGAGAAGAAAAATAATTCTAATGACGAATAAAATAATTCAGTTGATTTGTTAATTTTTGTTTTAATCTTCAAAGGCTGCTGGCACGTCGTAGTTCATTGATCACTTCGGAAGGCATATCATAGAAGACGGAATTGATTGAGAATGCTTTACGTATGATGAACAAATCATGTAATGTTAGATTATTGTTGGCAAATTCTTCGGGATGTGCCCATACAGTTAATGTACTATTTGGTACCTGATTTGTTTACCAATTAAATAAAGTCAGAATCATCATAATGGTTATTACATACACAACATACTTGAAACAGTAGACGTTGAATTTCACAAATCGAATATTTAAGTAATGTAGCATTCACTGGAAACGTTAATGGCTGCATTAGATTATATTCACGTACTAATGATGCCATATGATCGACCATTTCGCGGCTATATCCTGTTTTCATTTGTCCATCAAGATTTGTTGTCCAACCGATCGATATGATTGCCTTTGGGAAACGTGTTCGGCATAACATTAAAAATGTCCATGCATCGACAGGTGTTGCTTCTGGATTGTTTGGTCCTAGTTTTTTTTTTGTTTTGGAAATTCATTCATGAAATAAATAAATAAAGTCATATAGACACTTACCAGCAAGAATATCGGCATTCAACACGATTGGACCTTTGATGAAATCAACATGCCTAGCCAACACACGGAATGCAGGTTCAACAACACGTGTGGATTTAAAATCCAATTTGATTCCCTTTGCACAATTCGAACGTACAATTTCGATTAGAAAATCTTCCAATGTAAGATCACTGGCATTGTTCGGCGGATGTGCCATTATTGGCACAGGATAACGTGATGTTTCCGCCAGGCTTACATCGGCTTCGATCATAAGATCATCACCTATATTTTCATTTACAGTTTTAGTTCGAGAATTTTTTTTTACTCAACTTAAATTCATCACTTTTGGACACATACCTCGTAATGCAGTCATCAATTTGGAACGACTATTGACAGCATGTGCCCAATTTAATTGTAAACCATCTCCATTTAGTGGAAAATAATCGATCAGATTGGGTGATATTTGTACACGATTATGAAACGTTGTCGTTGTGCCACCGTTGGCCGTTGAATTTGTATGAGTTGCACTGGATGGAAAGATGGTACGGCCAAGACATGGCTGCGTGATGGTCGTTGAACACTGAAATCCAATCATAATTGTTTTTATTATTGATGAAATTGAGATTTAATTTTTAATCAGTTTTAAATTTGAAAAAAAATCAAATGATTCATACACAGACACACACACACAAACACATAGAAACGAACACAAATAAAAGTCAAAGTGAAAACAAAGTTTTTGAAATTCCTATCAACATCATTTCTATCAAAAACAACAACAACAAACATGACCATCACCCGATGACGACGAATGATAATAACCATATGAATGTGATGGACGGCAACACTTATATTTATAACCTACATATATATTTGAAGAAAAAAAAAGTGATCTGAGGGCAACGATCATTCAACAATGGTGAAGATTTTTAAACATAGAAACCTGGTTTAGGTTTCCATCATCATCATCATCATCATCATACTATAAAATTCATGCTTCATTCATTCACCAATTTTCTCGTTGTTGTGTATATTTTATAGTACGCCCGATATAGACCGATACATCGACCAGGTATAACCAACTCGATCGACTTGAAAATCAGGTTCTGATCACCATCATCATCATCATCATCATCATCAAAAATTAAAAAGACAAGGTATTCACGATTATTCAAGTTTGGAATAGAGGTCGGGTATCATAGACCGAAAACTTTTCGGGAATGGTGGCAACTAGTTTGAGAAGAGAGAGAGAGAGAGAGAGAGAGAGAGAGCAAACGAAAAGAGAAATTTTTCATCTCCGATTTCAAGATTCAAACCAAATTTCGTATTGAAATGGCTCGTTTATTTCACAGTTCATGATCGTCAAGTTTAACTCTCGCTCATTTCATTTTACTTTTTCCAATTTAACCTGTTGCATTCGGATATGCCCGGTTATTATAAGTCGAAAATAACAACAACTAGAATGAATGTGTGTGTGTGTGTGTGTTATATGTTGTCTCTTTTTTTCGTTTTATCAGCCTATGGCTATGGAAAGAGCAAGTTCATCGGCGAGAAAGTAGTTTTTTTTCTCGGTTTGATGATCCAATAGTGAGAAAAGATATGTATTTCCCATATGGCGGAAATGTTAAGATCGTTCTTTTTTCAAATCATAAGAAAAGAGACAAATGATCCGAAAGCAACAACAAAAATGACTAAAATAGAATCGTTCATCATCATCATCATCATCAACGACAATCGTTATAAGCGAAAGTTTATTGACTTTTTATACAAAAATCGAAAACAATTTTTTTCTCTTTTCACTTCATTTTGGATTTTCCTTTTTCTTTGTTCAATTGTTGTTGATTGACAGAAAAAATCCAGACTATTGAAGCTCACGATCATCGTCGTCGTCGTCGGACATCGACTATATCTCCATACTCACACACATGTCCATAGTTTTATCTTTCTAATCATCATCGTCATCATCATATTCAATTCAACGAGATAATCATTATCATAATTTGAATATATGATGTTTTCATTGAAACAAAATCAAAATCATCATGCTCAACACTCATAGGTCCTCTTAAAGAGAGCTTGCTAAAAAAGGGTAAAACATTTTCGGCCTGTGATTTTAGCCAAAAATAGCCTTTAGTAATTTCTCAAACACACGAAAACACACACATATATTTCTCTAATAAAAAAAAAAATAATGGCACAGTTTGACTTGGAATGTGTATTGAGAAAAAAAAACGAAAAAATTTGATCCACGTTTGAAATGTAATGGATTTATAATCAGCTCAGTCAACTTACCTGGCCGTATTTCATCGATGTGAATTGTTGATAATTTTTTTTTTTTTTTAAATATTATTATTCACTGGGAAAAGTATTTTATTTTCAATGAAATATGATTGATGATTTACAATGTGTACTTGAAAATGTGTGAAGCGAAAAAAATCTTGACAAAAACTAATGCTATAAAACTAAATATGAAAACGGTATGAATGATGATGATCAAATCGAAAGCCAAATGATAATAATTATTGAACGGAAAACAAACAAACAAACAATATATATATGATGATGATTATAATGATTAAAATGTCGTCGTATTTGTTGCTAATTTATAGCACACATAGAATACAAAAACACCAGAAATGAAGAATTCAATCATTATTTGTTTTCAATTTGAATGAATCATCATCATCATAACAGAATGAGATGATGATTTAACTGGTTATAATAGGGTTATTACATCGTCGTCGCTGCTATGTTATTGCAATTATTGATGATTTTCATAAATTTTTTTTTTCGTCATAACACATAAATCATCTATATATGAAAGGGAATAAAATTTTTTTTTTTTTTGTTTAAATAGAAATGCAGATATAGATAACATTGATGATATGCGATTATTTAATTTTATTATGCCATTGTAATGGCATTGGATGTCAATGATCAAAAAAAAAAAAAAAAAAAATAAAATGATGATGAAGACAACAATGAGCGATTTTTTTTTTTTTTTTTGATTGCCTTGATCATCAAAAGTCAATTATTGAAATTTCTTTTATTTACAGTTTGATTTATTAATTTTTTTTTCAATGTAAATTATTATCAATGTGAATGAAATTGAATTGAATTGTTTATCACAATAATATATCGTTGTTGGATTGGATCAGAAGAATCAAAAATTTTTCCATTCAACTAATCGACCGAACCCATAGAACTACATCATCATCATCATCATCATCACAAATCAGATCGACAATCATCATAATAATCATCATCATCATGACAACAACAGCATGATGAAGGCGTGCGCGCATAAAAATATTGGGGTAAATTTGGTTTGAAAAAAAAACCAGTGAAAAAAGCATGGGCGACATTAGTGTATATAATAATAACAATAATCAGAGAAGCCTTGGCGCCATGATATAAGGTCAATGCTCCTGTGTGTGTGTGTGTGTGGAGTTCGCGATCATTTGCTTTTGGCTTTTACCAAAAGCAAAAATATATACATAGACATGCAATGTTTTAATACAAAATGCGGAAGTATATGATGTATACTGTATATGTTGCCATCCAGCAAAAAGAAAAAAAATATCAACAGAAAATGAAAAAAAAATTTCAAAACTTACGTTGTTTCTGGTTATTATTTGATTTGATTTTTCTAGTTTTTTCATTTCTTTGTAAACACACAAAAAATAAATAAATAACAAAGTGAGAAAGATGGATTGGGATTGCCGAACCAGGCGCAATTTGTTGTTCTATATTTGGTTAGGTTCTATCAATGGATAAAGATAGTAGGTTGTTGATTAGTGATGTGTGTGTGTGTGTGTGTGTGTGTAGGAGGTGTGTACGTAAAGTTATTTTAAAATCATGCTTTTTTCATTGTGTGTGTGGTGAGGTGGTTTTAGTGTTTCTCAGTGTTCGATAATTCGATTACTATTCTCAATTTGTTTCACAATTTTCGAGGTTCATTCAGCTCAATGCCATGAAAATAAAAAAAAAAATGGTTAAGTTCAGAGTTTATTCTTTAGTTACTCTGGTTACCAAATTTTTTTTTCTTTTTCTCTCTGTGTGTGATTGTGGTTATCTGGTAAATTCAAATATTCCCTGAACCGGATAAGCGCCGTACGTCCGTGAAAACAATGAAATAAAAAGAAATTTAATATTTTAAGAACCGATCGATACAGTATGAGCGAGGAAAAATCGATCGAGCCTTGATTCAATCGATAATCACGCACACCACGATCGAGGACATTGACTGACATCGAACTTTGTTGAAATAAAAAAAAAACACATTTTTCAAGTAATTCGAACAAAAGAAAAAAAACGAAGAGAAAGTTTTTTTTCTACTTGGCTTTCAAAAGTCAATCTATATATAAGTGATCTGTGATTGTTAGCAGAAATCATCGGAAAAAAAACTTGATACCGATATTGCCAATTATGGCTGCTGCTGCTGCTGCTACTGTTTACAAATAATCATATATCAATCATCAATCAATCATTAGCAGTACCAAATAGCAGGTATTGTCAATGGAAAACCAAAAACAAATTGATTGAAAGATTCGAATGATGATCATTGGCAAGCAAGACAGTTGTTGAGCAAACAATACCAGAAAAAAAATTTCTTTAGTCCGAAATTGTTTTTTTGTTAAGGTGCGTTCACACAAAAAAAATGTTGACTTGTGTAAACGCACCTTTATTTTCATATGAAATTGTTGAATCCACAATTTTACTAGAAATGGTAATATGGATGGTTTAATTTTTATTGGATCATCATCTTGCCACGATCATTGAGAAAAAAAAACATTTTCACTCATCATATAATGAGAGTGAGAGTTCTGAACAAAAAATTTATATATTCACAATGTTCAAGTCATCGGACATTGCCCTTTTGCTACAAATACCAAGTGAGAGAAAGTGGTAAAAAAGGCAGCGACCAAATCATCATCATGTCTTTCATCATTGTTGTGTTGTTGAAATAAATGACCAACAATATCTATCCATATAATACTAAAATGTTCATAAATGCATTAAAATAGAAGTAATGCTAAGTCTATTGAAAATAGAAGGATTTGTCAGTCAAACCAAACCAAAAATGCACTTGTTACGACGAAGGCCTGGACTGGTGATCACTTGATTCAATATGATTAGATGTACATGGTGGTTGTTGTTCTTTGTAATCTATAAATAATATCTTGTTATAGATATAGATATTTCTTTTCGTTTGTTTTTGAATATTGACTAATGACTTACCTGCGTTATTATTATTTGTGGTATGGCCGCGATTCGATGCATCGGGTCAAATCGTGATTTTTGTTTTGATGATGTTTGGTGGCCGTTTGTGTTACATTTAGTAACAATTGTTGATATCAAATATATACACCATACGAATATGAATCAAAGAATAATTTTTTCATTTACATCTATCGATCCATAAAGTTTATATAGTTTTGATCCATGTTTATAAATATCTCGTCATATAAACGCGTGTGATACAGGTCATTCATTTCTTCTTTTCCTTTTAAGATCTATTGGATGATTCCAAAAAAAATTTTTTTTTCCATTTGAGAATAAGATGGACCACCAAATGAGAAAATGTTACTTATAAAAAAAATGATGATGATGATTGTCAAAATTGGTTGGCGAAAGGATTTTCTCTTTCTCTTTATTTTTGTTGGCGAATTGAAAGTTGAGTTTGGCCAAGACAACAACTTTTCTTTCTTCGGTCATTGACTTTGTTATGTAAGGACTTTGTTCTTTTTTTTGTTGCTACTTTCTCATATTTTTTACGAAGCCTTTGTTTGGTTATCAATATATGGCCAATTAAACAATGGAAAAATCCTTTAGGATCTTCATCAAAATTTAGCCAAAAATCAGAATTAAGAATTAGAAAAATCATGTCATCCATTCTTCGGATCGTTCGATAGAATATGATGTATTTTTGGTAACAACTTTTAATTTATTTAATCGATTTCAATTTAAAACAAAAAAAAAAACAATTTGAAAATGATCATCTTTCGGTAAAAAACATTAAATGGTCTTCACCACCGTAATCATCATCATGATCATTATCATTGGAGCACACATCATGGCGGATAATTAATTTGCCTGAAGGTGGAAAAAAAACCGACAGAAAAAAAAATAAATGATTCTATGGTCAATTGGCGAACAGTTAAGCTAACGACATCTAGTGAGAACTAATTACATTAATTCTATTATTTTTTTTTTTTCATCAATTTGGCAATGAATTTTATTTTTTTGGTTATATGTGAATAAAATTTTTTTGATTGAAAAATCAATATAAATCAATATTGAATGAATGAATGAAAAAAACACTCATATTAAACAATCGATTTTTTTTACTATAGAAAAAAAAACACACACACGCTCATCACCATAATCAAATTGCATCGATCGATGGAATCACTAAACGATAAAGACGTAAACGAAAATAAATTGAAAGAAAAAAAATAAAATGCCAACACATACACACACACACACACGGTGTGTCAATCGATAAACAATGGTTTAATTTCTCTATAGAAATTGAATGGAATCCAAATTGAAAAATGAAGGAAAATTTACATCCAACCTATGGATCAAGTGAAAAATAATAACGAACGTTTTCTTTCATTCAACTAACTAACTTGAAATCTGATTTTATTTTTTGCTTTCATTATTTTTATGCATTCTTGGTTTCTAAGAATCCAGAAAAAAAAAAAAAAAATATTAAGTTAATAATCGTATATGGAGTTGTCATGATGAATTGAATCGATGCAATTTTATTCGAAGGAATGTAATGAATTCGGTAGCCTGGCAGGATTCTGTTGTCGTTTTGTTGTTGTTGTTGTTGGACTTTTCCTATTTATTTAGGACGATGATGATCATTTATTCTGTTATTATTACCAATATTATTATTGTTATCATATTGGCAATGAAACAGAAAAAAAAACTTTGTTCTCTCTCTCTGTGTGTGTGTGTATATTGTATATATTGAAATAACCAATGCAATTGGTCATATAATAAAAATCATCATAAATAATAATATTGACAATGGACAGAAAACATTAACAAATGGATGAAAACAAATGGACTGTGAATCTATTTGAAATTATTATCAAGCTAATACATACACACACACACACACATCATTAATGGACTAGAAAAAAAAACCATTCACACTTTGGAATTGTCTCAGATTTCCATCGAAATAATTTCTTTTGCATTTGAAAATTTAGCTTGAAAAAAAACAAATCTTGATTCAAGTGCACTATTGGATTTATAAGCGGCAAACAAATCAAAGAAAAAAAAGGAACAAATAAGAAATGTGCAAAATTGCAAAACAACCATGGATGTTAATATTGTATATAGTAACAAAGTATAAATTTCTTTATTTCAACAAATTTTCTTGTTCTGTTTGTTGTTTTTCTGTATGTGTGTGTGTGTGTGTGTGTGTGGCACATATACACAACTTTAATCTACATATTAATTTCAAGGTGTTGCTTATTTTTTTTTTTTTGGCCATGT